ACTATTCAAAACAACTATGTAAATGTGTTGCTATTTTTGGTTACTAGGCAAATTCACCCTTGCAGTGAATATTGTGGCTGATGAAAACAGATAAACTGATCATGATGGCTAAGAAATCTCTTTAGGAATCCATGAACACGTTGAGATATCATATATTAATGTTCACGTGTCTTGGTGGAATTAGTAAAAAACTGAGGTCGAAAGACGATAGTATATATTATATGAAAGAAAAACAGAAGAACAATGTTCGGATCTCATGAATCTAAAAGTACCTTGACATGAACGGAAGACATTTCTTTGTTCTTGCTCGTATATTGCTAACAAAACACTCACATAAGACATTATTACTTTCTAGCAAAGACATTTTTTTTTTTTTTTGAACAGCAAAGACATTAATGGTTAAATGTACAGAGAAGAATCTAGGGAACACTGAGCTTCTTGTGTCCACTGTTTGCTGATTGATCTTTCTGTTCATCATCATCACACAAAGAAAATCAACGAGACATCAAAATAAAAAAGATTAACAAGGCTAGAATGAAGAAGAACTCTGTATTTATCTTTCAGCTTTATACTTCCCATATTCTTAAACAAAGACAAACCTGTATTTATCTATCAGATCCAGCCATCACATGAAACAAACCACAGCAACTCAACCACGAGGTTCGATCAACTGGTGGACCAGGAGGCGAAAGACTCTGCATACATGTCCAACAAGATTCAGGAGACTGAAAAATGAGCTGGATCCTGGATGCAAGAAGAAAAACGAGATGGTACCTTTTCTTCACAACATTCTGGCACTTGAGATTCTTTCATTTCTTTGCTTGTTTCAGCACAAGATCCTACAATGTTACCTTCCTTTGCTTCCTTTAGTCTAAGCTTCTCTTTGTTTTCATCAGAATCCCCCAGGGCCGTTGAGGTCTCAGCTTGCTCATTTTTGTCAGAAATCACAACCTTTGAATCAACAGCAGATGCAATTTCCAAAACTGAAGTACCACTAGCACCAGCCTCTTGGGACTGAGAAGCTGCTTTTCTTGTATTTTCAGGAAAAGGATTGGATGGTTTGTCCTGATCATGATCAGTTTCTTTTCCGACTTCAATAACGTCTTCACCTTCAGTTTTCTCTTGACCAGTGGCCTTGGCTAGACCAGATAACGGAGAAGGTGATGGATCTCTTGTCCACAACTCTCCATTTCCTTGAGAACCAGGGGAGCTCAAATTTCCATCACTCTCTCCCTCCTCTTGGCTTCCCTGTTCATCATTCCCTGACATATGTTCCGTGCACTTAAAGCATCAAATAAACCACAGAAATTTACATAACAACAGAAACCAATTAGATCACCAAACTCCAAATCTTTTTTTGGTTAAAAAAATCCATATCTTGAGAAGGTAAATTATATGGATCCAGCAACTACAAACAGTAACCAATATGAATTGTAGTATTTCAAATAAGACAGAAAAGAAGAGTACCATGACCATTGAAGTCTTTGTTGATCTCACTGGTTCCAATAGCTTCCTGCTCCTTCTTCTTCTTCAAGGCCTTTCTCTTCTTGGCACCAGGCGGCATGATCAGTTTACAAGCAGATGAAAGAAAATCGAAGGAGGGGTTTTGGTATTGGTTCGCTTACTCCAAAGGTCAAGAGAGATTGGTGACAGTGGTGGGGTTTGGTTTGGTTTGTTTGTTTGTTTGTGGTATGTATGTGTGTGGAGTTTGAGAGTTCTCCTTTTTGTCTGTATGTTCTTTTGGGGAAAATCAAATGTCACTGTAACAGTCAAGGCAAGAGATAAGGCATATAAATACCAGTAAAGTCTTTATTTTATGGGAACCCATTATTAAACGTGTCGATACGCCTCCAAAATCTACTGTTACGTTTTGGTCTCTTTTGTATTCTACATTTTTCCTTATGCATACACAAGTTAGAGCTGCCGACAAACAAAAAAACACAAGAGAGACTAAACCTTTTTAATTAAGAAACTAATCATGGAGTGTTCTGATGCAAAAATTCAGAATAATTAACATTGTTCATTTCGGATTTGATTATTTTGGTTCGTTAAGTCTCTTCTTATTGGGCTAAGCCTAATTCCAAATTGTTCTGGTCTTATAAAGAAAATCATGCACAGCCCATAACTTACTTCACCTGTACAATCTTTTAATTCTTGCCAAGAACACAAATTTAAGCGAAAACAAAATGAAATGGGTAAATAGTATACTTTAAGAGTGTAGACTAGTCCGGCCTAACAATCCCAAACTCAGCTTTTCAGGTTTAAAACTCTTCTATCTGACACCTATTTTTTGTCTACAAATCGGCTAAGTAGGACTGAATCGAGCCTAAAGATGCAAACAGATTTGACATTTCTGCAGGCTGATGCGACATTTTGCATCATGTCAACTTTAACATGGCACAGTAGATGCTTTAAGTGACGTGGCGTAATCTCCATCGTCCTTTTAGATTCATATGGACAAGGACAAGCTTGAAGAAATCCTTAAAAAGAACATAACTTTTTCTTGTAACTAACGTTAAGAAACATAACCTTTGTGCAATACAGGATCTATGTGAGATCTAAATAATGCATTCAGTGTTTCATCATCTTCCAAGGCCAAGCTACGGTAATAAATGCATTTAGTGTTTTGACTTTTGAGACTTGGCTTCATGAAATAGGCCACAAGATCTAACACCAAGACTTTGTCACTTCAGAGAGAAGACTTAGTCTTTTTTTTGTCAAAATCAGAATCATGGTGTACCACAAACTAAATGAAGAAGACTCTGTAATAAAACAAAACGTGAAACCCACCTGCGATATACAAGAACAAAGCATATGATTACAAAAGAGAATCCAACAATCACAAACACAGATTAGCTCACACCTTTGTCTCTTTCTCTATTTTGTTCTCGTTAAATTATCTCTGCTTTTGGTAGAGACAGCAAAATAACCAGCAAATGAGAGGTGCTTCGTCGTTGGTAACGTTAAACCACAAGATCCTGAGACCATGTAGGAAACTCCTGATAAGAATCAGCAAGAGCTGTCCTCGGCGCCATAGCAGGCATTTGAAACTCAAGAAAGCCTCTTCGTCTTCATCTACTTCCTCAGGGAACAAGGTCACCAAAGTGGTGGCTTTGTTCTTCCTCTCTTTCCATAAGAAGAAACAGAAGAAAGAGAAGATGAAGCGGCTTAACGAACTCAGGAGCTTCTCCCACGCCGTCAGTGACCAGAACAAGAAGAAGAAGAAGAAAAAGAAGAAGAAGAATGCCACAACACAAGAATCAAGCAAGAAGAAAGTCTTCCCATCAAAACTCACAATGTCTTGGCTAGGCCAAGGCCAAGGAAAGGGTAACAACACACAGGAAGTCCCGCAAGATCACGATGCTGCAAGTAGAGACAGCACGAGCGCATTCATTCCTTGAAATTTTTTAGCACGATTTATTGACATTGAGACACTACGCTTATAAGATCATTTAATCGTGTGTTTGAAATTGCATTATGGTTCATGAGAATGTAAAAGTTCAACGACATTGCTGCATACAGTATATGATTTTTTTGTAATGGATTAAAAATTAAAGATTAGGAATCAATAAAGTAAAGGATTGCAATTTTTGTTTAGAATCCAGATGAGATAATCTCAAAACAGAAGAGAAGAAGAGAGACATGGAATTTTTATACATATATGCTAATTCCTAGAGCTACAAGCACGGACCATTTGCTTCATTCCCTAACCTAAACCAAACCAAACCCTTAGGCATATCAACTCACTGAAACCAGTGAGAAGCTTCATACATCATCCGCCTACCGGGTCTTGGCAGCATCTCCATTGTATGAGAACCTAAACCAAAAAAAACGAGCAATTAAAATGAAGCTTCTTAGTGTAAAAGACAAGGTCTAAGAATTATGCTTGACAAGATTTTAGAGCACCACATCACAATTACATTTGAAGCTAAAATGTTTCATATTGCTATGACCATTACGGTAAATGAGTCTCTTGAGACTGAGAATACATACACTAACAACTGTTTTCGGGCTCGCTATATCCTAATTGCAGAAAATCCAGATACAGAAAGCAACTCCCGAGAAAAAAAGGAACTGAAATCGCAAAAAAAAATATCAAAAATATGAAAATTGGCGGAGAAAAGCTTACTCTTTGGAGAAGAAAATCCTTTTGTGGGAGCTCAAAGTAATTGAAGCCATGGCGGAAGGAGAAAAGGGGGAGTTAAACCCTAAGAGAGAGAGAGAGAGAGAGAGAGAGAATTAAGAGTGTATTTAAGTAAAAGTAATGATCTTTTGGTGAGCCGGCGTGCTTACCGTCTCTACACAGAGCAGAGCACATATATCAATGAGATGTGTGAGAGAGACAGAGAGTGACTTTTGTTTTTGGTTTCGACGTTTTCGTGAATCGCATTCGAATTCGAAGCTCCCATTTTGTTTTACTTTGACAAGCGGGTATGGGTCCTTCGTGGGCCAACGAATAAGACTAATTTCCTGTTAATGGGCCGAATATATAAGCAGGCTACCAGAGGACGAAGCAAAGTGAGCCTCTCTGATCATTTTGCTGTAGCAAATCTATATGATTTTTCCCTCTATCCAATCCAAAGCGTGTGTATAAATTCATAAAATATGAAAGTTGTGAAGTATCGCTAATCTCCATAATTTTCTAACATTTATATAAAAAAATTACTGATCCTTTTTAAAATGTTTGTATTTTGTATTAGAATCCAAATCTTTTAATTGAGTTAAGAAAGTATATTGATTATAGATGTGTACATTTAACTCCTTGATATCACCGGCAACTAATTTTATCCCTCTCGCAATCAATGACAACAGAACAGCTGTTTCTGTTCGGCTTTTGTCCACACATCTGCCCAAAATAAATCCAACTCAGATATCTTCATCACACTTCCATTATTCCCGATTAAAGTACAAATGACACACTACTGGATATTCAATCCTAACATATACTGTATCCATTATTATTGTTCTTTTCTTCCCTCATAATTAACACGAATCTTTTCTGTTTTCTATTGCAATTGAGAGAAAATAAAAGAACTTGGAAGAAAGAACGAACAAAAGGGACAAATCTTTTTAAAATTGTTGTTTTACATTACCGTAAATTACATCAACATAAAAAAATTGTGAGATGACAAAAAAGAAAATGGAAAATCGGTTAACGGTTCAAGCCTCCAAAAAACCGGTTAACCTGAGAACCGAATTCCGGACACGGCTCAGATCTCTCCCTTTAAGAGTCCTTCCGCTACCTGTACAAACGGAAAACGCCATTTGTCCTCCTTGGATCCTCCGTCCGACGATTATATGCGGTGGTACGATCTCCCCTCCTCCGTCGGAACATTCCTCTTCGGAGTAACCATCCTCTTCTTTCCCGACGTACCTCCTAAACATGTTCTCTGGAACGTTCACCGGAAGCGAGCTCGATAACTTCTCCGCCCTCTTTCTCCCTCTAGTTTTCTTCCTCTCCTTGAAACCGAGCGGAAGATTCTCATTCTCGTCTTCTCTCTGAATAACGGAGTTGCCATCGTTAGAGAATACAACTTCGGATTCATCGAATTCCTCCGCCATTTACAGGGATAGGTTTGAGACTTTGCTGGTTTATCAGACGAATAGAGATGGGAGGGTTTTTACTTTTTATATAGGGAAGAGAGTAGAGAAGAAGACGAAGGAAACGTAGAGAGAGTCTTGAGAAGTTGTTTTGGGGGTTTGTGTGTGTTTTATGATGATGTCATGATAATAGCATTAGAGAGCGTGCGGACCCCGCTTTGCTTTCTTTTTTTTACTTTTTGACACTTTTGATCATACGATATTACGGAATACAATTAAAATGGAATTTTTGTAACCGATACTGGATTACAAAAAAAAAATGTATAACTCTCATTACATTTCAGTATTTCATGTGTTTGGCTGTATGAGATGTTGTCATATTTTAAAATTTTCATATTTATTTAACACTTCTTGGCTATATGGGAAATTGTCATGTTGTTTAAAATAAATAATTTGAAAATTCTGAAATATAACGTGGAACCAGGTGAAATTATCGTATTTCGTAACTTGTGTCTCATGACTTTTCTCGTGCATGTATCCAAAATACGATACATTTGTAATTTTCTGTTTTTTCTTTTTATAATTTATATAAGTAAAATCTAGTTAATGCTGATAAAATTCAGTCTACATGAATGTTATTGCGCATTTTCAGATTTCGGATTTTTTAAAAACATAATTGATCGGTGTCCTTGAAAGAAAGAGGTACGAATTTGTACCACCACCTATCATGTAACCACGACTCACGAGAATAGTTTAAAGAAGCAGTTAAAAAGCTTATGAAAAAAATTATCATTGTCCAAAATTTTTTTTCTATAAATAAAGATGTTATGAATCAGGATATTTGTTATACCCCTTCTATTTGTACAGTTATCTTTTATACTATTTCAAAATTTTGTATTACATCCAGGACCGTCTCGTAGCTAAGGCGAGTAAAGCAGATGCTTTAGGTGTCAAATGTTTCATATAGTTTTAGGGGCGCCAAAATCCTAAAAAGTTCTTGTAATCCAGTGGTTTAGCTCTACGCCTCTAAAGATTCTCACTGAGGGAGGGTGTTCGAGTCTTAGCATTATATAAAGCTTTTTTTTATAAATTAATGTTTTTAGTGGGCTCAAATTTTTTACTTTGCTTTAGGCCATAAATAACTTCGGGCCGGCCCTGATTACACCACTTTTATTTATGTCATAAAGTGAAGCCAGAATCTAATTTTTTTTTTAATCCATAGAAAACTGTTGTTTAACACTCGTAATTGGACATCTGGACTGGACGGAGTGTGTGACAGACTTGTCATTTTGTTTCGTATGTGACTACTGACTAGTAACTGCAGATTGGCACACAAAACTACATGGTCGAAAACAGTTCAAACTTTGAAAAACTAAACTTTGTTCTGAACCGTACTTTATCAATTCAGTCTTGTTAAATTCGATCAAATCAGTCTTATCTTATCACATATATCAGATTATAATATTATATGTGATAAGTTCGAATCTTCTACGCTATTAGCTGTAAATTTGATAGATTCGTTAAGTAAGCTGAGAAGATAATACATACGGTAAGTCGAAAACAACACTTTTGGTGTGTTTTACTGGAAAAGGAATCTAGACGTCTGCGTGTACAGACACATCAGGCTCCGTTGCTTTCGGCCCACGAGTACTGTTTTATACTATTTTGGTATTATATAATATTCTCTCCGTTTTTTTAATATTATATAATATTCTCTCCGTTTTTTTAAGATGAATTTTCTAGTTTTTTCCTGTGTTCTAAAACTCGTTAGGCGGTACTAGGGCGCTCCGTCTCCTTCTAGCGATTTTCTTAAAAGTCGGAAATAAATCGGAGAGTACTCGGAAATTAATTTTAAGTACATTTTTATATATTTCCAACATTTTTAATTTTTTATATATAATACATCAACATGAAAATCATATACTACATTATTACCAAATAACATTCTTTTTTTATATATAATACATCAATATAAAAGTCATATACTACATTTTTAAGGTTTCATGGCGAATTGGGGCTAATTGTGAACAAAAATCAAACTTTAGCCCACTAGATTTTAACATTTACTTACTGGTTTTTATAAAATGTGAATGTCAAAGTACGGTCAACGGTTGACCATATCTTTACTCGGTTTTTAAAAAGTCGGAACGGCAACCTCCTTCTGGCGGTTTTAGGACCGAGTACTCGGCAACTCGGCCGACTTTTAGAACACAGATTTTTTCACACCTATTAAGAAAGTTACTTTTCAATCATAAGTGTATTGGTTTTGCCAATTACACTATATCCTATAACTTTAAACCAATAAAAATCTAAAAAAAATAATGATTATTTCTTGAAATCTAAAAAAGTGAATAAAAAGCTAAAAAATTTATCATTATGAAACAACATAAAATTGCTAGAAAATTCATAAAAAAAAAACGGAGGGAGTAATTTAGTAGTATTACTCTTCTAACGTTTAGTGGTACACTGGTTGTCTAAAACAATGTTGATTGCAAGTTTGCAAATTGCAACTAAACTTCATAATTCTGTTTCTACAAAAAAATATGTTGAAACTACTGTTTCTTTAGCACTTTGGGCACTGAAAATAGGCGGAGCCCACGTGGGCCCTGCTTTTCAGATCTATCTTGAAGTGCGAATATTCTACTGTATAGTCTGTATGAGATTTTTATTTATTTCCTGGTGGTGTAATCATTCAGTAAGCGCAGGGAGAATGAATTCAAGAAGTTATAATCTGAATATTCCTGTGAACTTGGTTGTCGTAGGCTTATAAACAATACACATGAGACATATTTTCCTTTCTATTCCCTTTTTTTTTTTGGTGTTAATATACATTCTCATACTTGTGAAAACGAGTTATTAAAAGCCTTTCTAAGAAGAGAAAGCTGAGCCATGTTGGCTTTCAGACTCGGGTTTGCCATTTGAGTCACGTAATGTTGTTCGATCACAGTTTGGCCATCTGTCACATTTACAGTTGTTTAAACATTTTCTTTATCACTTGTTTTGGTTTATAAACTCATAAAATCTTACAAAAACCTTTAACAGAAAAAAAAACTCATATAAAATCTAAAGCTGGATAATAAACTTAAATTAATTAGGTGACCCAGGCTGAAATATCATATCGACCAGGTTTTCAATTGGGCGTTTGGTTCAACTTCGGCTAGTCACATGCACATGATTGTATTTCTTTCATATAAAACAAACTTCGTCCTTTTTTCTTCAAGATGCTATCATCTATATCGTGTCCATATATGTAGGTCAACGTGTTTGTAAAGTTATATTGTGGTACGTACAACAAATGATGACTGATATTAAAACGATGATATATTGCAATCTCATTTGATCTAATTGTTTTCAGTTCGGTTCGGTTTGACATGTAAAACCCATCAAGGCAGGTGGAAAAATTGACTAGCTCATTATATTACTATAATAATACCATTCCTCTATCAATGATAAACCTTGTATACTGTATATAAAAAAGACTCTTCTTTGGTGCTGTGCTGGCTACGGAACCACAAACGGGTTTATCCTGATTATTCGTTGCTTACAGTTTTGGTTTAATCTAAGACGCACGTATATATCATATGGAAATCTAATTACGTAAGACGAATTTATAGATCTATATATGCAAGTAAATGGCTTTGGCCAATCCATGGTTGATGTTTCGTGGGGTTATTCTTGAATCTTGTGTTTTAAGCAACGTATTAGTGGATCGATAATCCAATTATAATAGGTATCTTGCAAATATGAATGTTATATAGTTTATGCTTATCCTTCTTTAAATTCGTGTTGTTGATTTTTATATAATTTCTTGGTATAATTTCCATTAGGAATTTTCTTTCATTAGACTACTTTAATCCTTTATAATAGGTGATAAAATGTTGGGAAATTGTAGTCAATAACAATAAAAAAATTCATAATTAACAAAATAACTATACCAGATTTTAGGCTAGAATACAGTGTGAATAATATGTAATATTGCCAAATTACCCCTGATGGATGAGAGAGAAAGATGAACCAATTTTGTTTCATCTCTTCTCTTCATCGAACTCATCTTCTTCCTTCTGTGTTCAGATCTTCCTCTTAAATTTTAATTTCACATATATTGGTTTCATATATGATTCACCACCCTTACTTCAATCATCTCTTTCGATTACTTTTAGTCATTTATATTTCTCCGATAAACTCATTTCTCCTGTGTTTCCAACCCTTTTTTAATATATTTTGAGGACATATCATAATCTTTCTCCCTGGTTTCTCTCAATCATTTATTTCCCTGATTTCTCTCAGATAAAAGTAATGAACGGCCAGATTTTGACATTTTAGTCGGAAAAGTAGCTCAGATTTTGGTTTGATTTCCCCAATAATGATTTGGGGTTTCTCTTCAAATTTAAGTCAACAGTTAAATATGTTTCGAGAGGTTTTCTCCTACTATGCTTTTAATTTCTTCGCGTTTGTTTATTCTCTAAACAAGCAAGAACGAAAATTGTGCATTTCTGGTTCTAGATAAATCAGAGAAAAGTGAAATGGAATTTATTTTAATACGGTGTTCTGTTCTTCATTGTCGTATGGTATAAAACAGAATGTAAAGGTAGTTTCGTCTAATTCCTTCCAAAAATACTGTTAGATGATTACTTTTTTTATATTAATTTCCTTATAGTTATATTCTTAATTTACTACTCTAATATGTATATTCAATACTCTAATATGTATATTCAGCTAATTCACCCTAAAATGTTTCCATTGATAATTTTTTAAGCAAGTAGCAACAGTGGCTGCCCGCCCATTAAGAATTACAAAAAGGCAACTCTGATGAGTTGTTAAGATGGCCTGAAAAGAAACCCAACATGAACGGATGAACTCACAAGGCCCAATGCAGTTTGAGAAGATGTTTACGTTTAACAATCTATGATATCAGCCTATCAGGGGATAACCAATGAAATGTTGTAACTGAATTCAACAAGATGTATATGATTCAATTCTATTGAATCTTTTAACTTTAAGTAAGAGAAAGGACTTAAAATTTTTAAGTATTCGGTTTTATGGAATGTTAAACACGTTCGCGACATAGAACTGATATCTTTAATTCACTCTCATCAATTATTCAAGTAGCCAAGTAGGCTAGTCAACGACATATGAATATTTTTCATTTCGTGTAATTGCTAACAATTATTAGTTTATTTGTTTGATTGCTCTGCTGTTGAAAGATTTTCGAATCTGTCTGTTAATGTAGCGTATCTGCTAATATAGCGAAGACAGAGTTATAAAATATGTGAATATGTAGTTGAAACATTTTGTGTATGAGTGAAAAAGTAGTAGAAAGAGTCGTGATATGTAAATGGACTTAAAAAATCAATGAACTGATTTGGATATGGATTTGGAGAAGTTAAAACTGATCTGGATTATGGATTTGGAGGAGTTGAAAAGGGAAGTTTAGAAGTGGGTAAAAGAGATTTGGAGTTATCAAGATGAAATGAATATTTTCTTCTTTTTTTTAAAGAAAAATAAGGAAAAAAATATCATATTGGAGATTTGAAGTAATCAATAAAATTGAAATCTTGTAGAGTTTCTAGATATGTCTATTGAATATAAATAGAGAGTTGTAGCTGTTTGTAGATAGCCATCACATCACACAAAGCCGAGAGTTTTAATATATTCGAATTTATATTTTTTGTAAAAATGTTATAACAAAGAGGGCCAGAGTTTTAAATGTTATAAAATTGTGTATAGATATAAAAATGTGAGGGTTATTCGTGTCTTGAGCTTATTAATTTTGTTTAAGAACATATTTGTAAGTTGTTTTATTTTATTTTTAGTAATATATTTTTCTTTTGTAGAAAAAACCCTGTCTCAATTTGTGATCTACTAATACATTTGTATCTCTTGCTTTTTTACTATCATGTTGTCAGAGATTCGCTCAGATTTGTTCAAACCAGCTACATATATACCTCGTTTTTAAAATCACATTATAATCACAAAAGCATAACATTTTAAAACTCAATTAATCATACAACTTATTCATCCTCCTCCATTAATTAACATTTTCCTTGTACAGCTGTTTCTATAGACAATTGATGTATGGACTTAAGCTTCCTCGTTTCACATGGTGGACTTTTCACATTTTGTTTTGAGTTTACCCAAAATCGGTTCATGTTAATAACAAAACCGATGAGAAACAAAATCTGATTCATTCGGGTCAGGGTTTGCGACTTTGCGTGCCTTTGGTCCATTTTCATTTTTTTTTAGGTTTACCATCGTTTTGGTTTAGAAAAGCAAAAGTGATGAGAATTAAATTTGATTTATTCGGTTCATAATTTGTAGTATGTCATGGGTTTGTGTTAGCGGTTAAATTTGGTTTAGTTAAAGAATGCAAGTGTGTGCAACCAATTCTAATTAGAACTCGGTTTGGTTTTACCGTTTGGTCTAACCCGGATTAATTTAGTCTAACCGAACCACTTAAGAATGCCCACGATTACACATGCACAAACTTAAAAATTGAAAGTTGACTTTATGTTCATTTTAAGACGACGGAGTTCATTTTGATCAATGCAGATTGCTACAGAGAAAGGGAAAGAGAGAGAGAGAGGGAGAGAGAAAAGAAAAACAACAAAAGATGGAATTCGCAAAAACAAAATGGGTGGCGGCGGCGGCGAGCATATGGATACAAAGCTTAAGCGGAGCAAGCTACACTTTTGGAATATATTCTTCTCTTCTCAAATCATCTCAGTCTTACGACCAATCAACCCTTGACACCGTCTCCGTCTACAAAGACATCGGAGCCAATGTAGGCATCCTCTCCGGCCTCTTCTATACAGCGGTTGCAAGCGGCAAAAGCGGCACCAGCCGTCGCTTCTTTAGTGGGCCATGGGTTGTTATATTTGTGGGGCTGCTCCAATGGTTCGTTGGGTATGGTTTTATATGGATGGCTGCGTCGGGAGTGATCAACCGTCCTCCGGTACCTGTCATGTGTTTTTTCATGTTCTTAGCCGGTCATTGTCAGCCTTTCTTTAATACGGCCATTGTGGTCACCGCCGTCCGTAATTTCTCCGACTACGGTGGGACCGCCGTTGGCATTATGAAGGTATAGGATTATTTCAATTATATATCAATTCTTTTATTATTAATACATGATATTGAACAGGTATTGCTATAACATTTTTTGTTGTTTACTAGCTGGAGAAAGGAACTAGTAATTAATATGATGTCTACGACCGATCTGTTTTTTTTTTTTTTTTTTTTTTTTTTTTCTTTTATATAGCTAACATAATATAACTAGTGAAAATTGGTACTTGACGTTAGTTTTTATAAAACAAAGTTAACAAAAAATCGGTTTAGTATGATAAGATAAATCTTGATAAGTTTTGTAGCCCTCAAGCAAATTTAATAAATTAGTAATGTGTTGTATTTTTATAATTTTTAAAATTCAGGGTTATGTTGGACTAAGCGGAGCAATTCTTGTTCAAATGTACCACATATTTTGTGAAGGCGACCCAACGAATTACATTCTGCTCTTGGCCGTAGTACCATCACTCTTCATCTTTATGACGATGCCTTTCGTTAGAACGTACGACACAGTCGTCGCTGGCGACAAGAAACACTTGAACGGTCTCTCCGCCATCTCCTTGATCATCGTCATTTATCTTATGGTCGTCATATTGGTCGAAAACGTTTTCGGAATGTCGGAGACAATGCAGATATGCTCCTTCACCCTTCTACTTATCTTGCTCGCATCTCCTCTCTTAGTGGCGGTTAGAGCACAACGTGATGAGAAAGCGAGATTATTGTCTTTGGATCTTCCGGTTAACCACACAACCGCATTGCTCGACTCTCCTAGGCTCAATACTTCCGGTAATGTTTAGTTTTGGTTCTTTTTTTTCTTGGCGAATGATATCTTCAATGAATGATATATAACCCTAGTTATATGTTAATTAGTGAGTTTAATAAGGTCACTTAATTAGTTAAGTGGAATTACTCGCTAACACATTTTAGTTAATCTTGACAGATTTTAATGTAGTCATGACTAATGACATGAATGTCGTGGAAGCAATATGCACAACCAACTTCTGGCTTCTATTCGTGGCGATGATATGTGGAATGGGTTCAGGACTCGCGACGATAAACAACATCAGACAGATGGGAGAGTCACTTGGCTACTCTACGGTTCAGCTCAATGCTCTGGTGTCTCTTTGGAGCATATGGAATTTTCTAGGCCGGTTTGGGTCCGGTTACATCTCAGACGCATATTTACACAGTCATGGGTGGCCAAGACCGGTTTTCATGGCCATAACACTAGTCATTATGGCTATGGGTCACCTTGTCATGGCATCCGGTTTAGTAGGCAGCCTATATGTCGGGTCACTGTTGGTTGGTTTAGCTTACGGGTCACAATGGTCACTCATGCCGACAATAACCTCTGAAATATTCGGGATTATTCACATGGCAACTATATTCTATACGATCTCGATAGCAAGTCCAATTGGTTCATACATTTTCTCGGTGAAGGTGATAGGCTACTTCTACGACAAGGTAGATTCTGAGGATGATCATTCTTGTTATGGGAACCATTGCTTTAGGGCTTCGTTTATAATTATGGGTGGAATGGCTTTGCTTGGAGCTCTTGTTGCTTTTGTCTTGTTCCTCCGCACGAAGAAGTTTTATGCAACACTTGTGGCCAAGAGGATGTTGAAGTGATCTTTGGAGCTAAGCTAGGAACTGAATTGTGAGGACTCTACTTGTTTTGGCATTTTTTCATATCTTACATTTTTCAAAGCAAATATTTATTATTTGTAAAAAGCGTGTGTTGTGAATTCTTGAGAAGAAATTATTGGGTCATATGATTATCAAAAGTTTAATAATTAGGCAGAAAGAGGATACTATTTTCAGCCAATTATAACTCGCAATATAATTTTATTCTGCCAAATAACTAAATTATAATCTGCTAAAAACAGCTACAGTATGTTGTCATAAGAATGTTTATAATTCTTGTTCGATTTTTCTCTATTTTAAAACCATAAGAATGTATATTTTCTAAGATTATGTAAAGATCTGATTATCTTTTTTTTTTGTATTTTATTATTTAACTTTTGAACAAAACCGAATATTTTTACAAGTGAATTAGTTAATTGTGTCACTAATGCGGTTTTATAATAAAAAAAGTCAGGCCTGACGATAAAATTACAACTCATCTTTGTCGTGTAAACGTGTTTAGAGTCAGAAGCTCAAACGCATATACCCTTTACATCTCGCAAGAGCAGCATAAAGACAAAAGACTTGATCTTTAATCATTTCTTTACTCAATCTCGATGATGACGAGGAGGTAGAGACAGCGATAAGAACATAGCTGAGATTTTCTTTTTACACAAAACAGAACAGTTGTGGTAATAAATCGAAATTGGCTTTCAATTTCTCCGAGAAATGGAGAGAATAAACACGAAATGGGTAGCAGCAGCAGCGAGCATATGGATTCAAAGCTTCAGCGGAGCTACATACACATTTGCAATCTACTCTTCAATCCTCAAGTCATCTCAATCTTATGACCAATCTACCCTCGACTTTGTCTCCGTCTTCAAAGACATCGGTGGCACTTTAGGCATCTTCTCCGGTTTCCTCTACACGGCCATGACCTCCGGTCGTGGTGGTGCTAGTGGGCCATGGGTTGTCGTTTTCGTTGGCTTGGTTCAGTGGTTTCTTGGATTCTTTTTCATGTGGGCTTCCGTCGTTGGCCTCATTCCTCCGCCTCCTGTGCCGCTCATGTGCTTGTTCGTCTTCTTGGCTGGTCACTCCCTCCCGTTTTTCAACACCGCTAGTGTCGTCACCGCCGCTCGTAACTTCCCTGACTACGGCGGGACCGCCGTCGGCATTATGCAGGTAAGACGCAAGATTCTTGATTTCTTGTTAGCTTTTTTCAAGAAATTTCAAGAACTTGACTCATTTTTCCTCTAAAGGGGTTTCTAGGTCTAAGTGGAGCAATTCTGATTCAGCTGTACCACGCTGTCTCCGGCGGAGAAGGTAACCCAGCGACATTCCTTCTAATTCTGGCCATAGTACCAACGGTTGTCATGTTCTTGAATATGCCTTTTGTGAGAGTCTATGAAACGGTCACAACGAGTAACAAGAAGCATTTGGATGGTCTCTCTGTGATCTCTTTGATCATCTCCGCGTATCTTATGGTCGTTATAGTTTTCGAAAACGTTCTTGGTCTGTCACGGTCCATGCAGATTCTCACCTTCCTCCTCGTGCTGATACTGCTTGCCTCTCCTCTCTTGGTTGCGGTTAGAGCTCTACGCGAAGAAAGGCACACACTTTCTTCTTCATCTCTAGAATCCCCTGTTCTCGCCTTGCTCGAGTCTCATTGTGAAGATGGAGATGGTGTGGTTGTAGAAGACTCGAACATATTGGAAGCAATGAGCACAATGAACTTCTGGCTACTCTTCTTGGCAATGCTGTGTGGGATGGGATCTGGATTCGCGACTATAAACAATATGAGACAGATTGGGGAGTCTCTTCGTTACTCTACTGTTCAGCTTAACTCTCTGGTGTCTCTCTGGAGCATATGGAACTTTCTAGGCCGGTTTGGGGCCGGTTACGTATCAGACACGTTCTTACACAAACACAGCTGGCCAAGACCGGTTTTTATGGCGATAACTCTAGGCGTCATGGCTATAGGTCACGTTGTGGTGGCCTCTGGTTTACGAGGAAGCCTCTATGTCGGTTCGGTTTTGATCGGTATGGCTTACGGGTCGCAGTGGTCGCTTATGCCGACGATTACGTCGGAGATATTTGGGATCAGGCATATGGGAATGATTTACTTCACGATTTCCATTGCTGGTCCCATTGGGTCGTATCTTCTTTCTGTGAAAGTGATTGGTTACTTCTACGACAAGGTAGCTTCTGAGGAGGACAATTCTTGCTTTGGAAGTCAGTGTTTCAGGACTTCGTTTTTGATCATGGCGTCTGTGGCTCTGTTTGGTTCCTTCGTTGCTTCTGTTTTGTTCTTCCGCACTAACAAGTTTTACAAAAGGCTTGTAGCCAAGAGGAGCTTGAAGTGAGCTCGCAAATTTTGTGTATATCGTTTATATTTGTGATTTGAATTTTGAAGTTGAAATAGAAAACAGAATTTTTTGAAAATCTTGCTATAAAACAAAACGATATGAGAGTTGCCCAATCTAAAAACAATACAAACAAAACAACTTAAGGATTCACTTTAGATTGGAGATGAATAGATTATGAGTACTCTATGGTTGTTACCCTTTATTTATAGCATTCTATGATTTGAGTCATATTTTCACTTCAAATCACTCTGTTTCTCTAACTAATTTGTGATTTTTGTTCAAATATTTATATCTCGAAAGAAATACGGGATGAGGTAATTCATTTTCTTTTATTTTGTAAGAAGTGAAAGAAATACAATGAGAGATGAAAAAATTTAACAGAACTACAGAAGTGTAACTCTTTTTTTTTTTTTTTTTTTGAACAACACATAAGTGTAGTAACTCAAAATGGTTTTTATTGTAGTTGTCAAAAAAAAAGGTTTTTATTGTTTTGCTTTGTTTTAAAAAGAAGTTTGGTTTAATTCATAGAGCGGGTTTTAAAATCTAGACCGTATCGTTCGGATAAACCGGTTAAAACCGCAATCTTTTTTTTTGGGTAGGTCAAAACCGAAGAAACTCATTTTAAAGAAAAAAAATTGGATTAAAATCTTAAACCCTGGATTGATTTTTTTCGGCGAGAACCCTAAAACGCTACACTGGTTTCATTGCCGCCAACATCAGACTTGTGCAATCTCTTAGTCATCATCCATCGTCAATCCAACGAGCTCCACCAAAAGGGTCTTCTCATTCGCTGCTTTTTCAGGTCAGAAACCCGACCACCGTTATTATCTTCTCCTTCCTTTTTTCTTTATCTCTCTGTTTCGATTCAATCTAAATTGCAAAGCTTTATTCTCTCTACCTGTTTTGTTTATTTGCTGATTCCATGTTTTGTGAGACTCTTCTGCAACCCTAAAGATTCAATTTTGAGTATTTATGTTTCACTGGAAGCTTCAGTCTCGCTTATGGTCTAATAGCATTTTTGCTAGATTTTAGTTTTTTTTTTGTTCTCTAAGTTTTAATTAGGTAAAAGAATTGTATGATACTGCCCTAAAGTTCTGTCTTTTATTGTTTCCCAATCTCAGAAGCTCTATCTTACTCTTGAACAATTGCTCCCAGGGAAGCTTCTTCAATCTTAACGAAAAGTAAGTTTTTTCTCTTGTAGGTTTGTGTAAGCCTAAAAGTAAAGTGATTGATAAACCTAATAAACAGTTAACGTTCTATTGTAGAAAACTCATTTGGATTAGTCAAGTAAACGGAGTCTAATTATGGAATTGCTTTGTCATGATCTTGAAACCAGCATGAGCCTCACATCCTCAGAGACAGACGTTCCTGTTCCCGAAGATTTTGGGGAGTTCATGCGCTCTCGCATACTGCAGTCGAAACGACCCGACCATGAGCATCTATGCGCTGTCATCGAGGAGCTATCAAAAACTCTAGCTGAAGATAGTCATTCTCGGACTCCTGTGGCTTACTTTGCCGCCACGTGCATCTCCCTAGACAGCCTCTTGTCTGCAAATGCTGAACCACCTTTGGATGTTGTCCAGCCACATGTTGTCATCCTTTCCCTTGTGTTCCCTAAAGTCTCAGCAGGAGTGCTGAAGAGGGATGGTATGGCTTTGCGTCTCGTCCTCAGCGTGCTTCGTCTTGAATCAGCCACGACTGAGTGCTTGATTTCGGCGTTTAAGTGTTTGGTTCATCTCCTCGCAACCGTTGAGTCCATTGTGGTGAACGAGGTCTCTGAATACTGTAGCATCTTGCTGAATTTCGTAACTCATTCAGACGGGAAGGTGAGAAAGCTAGCAACCTCCTGTCTCCGTAATGTCCTGCAGAAATCCCATGGAACAAAGACTTGTCAATTAGTAAGTGGAGCTATTGCAGAACTGTTCCAGAAATATCTAAACCTTGGCCTTGAATCAGAAGCGGGTTCTGCTGAAGGATCCAGGGGAGCGTACCAAATGATTCATGTTATCATCACTCTAAAAGAGTGCTTGGCCCTGATGTCGAGAAAGCACATTGCTTCTGTGTTGGAGGGCTTCAAGGTGCTGCTGACTATGCGTGTTCCAGACATTATTAGTCCGGTGATAGACTCTTTAAATGCAGTGTGTCTCAATCCAACCTCTGATGTTCCGGTTGAGGCGCTGGTCGAAGTGTTATCTATTGCGGCTGGACCGTTCAAGGCACATGAAACATCTGCTGATGCCATGACCTTCACGGCGCGTTTGCTGAAAGTTGGATTGACGAGGGCTTTTTCCCTAAACAGAGATCTTTGTGTGGCTAAACTTCCTACTGTGTTCAATGGTCTGAAAGGTATGTTGTTGTATCTGCTCCTTCCTGCCTTTTTTTGGTTTCAGAATTTGTGAAAGATAATGCTTTTCTTCTCAATGTGGTTTATCCTACTGTTCCCAATCTCATGATCTTTGTGCTTCTTTTTGGCAGATACTATTGCATCTGAACATGAGGAGGCAATCCTTGCAGCAACGGATGCGTTGAAGAGTTTGATATATTCATGCATTGATGAAAGCTTGATTAGAGAAGGCGTCAACAGCATCCAGAACTCAAACTTGATTGTAAAGAAGTCTACTCCAACAGTCATTGAAAAACTGTGTGCAGCAGTTGGAAGCTTGCTTGATTACAAGTACCATGCAGCCTGGGACATGTCTTTCCAAGTAGTTTCGGCGATGTTCAATAAATTAGGTAATTAGTTTTCTTTTATTCTCTGACTTTTCATTTGTTAATTCTTGTTGAAGGTCTTTTCCTCTCTGAGATACTGACTCTTGTACCTCGGGAAGTTATATTGATTAATTATTTGCTATGGTGTTCATGTACTAATCTATCCACTCAAATTTACAGGTGAAAATTCCACATATTTTATGAGGAAGACCCTCGAGGACTTGTCAGATATGCAAGATTTACCTGATGAAAGCTTTCCTCATAGGAAGCAGGTAACTTTACTAGTCCTGGAGCTTAATGATCATCTGCTGGGGTTCTACATTACAGTAAATTTACTTGAGATAGTGATGTCACTTGTGATTTGTTAACTTGGCTTTGCCGTTGAAACTAACTACTCTTAATCAGAAATATACTATTCTTTACCTTAGAACTTCAGTGACGATATTAGGTTACCCATATGGCTGAGTTGTTGGAAGAAAAGAAGTGCTGTGAGCATATGGAACTATATCAGTAGATATTGGGCTGTGTTAACTTTATTTCAAAGCCTCAAAATACTTGATCGTGTGGCTACACTTCTTGTGTAAACTTTTTTTCTGCTTCTGTATTGACTTAGTGGTGGCTCTTATGCTGTTGGTACAGAAAATCGATACAAACGAAATATCTATGCAGAACTTTTTATGTAAACGTGCTCTCATTTTAGTTAGAAATGAATGATACTATAAGACGATGCAATCCATGTATTAGACCTTTTTCTTTTAGTCACGTCTTGTGTTTACGTGACTGTTTGTTTGACTGATGTTATCTTTGTTGGCGATCTCCAGTTGCATGAGTGTGTAGGATCAGCCCTTGGTGCTATGGGACCTGAAACATTTTTAAGCATTGTGCGCTTAAACCTTGAGGCTAGTGATCTGTCTGAGGTAAACGTTTGGCTCTTCCCAATCTTGAAGCAGTACACAGCTGGAGGGCGGCTAAGTTTCTTCACAGATACTATTTTTAGAATGGTCGAAACAATGAGCCAGAAAGCTCAACAGGTAATTTTTATCTTTACCAGCTGTTGGGGTATATATCTTTGTTTTTCTCTAATGTTGTGAATTGTTTGTGATGGCAGCTCAAGCTACAAGGTCTTACTGCAGCATCCAAGAGTGTGGATTCTCTCGTATATTCATTATGGGCTTTGTTACCTTCATTTTGTAACTATCCCATGGATACCGAGGAGAGTTTTGCGGATCTGGGGCAAGTATTGTGTGGAGCTCTTCAAACGCAGGCTGAAACCCGTGGAATTATATGCACCAGCTTGAATATTCTTATTCAACAAAATAAGGACATTGTGGATGATAAAGAAGTATCGGCCAATGATGCTAGTCCTGCTGTGCTACGAGCTACTGCTCGCTATAATTCACACCATGCGGCAGCTAATTTGAAAGTTCTGCGGATGTGTGCTCCTAGATTATTGGATGTTTTGTCAAGGATATTTCATGAATCTGGCAAAGATGATGGCGGTTCTCTTCAGGTAATTAACAACCTTAAAGAAATTATGATGGGTTGGGATATATTATCGGTTCATTAAATGACATCAGAGCTTGTTGTTCTTCTTCTTCTTACATTAAATCGTCTCTCTGATTAGATAAACAACGCTATTCAGAGCTTATCCCAGTAGTTGACAACAACTTTAATTGTCTAAATTTCAGTCTGCGATAGGCAATTTGGCTTCCATAGCGGAGAAAAAGACTGTTTCCAAGCTACTTTTCAAGACATTGCGAGAGCTTTTAGAGGCTACGAAAACTGCCATTGCACAAGATGAAAGTTCTGCTAGTGGGATGGACGTGGATACCGCAGACAAAAACTCTTCTTCCAACCTTAGGTACTGTTACTCCCACGTGTGTTTATAGTTTAATAGTTCCTACTGAGCCAAAGTTGACCTGTATTTTGCATTTCATTTCAGGGCAAGGCTGTTTGATTTGTTAGTTTCGATTTTACCTGGTTTGGATGGTCAAGAAGTAGCTACCGTATTCAGTTCTCTGAAGCCTGCAATGCAGGTTTGTAACTTGATCTAATTGTATTGAGTGTTTTATTGTTCTGGGTGTGGATGGGATGTATCCTATTAGTACATGAAGATGAGTTTTATGAATTATGTGGATGAGGGGTATATGCTGATGCGGGTTGTTTAACTTCAGGATCCCAAGGGCCAAATCCAAAAGAAAGCGTACAAGGTTCTTTCAATCATCTTGAAGGTATTACTTCCTTTTCCTTAGATTTTTCACTCTCGACTAGGTCAAGTATATTGATTCCTTTTGTGCATAGCTGACTGCTTTCATGCTCTCTTAAACATCTATTACTTCATTGATATGATGCTGTGATTATGTTTTCTTTGTGGTTCATCAAGATATTATATGCTTACTTACTCTATGTTAAACAGTAGACGACTAACAATAAATTATGTATCGTATACACTGATGCTGTTTATTTTAGGTCACTGAAAACAGTTGACTTTAGCTTTCATTTACTAATAGATCTTGACTAATGTCTTCGGTTCAAATGTTTCTGTTGCCAGAGCTCTGATGGATTTGTTTCAAAGAACCTCGAGGAGTTGCTTGAGCTAATGCACAATGTATGCCATGTCTCTGCCAAGCGCCATAAACTTGATTGTTTATACTTTCTGTTAGCTCATGCGTCAACGACTGTAAGAAGCTACTCCTTTTAGCTCAGAATTGCATTTTGTTTCTCGTATTAGAGAAATATAGTCCTCATAGACGCTGCTGGATTTTTTCCCCGTACAGGATGATCTAAAGGAGAGAAAAGACATCGTTTCTTCTTTTCTACCCGAAGTTATACTTGCTTTAAAGGAGGTACTAAGCATTGCTTGTTACTGTATGTGTCAAACTATTATCGTGTAAGAATAATTATTCAGGTCGCTGCTGTTTCTGCAGGTTAATAAAAAAACAAGAAACAGAGCCTATGACGTGCTTGTTCAGATTGGTCATGCATACGCAGATGAGGAAAATGGTGGAGACTATGAGAAATTACATGGTTACTTCAATATGGTATGTTTAATCTAATCCTACCAATTCACTGTAACATTTTTCTTCCGGATCTTTGTTTCTGGATTTGTTACATGGTTACTTCAATAGTAGGATTGATTGTTGACCTCTGTTGTACCTGTAACAGGTGGTTGGTTGCTTGGCTGGAGAAAAGCCTCAGATGATCAGTGCTGCTGTTAAGGGTGTAGCTCGTTTAACATATGAGTTCTCGGATCTCATAGCTAGTGCTTACAATTTGCTTCCTTCAACATTTCTTCTCCTCCAGAGGAGAAATAAGGAGATTACAAAAGTTAGTTTCTATCTTCCCTTCTAAGACACAAATCCCTATGTTGCTGCGAGTTGGCCATTTGCCTCATTTCTTTATCAATGAGACTCAGTGAACTGTTCTGAAACCTACAATCAATCTATTCTGGAAAACAGGCAAATTTAGGTTTGTTGAAGGTGTTGGTGGCTAAATCACCTGTTGAAGGACTACACGCAAACTTAAAGAGTATGGTCGAAGGCTTACTGAAGTGGCCAGAAGGAACCAAAAACCTTTTTAAAGCAAAGGTGTGTTTCTGATACCTTTTTATTAACGCCGCAAGTTTGCCCTATCTCACACACGGAGATGCACACATGTTACTAAACTTTGTTGTACATAATAGCTGTATGTATATTATGATTTGGTTTTGCGGATTCTTGTCCTCTTTTATCCTCTTTTAAAGAGTCATGTTGGTATAATAGGTGAGGCTTCTGTTGGAGATGCTCATCAAGAAATGTGGCACGGAGGCTGTCAAGTCCGTGATGCCTGAGGAACATATGAAACTCCTGACAAACATCAGAAAGGTTTGCTAACAATTTTCAAAATTAGTTTAGATTTCAGCCTTTCAGTATCTGTGTTATGTATGTCATAGAGCTACTCTTGATTCATATCAGGTCACGGAACGCAAAGAGAGAAAATATGCAGCTGGCTCTGAAATGAGTAGATCGCAGCATTCAAAAGAATCTTCATCAAAGTACCTTTCCATCTCAGATAGCAGATACTCTCAGAGAAGTATATTGAGTGGTCAAGTACTGACTGTTCTTGGTTTCTGTCTTCCAGGGCTAGCAGGTGGAATGATACAAAGATATTTTCTGATTTTGCGGATGAAGACGAGGACAGCGATGTAGACTACATGGATGGGGAGTCGCGTGGCCGGACCAAGGCTTCCTCTTTTTTGAAATCTAAGGCATCCGGATTGAGGTTGGCACATTTTGGCAATAATCTTGGCTAGATGTTCCTTTGGCTCTACTTACCTAACTTGTTGGTGACTTGTTTACAGATCCAAGAAAAACCAGAAGCAGAGTCATCTTGCAGTGGACGAGTCAGATGATGAACCGCTTGACTTATTGGACCGAGACAAAACAAGATCAGCTCTTCGATCAAGTGAGCTTCGCAAACAGAAAGCTGACTCGGATGAAGAAGCAGAGTTTGATGCGGAAGGACGCCTAATTATCAGTGAAGGAGGAGGGAGAGCTAAAAGAAAGGAAATGTCTGATGCAGCCTCGGATGCCAAGAGCAGCAAAGGTAGCCGTTTCTCTGCAAACTCGTCGAAGAAGAACCAAAAGCGGATGAAGACATCAGAGTCTGGATACTCTTACACAGGCAAAGAGTATGCAAGCAAAAAGGCAAGTGGTGATCTTAGGAGGAAAGATAAACTTGAACCATATGCTTATTGGCCACTTGATCGTAAGATGATGAGTCGCAGACCAGATCAGAGGGCGGTGGCAGTCAGAGGTATGTCAAGCGTTGTCAGGCTCACAAAGAGGATGGAAGGCAAGAGCGCTGCGGAAGCACTTGCCACCACCAAGTTCAAAAGATTCAAGAGGAGTGGTAAGAAATCTGCTGGCAAGAAGAAAAACAAGTAAACAAGTCGCATAAGCTGTGCTTCTCACTATGTTTTAAGACATAATAGGAAGAGTAGTATTTTATTTAAAACACATTTTTTTGGCTGCTGAAAAACTTTAAATACCTTTCTGTCCACTTTTGTATTGTAATCAAATTTTGAATATTGTTATTCATGGGAGTTCCATATTGTTCTTTTCATTTTATTTATCTCAACCAGACTAGATAAAAACAAACTGTAGAGTTGATAAGAGTAAACTATCCTTGTCTTTAACTTTTGCAGAATAAAACAAGAAAGCATGACAATTGAAAAGTTCAATTTTGTTCTATAAAAATATTGGTTGAAGCAAAGCAACTCCAACCTTTGGAGTTTGACTCACTGATGTCTAATGTTACTTGCATGATTGAACCAGCCAATACCATCCATGGAGTTTTGTAACATCTCTTAACACGAAAGTACTTTAATAAGGGATTGAATTATTGAATCTTTGAATAGCAAATACAAACTTCTTGAATCAGTATAATTTCTGCAGTTGATGGGAGAAGTGAAGACTACTCCATACCAAAACAGCTAAATAAAAAATCAGAATCCGAACATATAATCAAGCCACTAGTTAATTGCAAAATGTCATATCATTTTCTTAATTTTTATCTTCTTTATCATCATCTTCTTAGTTCTCTCAAAAAAGGATAACGTACGTAGAAAATCCCAATGAAACAGTAAACGCAAGCCGCTCATTTTGAATCCACACACCGCTCATCTCTTTGTTCTGTTTTGGTTGGTGACCTCTCACTTCTTGTCTTTTTTCTTCTTTTTCAAAACTTTTCCTGTCATGCAAAAATTGTAATAGAAGCAATGACATGCCAAAATCTAGAATTACTCTGTTTATTAAAGGACAACAAGCTCACAAAAGTACGTTACTGAAAAGTTACAAAACTAAACATGAATAAGGAAATATACATTATCTTATATGTATTCGTTAGCGTATAAAAAACCTTTATACTTTCTATCACCATTCGCCATTTAATGTTTCACCAACTAGATAAAAAAGCAAAATTACCATTCACAAACGTAATTACTTCAATTGGTATTAACAAATATTTTCACCAAGTCACCAATGGTGAGGTGGGTTCATCTTCCTATATATGGAGGTTTCCACTATACTAGAGACACGTAACATTAAATTATGTTTCTAAAATAAACTTTGAAAACAATATAAAAACACTTATCCCCACACCTCAGTAGTGTAGAGACACAGAACTAAACACACAAACTCCCAAAAGATAGGGATCACAAAGGGTTCGTACGTTGCTCTCTCTCTCTCTCTAGAGTCTACGATCTCTGAAGCAAAGCGATAATGAAGGAGGAGAGAGAGGATGTGTTGTCATGGCCTCTCATCGGAGAGAAAGATAAGAAGAGTAGTGGACTAAAGGAGGAAGTGAAGAAGCAGCTATGGCTAGCGGGACCACTGATCGGAGTGAGTCTTCTTCAGTTTTGTCTGCAAGTAATCTCAGTCATGTTCGTCGGACATCTTGGCTCTCTTCCTCTCTCCGCTGCTTCCATTGCCACCTCCTTCGCCTCCGTCACCGGCTTCACCTTCCTCGTTAGTGCTCTCTCCCTAGCTACTCGATCCGTACATATATTATAATATCTACAAAATTCACTAATTCTTTTTTGACACATGAAGAATAAGAATTATACATGATATATAAAAAAGAAGAAGATCTCTAGTCTGATCTGAAACGAGATGTGGGGTGATTGTTTTCTCCGTCTTTTAAAGTTTAAGACCTTAAAATATCAAAATGAGAAATAAATTATGAATAACTAATATATTATTCAGGTACGATATGTAGGTACCAGCTGGTCCTCTTGTCTAAACTGTCAAGTTGCGTATGCATATTTGATTCTTTTGTGCTACTCTCTGAATATATAGCTAAATGGACAAACACATTTTGTCCTTTTAAGGAGAGAAGCAGAAACGCCAAAATATATGATAAAATATGTTTTTATATTAAAACAAACTGACGTGATAAGTGAACATCATATCGACAAAAATATCATCAGCCGATTTTGCATATGAAAAAGAAAGTATGGTTTACCTTTGCTTTTATAGCTACCCTCACATGTCGTATATTGAAAGGTAAATGTCTAGATTTATCAACAATTGCGTTGACCGCTTGCTTGTAAAGCAAGAAACCTAAAAATAAGAAAACTATTACCCTTTTGAACAGATGGGAACAGCAAGTGCGTTGGACACAGTTTGCGGCCAATCATACGGAGCAAAAATGTACGGAATGTTGGGGATACAGATGCAAAGAGCAATGCTTGTTCTTACACTCTACTCTATTCCTCTCTCCATCATCTGGGCCAACACAGAGCACTTCCTCGTCTTCTTCGGCCAAGACAAATCCATCGCTCATCTCGCTGGCTCATACGCCAGATTCATGATCCCTAGCATCTTCGCCTACGGTCTTCTTCAATGTCTCAACAGGTTTTTGCAGGCACAGAACAATGTGTTCCCCGTGGTGATCTGTTCTGGAGTCATCACTGCGCTACATTTAATCCTCTGTTGGATCCTGGTGCTAAAATCTGGTCTAGGGTTTAAAGGAGCTGCTGTTGCGAATGCGATCTCTTATTGGCTTAATGTCATTCTCTTGTCGTGTTACGTCAAGTTCTCGCCTTCTTGCTCACTGACGTGGACCGGTTTCTCTAAGGAGGCTCTCCGCGATATCATCCCTTTTATGAAGCTAGCTATTCCTTCTGCTCTTATGGTCTGGTAAGTCTACAAACAAAATGATTTCATTAATATATATATTGATTGGACGTAACTTGGAAAACAAGGTTCCTAGAAAATAGATTTATTGAGAAAAATGTTGAGATTTGGTAAATATTGCTTCTCTTGATATTACTTTGGCTCAAGCTCATGGATCTCTTATTTAGTATCCATTTATATATACTTAGTACCTTTACTTTTTGGTGATGTTGTTCGAGCAGCTTAGAGATGTGGTCCTTTGAATTTTTGGTTCTCTCGTCCGGACTTCTTCCGAACCCAGTTTTAGAAACTTCTGTCCTATCAATCTGGTAAGCATCAGTATATATATGTTTTAGTAACTGTTATCTCTTCCTCATATATATAATTCAGAACAAATTTAGCTCTTGGATGTGATTGGACTGATTAAGAAAATATATGCAGCCTTAATACATCTGGAACAATCTGGATGATCCCATTTGGCCTCGGTGGCGCCGCAAGGTCAGTACACCATTAAACCATTTATAAATATGTAAACTTTCGTTAGTGCATTTGGATGCTATATTATATACATCCATATTCAAACATGAGAGATCATGTAAATTTAGTAACGCTAATTGTCCTTTGTAATCCGCAGCACAAGGGTGTCGAACGAGTTAGGAGCTGGGAATCCCAAAGTGGCTAAGCTTGCGGTTCGTGTGGTGCTGAGCATTGCAATCATAGAGAGTATAATAGTTGGATCGGTTTTGATAATGATAAGGAACTTCTGGGGATTCGCTTACAGTAATGACCTCAAAGTAGTCTCATATGTAGCCTCCATGCTGCCTATTCTCGCCTTGGGACACTGCCTAGACAGTTTCCAAAGCGTTCTTTCAGGTTTTATTCTGTACCCAAAACTTCTATATGCAGTAAGTTTCTTTGCTTGCAAGTAAAGGAAAAACCGCGCCCTAAGCACCATTCCGGTTCTTCAACTCGGTTTAGACCGACTATTACTGGTTAATTATATTGTTTTGTCCGGTTAAAAGGGGTTGCTAGAGGATGTGGATGGCAGAAGATAGGAGCTTTTGTGAATCTTGGATCATATTATCTTGTCGGAGTTCCTCTCGGTTTGTTACTTGGTTTTCACTTTCACGCCGGTGGTCGGGTAAATTATTATCTTAAATAAATCCATTGATTTCAAATTCAAAGTTAGCCATATACTTTTAAATTTTAAGGGGCTTTGGATGGGAATTATATGTGCACTCGTGGTTCAAGGTGTATGTCTTTCCCTCATCACCCTTTTCACAAATTGGGATGAAGAGGTAAAAATAATTTAGCTCTATTGTAATTTTACTATAGGTTTTTTGTTTTTCTTTTGGCTATATATTTCGTAATTTATGCCTTTGGGCTTTGACTGTGATTGTTATGGATTATGATTTCAAATGTTTCTTGGTTTATTTTATGGATAGGTCAAGAAGGCTACAAGCAGAATTGAGTCTTCTTCAGATGTGAAGGATTTTGCAGACGACAATGGGTCAATCATTGTATTATGAAAAACTATTCAAAAATGAGAAATCTATATATGTTTTGTTTGATCAACCTTATTAGTTGGGGATCATTAACACATATATTGTTTACAACAAAATAAAATACAAACTTTGTAAGTGTGTTATAATTTGTTACTAAGTGGGCACTTAGCTAAGATTATCAAATACACACTTTGTATTTGCAAGTGTGAGTGTTATAATTTGATACTTTACTACGGCAACAATATATATTTTGGCCCAACTGTTATCCTTTTACAACAAGTTCAGGTCTTTTCAGGTGGTTATTTGGGCCCAATTGTTACATTTCAGCCCATTTCACTCCTTGCTTCTTCCACCGCTTCATTATATTTCTTCACTCTCTCTCGTTTGCTGCAGCCTGACGAATTCCAACGATCTATACCATCATCAACGAAGGTACTCTTCTCTTCCGATCATCTTCTACGATTTACGACTCCTTCGTTCTCGTTTCCGATTCGCTTAAAAATCCTTCTGACATTTTCATCTCTGTCGATCTAATAGTCGTCCCTTCCGTCGCTATTCACAGCATTTCGAGGTCGTTTGGTTTTACCGATAGCGATAGCTTTTCGTTTCTCTGTTCTATGATCAGGAATAGGTTTTTCATTTGATTCCGCTTCCATTTAGCTATATCTGTGATTTGTTGTTTTTTTAGCGGCCATGGATTTTTCCGATGTTAGACCAGCGGTTCGTCGGATGATCCATTCAGTTGTTATTTGTTTTGGTTTTCGCTTGTAACCTTCTCCAGTGGATTCGATTTTGAGCTCAATGTGCTTCATCTACAGTTTTTTCTAACCCTAGGTTGGATTGGTTTTGGTATATGAGTCACTGTGTTTTTTCTTACGTATTTTCTCTGGTAACGAACACTTGCGTTTACAGTCTACAAAATTTTCCATTAGTCTCAGATTCTTCTCTGTGTTTTGCACATATATAGTTGCTTGGTTGCTGATTGAATGAACGATAATGACGAAAAGGATTGTGAGAGATTTCAAAGTGTACGAGTCTGTTATCTTCTTGAACCTTTCTCATCTCTGGCTTTGTTAACAATTTTTTTTTTTCCTTTTCATTTTTGATGGACAGGATACATCTTGATTACCATGGCAACCAGAAATGCTTTGAGAATTGTGTCTCGTAGGTTCAGTGGAAAAGTTCTTAATGAAGAGGAAAAAGCTGCTGAGAATGTTTTCATCAAGGTAAAAATATCAGAAGTTTTCTCACTGTTTGCTGTCTATTCAGTCTCTCTTTAGACTCTTATGTCGATAAGCTCTCTTTTGATGATGATGAAAACTTTTTATCGAGCTCTTTCACTCTTGCTTGATTTTATTTGACAGATATTTAGATAAGTTTGTCTCATATCCATTTCTTATCGTATCATACAATACAAATAACTCTGGTGGAAGTAAACTCTTAACTATCTACATTGTTATTTCAGAAAATGATAGGAAGCTTTCACTATGTTTTTGTGTATTTTAGGCTCTATAGACTCAGAATCCTCAAAGCTAATTAACAGTCTATCTACTTTCCTTTGATGATGATGATGAAAACTTCTATTCGAGCTCTTGCTTGATTTTGACACCTGCGGTTGATTAAGCTTGGTGGAACTAAGCTCTTTACTATGTACAATGTTATTGCAGAAAATGGAGCAGGAGAAGCTCGAGAAGGTAGCACGAAAGGTAATGATTCTGTTAACTACGAATAGCTCACTCAGATTAAGCTTTTCTGTCGTGAACAAAGAGAAAAATAAGAGTCTTGAGCTGAAACATTGTATGTATTGCTATTATTGCTAGGGTCCGGGAGAACAAGCAGGGTCAGCAGGAGGTGAAGCCAAGGTTAGTGGTGGTGCAGCATCATCGACCGAGTCAGGCCCGAAAGTGTCAGAAGACAAGCCCAGAAACTATGCGGTTGTTGCTGGTGTTGTGACCGTCATTGGTGCGATCGGTTGGTACATGAAATCTGGTGGAAAGAAGAAGCAAGAAGTTCAAGAGTGAAAAGAAGATTCAATGTGGCTAAGTGAATAAAATAGAGTGGCTTTGCTCTCTCTCACTCATTCCTCTCTTATGAGAAACTTTTGGTTTGGAAACAAAACATCACGTTGCTACTCTCTTTTCTTTTGGTTTTGGTTTAACAATCTTGACCTTTTTTCGGGGCTTTTGACATTTAGTATCGGAAACTTTTAACTCCATAGACTCTGATGCTCTCTTTTGATCGGAATGTCTAAAATTTCCAACGTTTAGAACGCAAAATACCAATTACAGTAGTAGAAACTCTATAAATTAATAATGTCGGGATTTTGATATTTTATTAATTTATAGAGTTATTAATATATAGATTTTGACTAAAAAATATTTTTCAAAAAAAAAAAATCAGTATTAGTAATCTTTTAAATTTTCTTTCCAATTTAATAAGAATTTTTCTTTATACGAATATATTCTTAACTTTTTAAGTTAAGTTTCTATATTTACTTTATACATTTTTTCATATTTGCCATATTTTTTAAATTTCATATATGTTTTGTGTATGAGAGATTCATATTTTAGCAACTAGATATCTTAGGTATATATATATTAAGTTTTTATATGATAATTATTAATTTATAATATTATTGGGACCATATTTTACATAGGAGTTTAAAAAAAGTTATTATCTTATCGAATTGTGTCATATTTTACACCGACCCAACTCGGGACCAGAAAAATTTATTAATTTATCGAGTATTAATTTATAGAGTTTATACTCTATGTTGCAGTGCACATAAGCCAAGTTCAACTGAAATTTATCAGATTTTGCCATCAAATTTAAATAAATTTTGCCATCAAATTTAAGTGTTTCTCTAAAGACATTTAAAAGGTTCTGTAACTTTCGAGATGATCATATAGATATGAAAACCATAAGTACGTTGCAAAAATATAAGCCTGATTTCGGAATATTTTCGCTCTTGTATGATCTTAGGTACTTAGTAAGTGAATTTTGGAGAGAATAGTTTGTGTAAATGCTCTGTGGTTAATCGTGACATAACAAAGGCAATAGTTGAAGAAACTAAATCCAAATAACAGTGCAAATGATGTTTGAGTAAAAATATTTTGATAACTTCAACAAAGTCTAACATGATAGAATACAAGCTAAACAACAAAATAGAGATTTCGAAAGGTTACAATATGAAGAAAACAAGACGAGAACAAAACGAGAAGCCAAGTATAAAGCCTTTTACTCGAAAAGACTGAAACCCATGTCCTGCAAATTCAACAAAAAATACACAAAGTGAGTTTCTTTATTTCCAGCGATGAAATGTTGAATGTCAAGACTTTTATTAGAAAGAAAGTAAGAACTTACATCATCGGATTCTTCCTTCTCCTCTTTCTTCTCTTCCTTTTTGGCCTCTGCAGGAGCAGCACCGCCTCCTCCTCCACCGGCAGATGGAGCAGCAGCCATGGCAACACCACCACCACCAGATGGCACTGAAGCTAACTTCTCCCTTCCAGCAGCAATTAGCTCAGCCAAGTCTTTCCCTTTCACTTCCTTCAAGAGAAGCTCAATCTGAGAATCCTCTGATTCAGCTCCAACTGCAAAAATGAAAGATAACAAAATTGTCATATTTCAACATTTATTCCACTGGTAAACTCACTCAATCCCACACCAAAAATACAAATTATTTGATCATACACTGTTTAATTAGATACTTCAATGAAACATTTCTTGAAGTTTGCTCATAGAGGGAAGTTCACATTTCCAGCAATAATACCATATACAACCACTGGCCTATCACCAAAGATATATAAATAAATACTTCCTCATGCTTCAACGAACAATTTCCCAATAAAACGAATCATTTCAGATCAAGTGAGCTTTCTCAATGATATTATTAGCTTCCAAATGCATTTGCCAATCTAAACATCAAATTCTAAATTCAAATCTCAACGAATCTTAAACAGTTGAACTAAAAGTAAGAACGAACCTGATCCGAGAATAGTTTTGACATCGGCACTGGTTGGGGAAGCTTTCCCACTCAAAACGGCGAGCAAGTATGCAGCGACAACCTTCATTTCCTGAGAAAAAAAAAGGAAAGAAAACTCAAACAGATTAAAAATCAAGAAGAATATATTGGAGAAGAAGGAGAAACTGAAATGGATAGGAGTGAACTTACTGCAGAAGTTGATGGATCTCGCACGAGTGAGGTCTAGGGTTGGTTTTCAGACGGCGGTGGAGAAGAAGTCGGGAGATATGGAAAGAAAATATGGTTTATATACACTTAGGGTTTTACGGTGTTTTGTTTCACTACCAAATTCTTCGGTTTTGCTAAACCGGGACTAAATTTCATTAGGCCCAGTTTCTTTCTAAGCCCAGGTTTTATGGGCTTCTAATTTTTTTCAATTTAGTGAAAGCAAATTGGCTTCTCCATTGGAAAATTTTGTGAACAAAATAGTGACGACAGTATTTTAACGTCACAAGTTTCACTAACAAGTTAACAACTGCTGGTAAAGACGTGTTTGGGGGGTCAAAACAAGTACAGTTTTGGTGTTTCACCAGAAAGCAGAAAACAATGATGACGATAGCTACCATGATGAAGAATCCAAAATGGAATCATATGAAGATGTAAAGAAGAAAATTTGGGATTAGCGTGTTTCACGTTTGAGGACGAAGAGATACGAAGGTGTGATCTTTAATCTTTATTAAGATTTTGCGTGTTTGGAGTCATTTCTCAGACTCAATTGGTAAAAAGCTTGAGCCTTGAGGCCTGAGCTCATTCTTCGACAAGATAGCAATATATCTTCTGATGATCAATACAGAGTCTGCTTTATTATTTGGATGATTTGTGGCAACCATTATAGTATCTGATACATTGGTAGTCTTATTAAAGATTGATTGTATATCTGGTTTCATAAATGCCTCATCTTTATATAATCTTCTGAAGTTTAATAATTGCGCGCCAACTGTTCGATGAAACGACTCAGTCAAACCAATATTTTAGTTCCTTGCATCTAATTGCGTTTTTTTTAATTCCGTCCTTTGTTATCTATCAATGTCTGTGTGATCCCTGTTTTTGAGTAGTGAAAGAGTATGTTTCTTGGTTGAATTGGTTGAAAGGAATTAACTTTTTTGTTTTCTCTTTTCTTGATAAATTTGGTTTCTTTGTTGATTTGTGGAGATGTTGGCTTCTGGGTTGATGAGACAGACTTATGCCATATTCAACGTAGGCGGAGCTATGTGCTGCTGGGTTCTTTGGAGACTTTCATTACGGTCAGGTCTCTTCTCTTCTTTCACATGATTGTTATTAAGTTCTACTTGCTAGAATAATTAACTCTAGTTGGACAACCAAGATCAACTTGAATTAATTCTAAGTAAAATACAGTATGAAACACTAAACAATAACAAGAAACGATAGACAAAGTCATGAAGAGACGTCGTGATAAACTGTTAGTATCTTTAATGGACTGACTAGGACAACACTCAAGCCTGCTTGCTACACTTTAATACTATTTTCTCAATGTTTGTTAGTTTCAACGTTTGTGTTTTCGTCTCCTTCTTCTTACCATTTTGATGATTTCTCTTTGCTTCTTCTCTCAAACATCCAAAACACAATGGGAAACCCTTTTGCTCTGATTTTTGAATCTATCTTTCCTACTTTGGTTGAGCATGCAAAGTACATATTTGCTCTCAAGGATAATCTCAAGGCTTTGATAAATGCTATTTTAGAGCTCGAGGCAAGCAGTGCTGATGTGGTGAGGGAAGTTGAGATACAAGAGAGACAAGGTTTGCAACGGCTAGAGATAGTCGGGCTATGGATTAATCGGGTGGAAGTCATAGGACCCAAGGTTTTACTTCTGCTTGAAGGTAGCAGAGTCGAACTTCGAAGATTGAGTATGTTTGGATACTGGTCCGACGACTTCGAATCAACCTATCGTTATGGAGAAAAGGTATCAGAAACGTTGGACGAAGTTAAAACTCTTTTGTCTACAAAACCTCCTGATGAAACGGTAGCTAGGAGGGGTCTTCCTCCCCATATGGAGGGGTTGACCCAACATCCGGTTGGTTTAGAGAACATTCTTGAAGAGACATGGGAACGTCTCATGAAAGACAAAGTTGGAATTTTGGGTCTTTATGGTATGGGTGGAATAGGAAAAACCACCATTCTGGAACAAATCAAGAACAAGTTCCTTGAAAAAGGGGATGAGTTTGATGAAGTGATATCTGTTGTGGTGTCCCAAGATGTACAGATTGATAGGATACAAAAGGAGATCGGGAAAAGACTAGGCCTCTTTGTCTCTGACACGGAGTGGGAGCTAAAAACCCAAAAGGAGAAAGCCGAGCTTATAAGAATGTTCCTTGCAAGGAAACGATTTGTTATGTTATTAGATGATATATGGAAGAAGGTGGAGTTAGAAAAGATTGGAATTCCATTACCCTCTCTGGCAAACAGAAGCAAAGTTGTATTTACAACTCGTTTGAGAAAGGTTTGTGGCCGTATGGGACCGGATGATATGGAAGTCAAGCGTCTAGAACCGGAAAAAGCGTGGGAACTATTCCGACAGAAAGTTAGAGCTGACACGCTAGAAAGTGATGTGAAGATCTTCGAGCTAGCAAGAAGAGTCTGTGGAAGATGTAAAGGCTTACCACTTGCACTCACCGTGATTGGTGAGACAATGGCATGCAAAATGATGGTACACGAGTGGCAGCATGCGGTTGATGTTCTAAATTCAAATGCGGCTGGGTATCCAGAAGTTGAAGAGGAGATTCTTAAAATTCTCAAGTTTAGCTATGATGATCTTAAGGACGAGACAGTACAACAATGTTTCCAGTATTGTGCTTTATTTCCAGAAGATGATTTGATAGAACAACAAATGTTGGTGGACTACTGGATTTGCGAGGGGATTATAGATGGAGGAGGGGATAGAGAGAAAGCTATGAACCTGGGTTATAACATAATCGGTATCCTCGTTAGTGTGAGTCTGTTGATGAAACATGAATCTAGACAGGCAGTAATTATGCATGATGTGGTTCGTCATATGGCTCAGTGGATTGCATCCAATTTTGGGAAAGAGGAGGAGAATTTTGTTGTGAAAACGGGTGCTGGGCTGCATCAGATGCCAGTGGTCAGGGATTGGAATGCAGTGAGAAGGATGTCACTGCAAAATAATAAGATTAGGAACATCTCAGTCACCATGGACTGTCCTAACCTTACAACATTGTTCTTAGGACGGAATAGGTTGGTGAACGTTTCAGGTGTATCATTGATGCCTAAGTTAGTGGTTCTGGATCTATCAGGGAACACTCGTCTTAGCCAGGTGCCAGAAGAAGTCTCAGAGTTAGTGAGCTTGCGATTTCTCAGCTTAGCAAGAACATTGGTCCAGGATTTGCCGATGGGACTAAGAAAGTTGATACAACTGAGACACCTGGATTTGGATTTCATGTTGAGACTTGGAAGCATCAGTGTGATATCAAATTTATTAAATTTAGAAACGTTGAATATATATCTTTCTACTCCTTTAAGTCTGGAGTCGATAGATGCTCTTAAGTTACTGGAGAATTTGCAAGTCTTGAGCGTAAGTATCACAAAAGCTTTTGTTTTGGAACGTCTTTTGAGCATCCCGAAATTGGCTAGCTGTATTGAAGGTCTACATCTGGACGGGTTTGAAGCAATAAATGGAACCGTTTCTATGGAGTTTTTGGCAGGTCTTCACAAACTCGAGATATATGAATGTCGTATCTCAGATATAATAGTGGATTGGGGAAACCCAACACCAAGTGAGGTTTACTTCCACAACCTGAAGTCTGTTTCTATTTCGAGCGTCAAGGGTCTGAAGGACTTGACCTGGTTGTTGTCTGCTTCGAGTCTTACTACACTATATGTAGGTAGGTCATCGGAAATGAAAGAAATTATAAGCAGAGAAAAAGCAGTTGGTATTCTCGGTGAGAAACACAGTATTAAACCCTTTGCAAACCTTAAGATGATTAGATTATACAATTTGGAGAAGCTGAAGAGCATCTACTGGGAACCTCTCCCCTTCCCATGTCTGACGGAAGTCTCGGTAATCAAGTGTCCAAATTTAAAAGTGATTCCATTCAAGAAAGAGAGCTCCAACAGAAATCAGATTTCATTCAAACATGTTGAAGAAGATCAGATTATTAAAGACCCAACTTTCTCTTTGGCTCTGGTAAAAACAAAAGTTTTCACATGCTTTTCAAGTCTTCTTCTTTCATTCTTCAATTCACGCCTGTTTTAATATTCTCAGTGGGATCTCCAGCATTTTCGCAGCAGCAACAGACATCCAACTTTGTAACTCAGAGCTCGAGACAAAATGATTTTGAGTGGCCACTGATTAAGTCTTCAGGCTTAAACTTTATCCCTGGCTTTGTAATTCATTTCTTCAGGCCAAATTGTGGTCCCATGTTATGATTGGTTTGAGTTTGAGGTGAAAGAAACTCGTGTGGTTAGTCAAGTTTGAACGATTAAGTGACAGGCGTTGATATGTGTGGGGATGTTGAAACTCATGTGTTTGCTTTGAATTCCATACATGTGTGAGTGAGTAATTTACATTGACAATTGTTTCACTGTATATATTTATTGAATCTTTATTTGAAGGATTGTTTGTGTCATCGACAGGTACTTACTTTGTTGTAATGTTTATTTACTTCTGATTCTCCATTAACCGACATGTTTGTGAGAAAGCAGCAAATTTCACTGCGGAGGACCAGATCTTGTACACCATTAAGTCCAACTGTGCAAGAATCTGGAGCAAGACCAGACAAATTCACAACTGATTCCAGGATTCTCTGTGGGAAATCTCTGGAGACAATATCACTTTGGGTTATATTGAAAACTTATTCAGAAGCTTCATAGGTTTGAATGAAGAACCTGAGGGTTCATCCTCTTCTTCCTAGTGTCTGCTCCTTCCTTCGTATTATAGTGCCCTAAACACTTACTTGATCTAGTCATTGAGCAAGAAGAGATCTATTACAGTTTCAATCGATGGTGAAACCTATGATGACTCTAAGTTCACTAGAACGATGCCTGATTGTCTTAAATCTCAAGGAGAACACAACATGAACATGTACCCTCCAGAGAAAACAGATGATGCTGGAGTTTTGTATATGAAAAGTTTTGGGTTTGTGAGAGGATACACAAGGTTTTTGGTAACTGATGATTTGGTTATGAAACCGAAGAACTCGGTGTCAAACATTAGTTTGCTAAAGTTTGCAAATGCATTTGAAGGAGAAAGATGTTGAGGAACTAGTGATCAACATTTGAAACCAGGTTTGGCTTACTGAATCTGTCTTCTATTGTAGGCTATGAGTTTGTTGAGAACTTCAATGATGACACCTTCAGTTTTAACTACTTGTTTCTGGAGCTTAATCGCAATTCGCAAAGAAGGCCAATGAAGAAACTCGAGGGAAGAGAATTGGATAAGCCAATTAATCTTTTTAAGAAGCAGCTCCAAGTAATTATGTTAACAATAGGTCTTTTGTTGTTTATCTTCTTAGTGAATGAACCTCATTGAAGCTAAGTAATTACTTGTGATGGATTGTTCTAGATGTCAAAGCTTAACTTGTGTGGTTGTCGAAGAATCATTGTATTAGACAAAATTATTCGTATTTAGAAGAAATAGTGAATTGACATTGTTAAACCGACTGTAATGTAACACAGGCGATTGTGATTGAATAAGAAAACAGAAATTTTGAATAATGACGTTTTGGGTCAAAATCTCTTAGAATTTTCAGCAGTGTCTAACAAAGATGATCGCTGATACAACAAAACTAAACAACAACAACATATAGATTTCAAAACGTTACAATCTGAAAGAAAAAAAAAAAGATGACAACAAAACAAAGCAGCAATGTGTATCACCGCATTACTCGAACAAACTGAAACCCATGTCCTGCAAATTAGCACCAAAAGTGAGCAAAATTAGTTTTCTGATTTAGTTCAAGCAATCTTTTCAAGTTAAAGACAGAAAGTAAAACTCTTACATCGTCAGATTCTTCCTTCTCTTCTTTCTTCTCTTCCTTCTTGGACTCAGCAGCAGGAGCAGCACCGCCTCCTCCACCAGCGGATGGAGCAGAAGCCATGGCAACACCACCACCACCTGACGGCACTGAAGCCAACTTCTCCCTTCCGGAAGCAATTAGCTCAGCCAAGTCTTTCCCTTTCACTTCCTTCAACAAAAGCTCAATCTGAGCATCCTCTGACTCAGCTCCAACTGCAAAATGAAAGACAACAACAATGCCACATTTCATCACTTGTTCACTGATTTCCACAAAGAAATCTGCTTACTGGAACAAAATTGTTCGTTGGTTATATCTATGAAACATTATTTGGGAAGTTCACTAAACATAACTTCACATTTCCAGCAACCATAACTTACACAACCACTAATCTACCTCTAAATATGTAAATGTACAATTGTTCTCATTCTGCAACAAACAATTTCCCAATAAAACTAATCATTTCAGGTCAAGTGAGCTCTCTCAACGAGCTTTGAAAATCATGTATAAACGCATTAATATGCCTATCTAAACACTATTGATGAGTGAACGAACCTGATCCGAGAATAGTTTTGATATCGCCACTGGTTGGGGAAGCTTTCCCACTCAGAACGGCGAGCAAAAAAGCGGCAACAACCTTCATTTTCTGGGGAAAAAACAAAATTAAACAGATAAGCAAGTGGAAACTCGATCGGAGAAGAAGAAATAGAAATAGAAATGGTTACAGTTCGTTTACCGTAGAAGTTGACCGATCTCGCAGGAAGCGGATAGCTGAATTGAGCTGGGATTTTGAAGGCGGCGATGTAGAAATGATGAAAATGGAAAGTATTTGACTTATATACAGTTAGGGTTTGTTTTTGGGGGTGTTCTCTAGCAAAAGTCTTCGGTTTTAAAAAAACACCGGATAAATTTAGTGGGCTGAGGCCCATAAGTATCTAGATATTGATGAGAAAATTGTAAAAATTCAGTAAAAATCACTACTGATGAGAAAATTGCTCAAATTCTTAACGTTCATAAGTGAAATCATAGTAAAAATCTTTGTTAAAATCAGTAGTGATTTTTGCTCTGATTCAACATATAGTTAAAATATTTGTTAAAATCATAGCTAGAAAAAATTCATAGTAAAAATCCACAAAGAAAAATCTTTGTTAAAATCATAGCAAAGATAGTGAAATCATGTTTAGAGAAGAATCAGTAGTGAAATTTTCTCATTAGCTCCTCACATAGCATATTATGATCCACAAAGCGAAAGAAGTCTTATTAATGTAACAATGGTTCTTCTCCAAACATAAAAATGTAAATCACATGAGTTGATACTATATAGAGCATACATTTATATAACGACCACATCATTAGCCTCGGTATTCATCTCCGCAGTCACCAATCACTTGGAGAAGATTTTTACCTTTCTTGGTAACTTCTTGTATGCTACTAACATCTTCATCATCCAATACCAATGTGAATATAGCATTTGCGTCTTGTATGTGTTCCGCTAACCCAAGTCTCACCCCAATCATTGATCCAGCAACTCCTTGCTGCAACAAAAAGATTTCCATATTTTCAAAACAAGATCTGCCTTAAGAGTCAGAGTAATGCATGTGATGTATTAAAGGCTTAAGAAGAGCACATACCTGATCTAGTACGTATCGCACAGCCACCGTTGGAATAGAGACTCCATGTTTTGTGGCTATGCTCTTCATCGTTCGTAGTAAACTTTGGAATAGATTCCACCCTCCCCATGTATCAACCACCTGTAATGTAACCCTCAAGAGTCTTTAAAAACAGTAAAAAGTAGGAAGATACTAATGATGATCCTCAAACTCATACAATGAAATTTTTTTTGTGTCTGTGATCCATTACTCGTATCACTTTCCCTTTCTATCATTCTCTGTAGTTTTTTTTTAACAATGTGGAGTATGTTTAAACAGGTTTATCTAGTGAATGACAGAACGCTTACAGTTTTGTACTTTTGGAGAGAAGGAGTCTTCAAGGAGATGGTTAAATTGGTGGTATCAAGGTACTTCTCTGACAAGAGACCACCCATTACAGTCCCATAACTACACGCCAAGGACCAAAAAGATGAGATGTTTGATTAAGTCAGTTTGTAAAAGAGGAAGAAGATCAAACTAGATTTTCAAAAAAGTGTATAATACGTTATAAGTTTGACGCCTGTAAGCTCACAAAGCTGAGCCATTTTCTGTTGAGGACGCATGTCTACAACAGAGTGTTGCACCTAAAAAACAAAGAAATTGTAACAGAGATTTACAAAAGAAATGGTAAACATAAAATGTTTGGACATTCCGGCTGGTAAATTCACCTGATTGCTAACAATAGGGATTCCATTCTCTAAGATTTTCTCAAGTCTTTCTGTATCAAAATTTGTCAAAGCAAGAGTCTTGATTTTACCTGCAACACGCAGTGTAAGAAAAAGCCTGACAGATAAGATATAATGATAATTAATCACAAAGAACAGAGGAAAGATATAATATTTTCTTGCTGACCTTCGTCTTTTAAGTCAGTGAGGTGTTTCAATGCATCAAGATAACCATCATTCGCATAATCCCACCTATTATTTCAAATCACATATTTAGCAAATAGTATGTAGTAAAAGTGGTCACTAGTCACTACAGAAAGTCCTAAACGTTAGCAATAGAGTCAAGAGAGAAACACACCAGTGAAACTGAAGCATGTCAAGAGAAGCAACATCCATTCGCTTCCGAGATATGTCGATGTTCTGACGAACATAGTTGCTTGTCATCTTCCCTGGACGAGGAACCCATTTTGTCAAACTGCATTACCAAAAAAAAGACATATCTTAATTCAAAAGTCTGATCAAAATTGAGATTTTTGATCTCTACATTATTGTCCAAAAGCACTAGACTTTTAAACTCTCTCTTACCCTTTGATCTTTTCTAAGTACTCAGGAGGTCTTTCTCTACGAACCCTATTGATAAAAATGCCGTAAAGATCTTCAGCTGGACCATCTAAAACACCAAATTAAAAAAGAAAACAAAGTTATACCATTAATCTCAACACACAAGTCATCTTGGAGCCAAAACAAGACTCTGCAATATTTTTTAATCGCCTTGTTAATCTTCTAAGCTAAAGAAAATGAAAATAAAAATACTTACAGATATCGGCCATGTCGAAGGTGGAGAGTCCAGCATCGGCGTACCGGAGCATTGCTTCCACGGCGTCGTTTCGGTCGATTTTTCCCCATCCTCCACTCGTCTGCCACATACCGTTAATAACTCTGGAAATCTCCAATGAGTCGTTCCCGTTCTTCAGCTTCACACACCGATCATCAGCCTGCGTCGTCTCCATCGAGCAATTCACAGAAATGACGCCAATTCGATTCCGATAAGACCGAGTCGAGGTCTTGGACATGCATGATGATACTGTAGTCCCTAGATTGGTGGCGAAGATGGAATGTAAAGCCATCGGCATGACTTCGCTTACTCTCTCTATGTCTCTATCTCTCTGGCTTTCTTTCTCACACTCTTATCTGGAGAGCAGAGGAAGAAGAAGTACGAAGAAAAGGAAAAGAGTTGGTCAAGAAATGGGCCCCAGGTGGAAATATTATCGTAAGCTTGGTGTAAAAAAGTCAATGTTACTGAAAAGTCAAAATCATAATACTCTGTTCCACGACCGTTATTATTACAATAATAATACTATATTTTCCGATAGCCGACATTAACCTTAAACCTGGTAATTAACATCTAAGTACAACTTAGATCCTCAAACAACAACTTTCTCTTATAATGAATCTCTCAAAATCACGAACCCAAAGTTTCATAATCTCAACAAATGAAAAGCACTAAATGATATGATATCTAACAAATTTCTGGATGCAGCAACAACGGGTGCGACCATTTAACGCCTACATAGAAACTTTTATAGTTCACTAGTGATAGTTCTTTAATCCTTTGCTTTTTTGTTTGCCCTTATTTTGTCATGGTTAGATTTTAACAATGAATGAATGCTATTATTGATTCTCCTCAAAAGAAGGTTAGCTATTTGTTCTTTTCTTTCCTCCATCGTCTTTTGTCTACTTACTTTTGCTCTCAGATTAATCTGAGTTTATCATTTTGATGTCAAAAGTAGTGTCTGTTGCCGGGAGTAATATAAGTTCAAAATTTTGAAAAGGCCGGGTATTGGGCCAAGATGGCAAGCCCATAGTTGACAGTAAGAAAGTGGTCAAATTATATTTGGGCCTTGAGGGTAGTATAGGCCCAGAAACAACATTTGTTATCTGATTTTCCCTCTCTTCGTAGAGACTGAGAGAAGAGAAGAAGAAGATAGAGAGAAAGAGAGGCCATGCCTGTGTCCGTACAGTCCGTATTCGCCACGAACCTCGCGACTACAGTATCATGCAGGTCTAAGTCCTCGAACCGGTTTTACAATGTTTCGCACCGTCGAATTGGCTCCAGCTCCGTGAATTGCTCGGCGGAGACGACGGAGGTTGCTGACCGGTCGGTGAAGCTGAAGAATGGGAACGACTCGCTTGAGATTTGCAGAGTTCTCAACGGAATGTGGCAGACGAGCGGAGGATGGGGGAAAATCGATCGAAACGACGCCGTTGATGCGATGCTCCGTTACGCCGATGCTGGTCTCTCTACTTTCGACATGGCCGATCACTGTAAGTAGCTATGACCGTTTCAAAATTCAATCGACTAATAGCTTCGCCGCAAAAATTGGTTTAGCTTTAAGAATATTAACAAGTGAGAATTAGCTTCAAAAAAGTTTGTTTCTTTGTGGTTGTGTAGATGGTCCTGCAGAAGATCTTTACGGCATTTTTGTCAATAGGGTTCGTAGAGAGAGACCTCCTGAGTACTTGGAGAGGATTAAAGGGTAAATGAGAGTGTGAAAGTGTATTCCTTTTTGTCAATTTTGAAGCTAATTGATCAGACTGTTGTATTGAGAGATGGCTATTTTTTTGTGTGTTGTAGTTTGACGAAATGGGTACCTCCTCCAGTGAAGATGACAAGCAGCTATGTTCGTCAGAACATTTATATATCTCGAAAGAGAATGGATGTTGCTTCTCTTGATATGCTTCAGTTTCACTGGTGTGTGTTCTCTCTGTTCACTTCATTGCTAATGTTTAGCAGTTTCTGTAGCTTCTTTAATGACCATATTCACTCTGTGTAATGCATTGTTTCCTATCATTTTGCTGTATATGTGACTTGGAATAGGTGGGATTATGCGAATGATGGTTATCTTGATGCACTGAAACACCTCACTGACTTGAAAGAACAAGGTAAGCAAGAGAGAATGGATATACATCTTTCTCTATTCTTTGTGATTTTGATTATCATTTTATAAATCTGTTAGGATTTTGCTTGCAGGTAAAATCAAGACTGTTGCTTTGACAAATTTTGATACAGAGAGACTTGAGAAAATCTTAGAGAATGGAATCCCTATTGTTAGCAATCAGGTGAATACCAGAGCGTGATGCGATATCAGAACATTTTATGCCTTTTCTCTAGTCTCATTCTTTGTTGCAAATTCCTTTACAGGTACAACACTCCATTGTAGACATGCGTCCTCAACAGAGAATGGCTCAGCTTTGCGAGCTTACAGGCGTCAAACTTATAACGTAAAATCTCTTCTTTATACATCTGACTTCGTCCTCTTTACATCTGTGACTTTAATGGTCTTTTGAGCGCAGATATGGGACAGTAATGGGTGGCCTACTGTCAGAGAAGTTTCTTGATACCAATCTAACAATCCCTTTTGCTGGTCCTCGCTTGAATACTCCTTCTCTCCAAAAGTACAAAAGGGTAAGAAGATATCAAACCATTCACAGATTTAACTCTTTCAAAAGGGCTCATCATCACAGTATCATCCTACTTTTTACTGTATTGAGATTTCTGAAAGTTATAGTATTATTACAGATGGTTGATGCATGGGGAGGATGGAATCTATTCCAAGGTTTACTTCGAACGATGAAGAGCATATCCACAAAACATGGTGTCTCTATACCTACAGTGGCTGTGAGATACGTACTAGATCAGGTAATTACTGCTTCGTCTCATGCATTACTCTGACTCTTTAGGCCAATCTTGTTTTAAATCTGTTTTGAAAATATGGAAATCTTGTTGTTGCAGCAAGGAGTTGCTGGATCAATGATTGGAGTGAGACTCGGGTTAGCGGAACATATACAAGACGCAAACGCTGTATTCTCATTGGTACTGGATGATGAAGATGTTAGTAGCATACAAGAAGTTACCAAGAAAGGTAAAGATCTTCTCCAAGTGATTGGTGACTGTGGAGACGAATATCGACGTATATGAAATGATGTAGAAATACTGTATACATGCATACAATTCATGTAGAACCCTACAGAAATTTGTGTAAATCTTTGCCTTTTCTATAAAATTTTCTTTTGTTTGTTTGTATGTATTTCCTTTGTAAGATTAAGATGTTGAGAAATATGTTATTTTCTACTAATCTTTATTAAATTTGACTTGTTATTTTTTTTACTGAATGAATGGAGATCATATTTCAAGTATACAATAATTTTAACTTTATAAACAGTTAAGAACTAAAACTTTGTTGATCGGATAATCCAAAAACAATTATTGATGTCCATTTACAACCTTTTTTTTCCGTGTGCGGCATTTGAAAGCTTTCCAAGCATGTTTAGACTCTTTAACTAACGTTAACTTGAAACCGCAGACCATCGCTTTCTCCTCTAATCTAGATGTAAACCCTATATTTGTAGATTATAGGGTATCGCTTTCTCGTCTAATTGACATCTACCAGCAAAACTACAAAGTTTGTCTAAACCCTATTTAGCTAGATTTATTTCAGACGATTTGCAAATAAATATGTCGACTTGTCAAACATCATGTTTAAGTTTTGCAAGTGGAAATGGGGAACCAAACTTATTTTTCTTTGTTTTTTGTTTCCGGATTGGTGAGTATTCTACACCAATAGATTCACATGCATTTTCAATTCATCTAAAGTAATGTTTATGACTTATGAGAAGTAAGGAACTGTTTACTTTTTTTCTCTATCTCGTTTCTATGCATTTCAAATAAAAAGTGGATACGATACCATTTGAAATGCACATCCGATTTAGATTTCAAAACAGCTATATAAATGCTAACAAAAAATTACATATATAATTCTAAAATATTTTAATATATAAATTTCTCATAAAGTTAGTATTATAAAAAAAATGAATTATAATTTTTTTTTCAATAGTGTAATTTAGCTTCATCATAAACAAAATCTTACAAAGTAGATCAGATATCTAGGTTGATATACACGTAACATCACAATAGGTACAAATTGCAAAAAAAGCATGTCGACTTGTCAAAACAAAGCAAATTGTAGACATCAGTTAACAGTTTTGCAAGTGGAAATGGGGAACCAAACATATTTTAGCTTCCGGCGCAGCTATATTAAAGTAGAAACAAACATTTTTTCTTCAAAGAGTCAAACATCTTTTTAATTTGGTCTTACGAACTAAACGTCAAGTTGAAACCTGCCAGCACGGTGGATGCATGAAAGACGCGATGTCGACATGCAAACTGTTTAGCGAATTACAAAACATAAAGACCCAATCCCCAGTATTGGCATATAACTTGAACCACTTGCTCTTAACTTCACACGGATCTCAAAAATCACGTGTTTAATTTCACGAAGCACGTTTTTTGTTGTTTTTTTGTCCTTTTTAAAGATATTCAAAAACAGTAGCAACAATTTCTCTTTCGTATACGACTTATTTGTCCAACACCCTTGTCAACTATACGTTTAAACTGCTGCTTAGGGGTTTAGGACGATATATTTTCCTACTTTTTTTGTTCATAAGTGGTAGTGGTTTTAAAGATTTGTGATATGATTTCGGTTAGGATTTGAGTCATCGTACTACAATTTTACTCATTCAATGATAAAAATATCTGACCTTTTCATGTCATAGCATAAAATATCTGACTTTATCACCAAAATTCTAACAATAACTCATAGAGCATCAAAATTAGAATTAGGAAGGGTCATTAAAGTTTAAGAAGATATCATAAATGATTTACTAAATCCTATTCCTTGCTAAATTTTCGAGACGTAAAACAAATTCTATGACGTTTTTTGAAACTTTTCCAAAATAGTGGCATTTTTAACTCAAAACTGATTTGTGGTATTTTAGTCTGTCTATTGTCAAATTTCTACTATGACAATTTGGAGATGAAATGCTAATTGCAATTTGCAAACACTATACCAAAGGAAAATTGATATTTTAGCAAAGCATTTTGTTAGTGTAGTAAACCTGCCAGCTCCAATGCATGAGAGACGCGACGTCGACATGCATACTGTTTAGGAAATTACATAACATAAAAGACCCAATCCCTAGTTGCGGCATATAACTTGAACCACTTGCTCTTAACTTCACACGGGTCTCTGAAATCACGTGTTTGATCTAAAGAAGCACGTTTGTTGTTTTTTTTTTCACTTTCAAAATATATTCAAAATCAGTGCTAACTTACCATTTTTTTGTTGGTAACTTGGTATACGACTTTTTTTTTTGTCCATCACACTTGTCAACTATACGTACGTCTTTACCTTCTAAAAAAAAAAATCGTAATACACTGCTGACTGCTGCTTAGAACGATATATTTTTGTACTAATTTGTCCAACACACTTGTGATCATTATAGATTGTACTGTGTACATGTGAAAATATGAGATAGAAAAGATTAATTTAGTGATATGTTTGTTGCCATGGGCAACAATATCAAGCATGAAGAAAACATATCACTAAATTAACCAAGTGGTAGGTACAGTGGAGATGAAAAATGCAATTATACGTGGGAGATGTTGTTAGTGGCTTTAAAGCTTTGTCATATGATTTAGGTTATGAGTTGCTTTTTCGTTTTACAAGTTTAATCATATCAACGAATTATTATTTTTTCTAGAAATTTGATTTTTTTTTTTTTGCCAATATATTGGCTATAAGTTAGGTGTAGTTTGGTATTATTATTTTTTTATAAATAAGATTTGCAATGAATATAAGCTAGTTGGTGTACGTAACGATGAGTTAGCATAACGCACGTTTTAAGTTTATGCACGAGTTGTTAACGCACACACACAATGCAGGTAAAACTACAACTGTTTGTTGGACCAACTAGTTAACAAATTTTAATGAATGATACAGTTCTAAACGTCCAAAAATATCAGTTAAATCTTTATTCAGTTCGACGACAAAAAAATTTCTGTTTCAGTTCACATTTTGTAAACTTTTCCTTGGAGTCCCCTTCGATTGTATTAAATGATTCAAATCGAAGTTATTATCAAATCCGAAGTTAAAGACTTAAAGCCGTACTTCGATTGTATCAAATCCAACTTTTGTGTTGTCAACACTACTCCCTCTGTTTCTAAAAACTTGATGTTTTAGAAAAAAAATCTGTTTCACAAAACTTGATTTTCTAGCTTTTTAAAAATATTTTTAATTAGTAAATGCTATTTAGTTATGACTTTCAAGAATGCTTTTGAACTATTGGTTTAAATTTATAAAAAGTAGTTAATGAGAGAGAAAATAATGCACTAATTAACCAGCATTAATTAATTCTTAATATGTGTGAAAATTCTAAAACATCAAGTTTTTAGAAACAGAGGGAGTATAATCTAGATGTTTTTATTGAACTTTTCTGTTGTCAACACTATAATCTAGTAGATGTAATCTTACTTGATGATAACAAATCAAAGAATAATAATTATATCAGTAAAATACAGTTTTTGATTTTTAATTCTAGTTTCTTGACATTTTTAGGTTCTTTTCAAATCTTCGATTTTATATGGTTGTTATTTAAACCTCATATATATAAAAACTATTTAGTTATCTTACAAATCACTTTTAAGAGAATTGACGCAAAACGGCTTGATGAGAGTGAGAGCAAAGCAGACAAGGTAGTACCATTATGTAGCTGTTACTGGCTCACATGTATGATGATGTATCACTTGTTCGAATCAAAATCACGTTCACACTACTAATGGCTGGGTCCTTCAATTTTATAAATATATATAACATGTCCTTTTATATAACAAAATTAGTTCTTTTTAACAAGTGAAAAATGCTTTTTATGTAGAACGAACGTACGATCCCACATGACTTTCAATATTTATTGTCGTCAGTATCAGAGTAATTTTTGTTTAAGAAAAACTCATTGTACGGAGTTCTGTTGCATAAAGTTAACCAAATGCGTTCGAATAAAGTTAACTAAAAGAATTTATATTTTAACAAATTTACACATAAGCAAAACATTTAGAAAACTTCGTAACACATAACCACCCCCACTATCAGTCTATCACTAAACAACCGGAGTACTTCTTTGGGATAAATTTGCATGGAAACTTACAAAACACTAATTATATGAAACAAAAACTAGAATCTAAAACATCTGAAAAGATAAACGTGTTCTACACTACCTTCTGGATTGTGTTAATTTCTCTACTGATTATTTATGTCACTAACCAAGGTTAAAAAATACATTTAATTTGGTTGCCAAAAAATTCTCAGCTGAACTATTACTCTTGCCGCATACATATAGAGGACTTCAGCTGAACTGTTACTTCATAAATTGTTTTCCATTCATTTTAGTAACACGACTTTAACATATGAAGCATGTGACATAAAACTATGAAACATTGAACATCTTATCCTAGTTGTTTACTTCCCATTTTAATATTGTCCTAATGGAAGCTCACTGGGAAATTTCCGAAGAGATATGAGATTTTCCACAGAGGAATGCGCGGGAGCTAGTGCCATGAGAACGCTTTCACGTTTTGTGTTAGATCACTTACTTGGTCTTCTATCATTAGGTTAAAAAAAGCTCGCGTAGATAAAAATAAATTACTTGTTAAAAATAAACTAGTAATCAGATATTGACATTTTGTTAGTTCAACCGAAAAGGGCACCAAAGACGAAGTTTAGAGGTGGTTAATAATCAACTGACACTTGAAATAAAAGTATAAAACCATATCACACGTTCTAATTCTGAGTATGGGGATTGCACGGATCCATCGAGAACCTCTTGTAGTCATAGAAAAAGAAACTAATCGTTACCAGTGGGTGATTGTCTGTACTTTCTTTTCTTCGCATTTTAGTTTCGTGTCTACCCGTTAATATATTATTTTGGCTTAAGAGGTTTTAAATGATTCTTCTTTTTCACTATAAGCCATAAGGTATCAGTATCACTTCAGTCATGTACCGCATGCCATCATCGCGAATATTTCAGTAATTAATAACGGATGACAAAACAAAAACAAAACCACAACACCATCACTAACTTTTACCAATGTATTAGCAATAAATTATAAGTTCGAATAAAAAAGTCATATAAAGTTTTCTCAATGTATAAGTGACATTTGGGACTTTGCCACCAAATTTAATGGAGAAATCTTGTTTTATTGGTATTTGCCATTTGGTAACCCACATGTAAAGAAATTGAATAAGAATCCAAAATGATCTAAGGATCTTTTTGTCTGTTTTTCGTTTCCTCTTAACGATATTACGGTCTAAGGATTCAATGTAATGTCCAAATATCGTTATTTTCCAATATCTTATTACATATTTACGAAAATGAATAGGAACCTTCTTGTCGACGACATAATTAAAATTGATCATGTCGACCCAAGCAAAGAACAATTTTAAAAATAAAATAAATTGGTTGACAAAAAAATGTGGAACTATAAGACATCATTATTATAAATAATGTATGATCATAAACAAGAGTATACCCAAATGAGATTCTCAAATCTCAACAATATACAGTAGTATTGTGCTTTAAATATAACTTGATTATATGATTATATTTTTATTTTGGAAGTGAAGTAATTAATAAAAATGCCATTTGCCGTAGAAAGACTCAGATTCTGTAAAATTAAAAAAAAATAAAAAAAAATCAGAGTGAAGCTTTTAACCATAAAACCTCAGATTTTCTTAATTTACAGAATCTGAGTCTTTCTACTCTAATCTCAATAACTTTTGGTGTTTATAGTAGAAAAAACAAAACGAACAGTAAATTTGTTACATCAAAGTTACTTTGATTACATACTTGTACTAAATATTTAAAATTTCTGGTCCCCCCACAAAAAGAAATAAAAAAAACACGAATCCAACAATTGATTACAATAAATAAATAAGAGAACACATGTCTGTCCACATTAACTTAGAGAAAAAAGAATCTCTATTTAATTGACTCTTTAGCTTTCTTTTCTTTTCTCGTACCAACAATACTTCAACTCTTCCCTCTTCTGTCTTCAACAAACCAAAAAAAAAAACACAATGTTACTAATCATCTCCTTCATCATCATCGTCTCCTTCTTCTTCCTCTTATTCTCACTCTACCATACAATCTTTTACCAAAAGCTACGTTACTGCAACTGCGAGATCTGCCATGCTTACCTAACTTCAAGCTGGAGAACCGATTTCGTCAACCTCAGCGACTGGTACGCTCATCTTCTCCGGTTATCTCCAACGTCGACGATCAAAGTCCACGTCCTCAATAACGTCATCACCGCGAATCCGGAAAACGTCGAGCACATGCTCAAAACGCGTTTCCACAACTACCCTAAAGGCAAACAGTTCTCCGTCATCCTCGGTGACTTCTTAGGCCGCGGGATTTTCAACTCCGACGGCGACACGTGGCGTTTCCAGAGGAAGCTCGCGAGTTTGGAGCTCGGGAGCGTCTCCGTCAGAGTCTTCGCTCACGAGATCGTTAAAACCGAGATCGAAACTCGGTTATTCCCGGTTTTGACTTCGTTCTCGTCGGATTCCGGTTCGGTTTTGGATCTGCAAGATGTGTTCAGGAGATTCGCGTTCGACACGATCAGCAAACTGAGTTTCGGGTTCGACCCGGATTGTCTCCAGGTTCCTTTTCCGACGTCGGAATTCGCCGTCGCGTTCGACACGGCGTCGCTTTTATCGGCGAAACGCGCGATGGCTCCGTTTCCTCTACTGTGGAAGATCAAAAGGTTTTTCAAAATCGGTTCGGAGAAAAAGCTTAAAGAATCGATCGATGTGATAAACCGGTTAGCCGGTGATTTGATCATGCAGCGGAGGTTAACCGGTTTGACGGATGAAAACCAGGATATGATCTCGAGATTCATGGCGGTTGTGGCGGAGGACGACGACGAGTATCTCCGTGACATCGTCGTAAGCTTTTTATTGGCTGGTCGGGACACAGTTGCTTCCGGTTTAACCGGATTTTTCTGGTTATTGTCACATCACCCGAAGGTGGAGAACCGGATTAGGGAAGAATTGGACCGGGTCATGGGCTCCGGTTTTGACTTAGCCACTGCTTCTCTTGTTGAAACGAGAGAAATGGTTTATTTGCATGCGGCGTTGTACGAGAGCATGAGATTGTATCCACCGGTTCAATTCGATTCCAAATTCGCTTTAAGCGACGACGTTTTGTCGGATGGTACATTTGTCAAAAGAGGGACTAGAGTGACTTACCATCCTTACGCAATGGGTCGGATGAGCCGGATCTGGGGCCCGGATTACCAAGAATTTAAGCCAGAGAGGTGGTTGGATAGCGAAGGAAAATTTCGACCCGAAAACCCGACTAGGTATCCGGTTTTTCAGGCCGGAGCTAGGGTTTGTGTGGGGAAGGAAATGGCTATCATGGCGATGAAATCTATAGCTGCGGCAATGGTTAAGAGGTTTGATACACGTGTGGCAGGTCCCGGAGCTACTACCGAGACGGCTCTCCGGTTTGCGCCGGGGCTGACGGCGACAGTTAACGGTGGATTGCCGGTTTTTATACAAGAAAGGAAAGCTTAAGGAGTTCTTTTTTGGTTGATCCGTTAAGACTCATAAATGATAAAGTCAAGATGTGTGATATAGTATTATATTACTACATGAAACATAGATAAAGTCTGTTTTTTAACTGACCAATTATTGTTAACATGCAAGCACACTTGTTGACAAATCTATGCGTATCATTTTAGTATATCTTATAAAATTTAGAAAGCCAAGTGGGTCTTCTTAATTCCTCTGGAAACTGGAACCTTAATTAAATAATTCTTGAATTTAATATGATCACGTAAGTAACCACAAAAAGTTCAGGTTCATGTAACTCAATGAATCACCTTTTAATTTCAGACAATGGTTTATGATAAGATTTCTCTTTTTACACAAGTGTAGATTCATGCAAAATGCAAAAGTATGTGATGTTACGAAATAACATGACATCTAGTAAATATTAGTATGCTATTAGGCGAATAGTATTCGTATACAATAGTAACCCTATATTCAGTTAAATTGTATGATATCAGATAAATTAACATATTATTTTATTTAAAACATGTTAGAAATCTTTATTATTTGGGAGTAAAATTATCGTGTCACTCATAAAGTTATTTATCTAAAAGAAGTCAAAATCATTTACCTAATCAATAAAAAATGTAAGATTTGTTAGTGAAGAACAGTTGAATATACAGTTTAAATTTTAGGATTTAGAGTTTTTTTAATCCATGAAAAAAATGTAGTTTTGAAAATAAACATCATAAAGATGTATTTTTGAAAATTAGCATCTCAAAAGGTGTAGTTTTGAAAATTCTCCAAAGAACTTTCACAATCATCATTGAATATATATAAAAGGAAACATTCAATTAAGTTGTTTTTGTGCCCATAGTATGATAGATAGTTTTACAATTAGGTGGGCTACTGGTATCTAATAAAATAGTTCAGAACGTGGAATATTAATATAAACATTACGTACAACTCATAAACTCCAAACTGTTAGATTCAGCATAAACTAATTAATTTGATTAACCTATTATGATATGCCAATGGCTTTTTTTGTGCAAGCACGACGCTTAAACAACTTTTTCTCTTGTATTTTAAACTGTTAGACTCTTTACACCTCCATTTTGTAAAACGTGGCTTATGTTCCTATACGGCTATACTACTTTTATCATGTAATATTCTCTTCAACTTTTAGTCCCTTTACACATTGATTTTATAAAACGTGGCTTATGTTCCTATACTACTTTTCAAAGAGAAGCATCAGATTTAATTAAAAAATACTACTATGGAGTTTAGAGGAAATTTTGCGGCGCGTGGGTATACTTATAAAATAAATGATTGACAAGTGACACGTTGATAATGTGAAGAGTGTGGTGGATGACTGGATGTTGAGGTGGAGTCAATTTGGGTAAGTGGTCCTTATTGTTAAGCATTCTGTAAATTGTGCAATTGTGACTAAGACGGCTAACTAAATTATCAATTGTTAATATTTCCGCAGATTACACATTTTTATTTCTATTTTTTAAATTTTCTTTAATATATTTATGCCGATCAAGATCACGATCATATCTCCGATCCTGTGATATGACCAACTGACCAAAGTATTAATAAAATCAGCAGATATACTCTCATGCTGTGCCGGTGATATGTATTTATGCTGTTCACGTGAATCTCACCGATCGCACCAGCAGATTAAACTATAATGTCGACAAACTTTTTACAATCTGATGTGTAAGATGCGAAAAATGAGACTTTACATGTCGACTCTTTTAAGCAAAGCGGCGACATATGGATTATGTAGTAGGCTCACTCAGTACAACTTTTATTAATGTTATTATTATTATATTTAACTTGAGAAAAAATTAACATTAATTAGGGGTCATAATCTGTTTCGGTCAGGAACCAGTTTATGATCCATCATCCCATTCCAAAAGAATCGATACTTTTCCCGAGCGGGAGTCAAACTAAAATACTAAATACAACTTGTTTGATTGATACAGCACAACATAAACGTTATTTTTTTTAGTATACAATATTAACCACTACTATCCATAACTTTATTGTATTAAATATATGATTTTTTTTTTAATTATTTAATTTAAGAAGTGGGTTTGGTAACTTATTTGAAGCGGAATTTGTTGTTTAAATACGCTATTTAATTGACTGAACAATGATTTTACATCATATGGTTATAGTTTGAAAAAATGATCAATCAATCATTCACTACGTTTACGCATGCATACGCTTTAGTCATTTACACTAGTATATAGCCAATTCTCTCGGTGTACGAAGTGTAATTAGCTTAACTGATAAATACCCTAGGCAAAACGTTAATGCTACAGAGATGAAATAACATTTAGAACTACAGTATCAAAATATTTACGTTTCTATTTTTGTAAAACTTTGTAAGGCTCTACAAGCCCTTCAGTGGAAGTTTGTTTTTTTGTTAGACGACCCAAACAGCCTTCGGTAATAGAGCATCTTCCTTAACTAGGCCCATTCTATATTAGGAATGAGACTGAGTCCTAATTCAAGTGGAGTACGCTCTGTATAGGTTTGAATGAGTTTCTTATTCAACTCTCGGAATTTGTACACGGTACAAGTATTTATTTATTTATTTATTTATTTTTTCTCTCTTATACTCGCTCACACTAGCTGCTACCTCTCATACCGCCTTCGATGCCACTTTAGCCACAAACACTGTGACTCGCACTCAATATGACTAACTACGAAGATAACTTTTCTTTGTGCTTCGGCTCGATATCCACAAATTCTTTTAACAATATTTATTATCGGATTCTTGATATATGGTACTCATAAGATATATTCAATGTATTAAGAAGACAGCGTCCAAGTTTGAAAAATAAGCACTACGATCCAACTCTCATATACCCCTCTTGTTTTATACAAATAGACTTATATGTCTATACAATACAAAAGAAAGAAAAATAAGATGAACCACACATAATTAGAAAGTGCAACTAGCCAAAGTCAATGTGTATTATTATTCTTCACTCATGTATATTACCATTTCTCATGGAGAGACGTGTAAGGCGTTACGTTGACTGACTTAGCCCTCTTTTACTAACACCAAAAGTCAACCCTGTTTTCCCTATTAACTCTAAGTTGTGTTCATCACAAGTAACAATCTCATTCTTAAAAAAAAAAAATAACAACCTCATTTTTAAGATAGAAATCAAAAACACAAAAAAAAGATGGGAAAGCCAACAATCCAAAACAATAACTTTATAAACCACTTCAGCCACCCACACCCCCTTCAATTAGTCCCGGCGACGTCATCACCACCATGCTCCGCCTGCAAAGTCGCCGGAAGCAGCGGCCGTATTTACTCATGCAGGCCATGCAACTTCTCTCTCCATGAGTCGTGTAGCAAGAAGATGAAGCAGGTAATAACACATCCCTCTCACCCTTCTCATACGCTAACCCTTCTCGTGGCTCCGGTCTACGACGGTGGATACTTCAACTGTGATGGTTGTGGCGTCATAGGCACTGGATTTAGCTACCAATGCTCTCGCTGCGACTTTGACATCCACGCGCTTTGCGCTTACAAGCCCCTCTCCATCATTCACAAGTCTCATCCGCAACACAGCCTAAACCTTACGTTTCACTCCCCTTATGGATCCAATAAAGGCTTCTCTTGCGACGTATGCCTCAAGATCGGTAAGAACCAGTGGCTTTATCGATGCATCCCTTGTGAATTCGACGCTCATGTCGGTTGCATGACTGCTTCTCAACCTCACCACCTTCAACATAGTAATTCTGCACCTACTCCTCATGCTCATCATATCGGTCACCCTCAACATCAAAACTCGCTTCCTATGCCTAATCAAGGCAGTCACATGCCTAGACCAAGGCCCATGACAAGGCCCATCCGTAATCCCATTAGGCCTATGGCTCAGAACGTTGCGGCATATGGACCAAGAAGACAGAACAACAACAACAACAACAACAACTTGGGTTATAATGTTAAGGCTGGTCCTATTGGACCAAATGGACTTACTGAGCAAGTAGGACAAAGTTTTGATCAAGGGTCAATAGACGGAAGTGGCTACGATGGTAGTGTAGGGAACGAAGAGTTTGATGGTGAAGTCGATGTTGAGATTGAATATGAAGTTGATGTGTATGAAGCTAATGAAGATGGAGAGGCTAATGGCGAGGGCCAAGACATTGGTGCTACCAAACTTGAAACTGTGTTTTGTGGTGATGATTATGATGCTCCTCGTAGCGAGAGTGAGTTTGGAGGCAGCAGTGATGCTCGTAGCCAGAGTAATGATTCGCCTGATGTTGATCTCTATCCACTATCAGTTCGTACAAGACAAGGATCAAGTGGTGGTAGGAAGAAAAACCCAAACCCGAGCGGTCCATCAGCTAGATCGGAGAATATGGGTTTTAGTGGGTCTCGTGGTAGGCTTCAAGGGTCCAAGAATCCAGTCCAAAGTCCTAGAAGACCACAAAGTAGAAAGGTGCCAAATGTACGTAATACTGCAATAAGAGCTGGTGGACCTGTCCGAGTTAACATACCTCGTGAACCAGCTGCATTTAATGGACCTATTGGTGGACCTTCCAATGCAACTGATGGTGGTAGCAACTACGATAACTACAACCAAGTCGATGGAGGTAATATGTATGGTGGTGAGTCTGGTGACTATGGTGAGAGTTATGGTGATGGTGATTGTAACTATGAAGTTGGAAGCGAGTTTATCGACGACGGTTGTGATCAAGCTTACGGTGGAAACGATTTCGAAAGCTACAATGAGTCTATGTATGATGGAAATGAATCTTATGGGACTATGGATGATTCACAATATGGTGGTTTAAATGAAGAACCCAGTAACCAATATGTACCCATGGTTGGACCGGGAATTAATAACCAGAATCAGTATGGTCAGACCGGTAGGGCAAGGAACGTGGGCAGGTATGGACGAGGTGGTGGTACTAGAAATCTGAACCAAGGTGTGTATAGTACTCATGCAAGAACCATGGGTCCAGTGGCTCAATATAGGCCTAATGGAAGACCTTATAGGACTAACGGACTTGGAAATCAGATGATGAATACGATGGTGCGGGGTTTGTGTCAAGGCTTGGCTACGAACATGAACATTGGCGGTGGTGGTGGTGATGTTATGAACGGCGGAGCGAATGACGGTGGTACATCATTTGGAGATACGTATGGTGGGGAGTCTTTTGGAGATGCGTTTGGTGATGGATCGTTTGGAGACGCGTTTGGTGGTGAATCGTTTGGAGATGCGTTTGGTGGTGGTGAGTCATTTGGAGATGCGTTTGGTGGTGATTTCGAGTTTTGAGATAAAAAAATGCTATCGGATAAAATTTGTTTTTCTTTTCTTTCTCTATATATTATGCAAATTTGTATACTTTTTATGTTTTTACTTTCTCTTCTCATGCTCCCCTCTCTGTATATCTAAGTCACACTGATGCAAAATCTACAAATTTGTATACTTCATGGTCACTAGTCACTACTTAAGAAAATTGCAAATTTGTATACCTTTTCTGTTTTGACTTTCTCTTCTCATGCTCCTCTCTGTATTATTATTATTTTTAAATATTCCATGAAGTATAAATACAGATGCAAAATGAATAAATTTGAAAAACGCCAACAAATTTTCAGCTCTTTATCTTTTAATAATGGCTTAACTTCAGTTTCCAAATGATATATCAGATCAAATGACTTACTCTTTTATTTTTTTTTATTTTTTTAATTTCAGTCTAGCATAAATAGTTAAATACAGATGCAAAATGAATAAATTTGAAAAACGCCAAGAAAGTTTCAATTCTTTATCTTTTAATAATGGCTTAACTTCAATTTCCAAATGATATAGTATCAGATCAAATGACTTACTCTTTTATTTTTATTTTTTATTTTCAATTTCAGTGTAGTATAAATACAGATGCAAAATGAATAATTTTGAAAAACGCCAACAAATTTTCAGTTCTTTATCTTAAAAAAAAAAAAAGCAAATGCGATTCACAACAACAATATGGAGACATCAATCTCTGCAAAAACTCAAACACAAACCTCGTATACACGCACTTGGCGCTACGAAAATCCGAATCTATTGCTTTAGTACTTCTATATCATCCTCTCGTTTATACAATGCACACAACCTGTTCGACAAAAATCCTGACCGAAACCTCGAAAACTACACGAGCTTGCTCTTTGGATTTTCTCATGACGGACGCACTCAAGAAGCAACGAGACTCTTCTTGAACATCCACCGTTCCGGATCGGAGCTGGACTGCTCAATCTTCTCCTCTGTTCTAAAAGTCTCCGCTACCTTATGTGACGAGCTTCTCGGCAGACAATTGCACTGCCAATGCGTAAAGTTCGGATTTTTAGACGATGTGAGTGTGGGAACATCGTTGGTTGACACATACATGAAAGGAAGCAACTTTAACGACGGAAGAAACGTTTTTGAGGAAATGAAAGAGAGGAATGTTGTTACTTGGACTACGTTGATAAGCGGGTATGCGCGAAATTCGTCGAATGAGGAAGTCTTGACATTGTTTATGAGAATGCAGGAAGAAGGAACGCAGCCGAACTCGTTTACCTTTGCAGCTGCTCTTGGAGTTTTGGCAGTAGAAGGAGCAGGTGGGAGGGGAATGCAGGCACATACAGTCGTTGTGAAGAACGGTTTGGATAAAACGATTCCTGTGTCTAATGCTCTGATCAATCTGTATCTAAAGTGTGGGAATGTTGGGAAAGCTAGAGTTTTGTTTGATAAGACTGAAGTTAAGAGTGTTGTGACGTGGAACAGTATGATTTCTGGATATGCAGCGAACGGTCTTGATTCAGAAGCGTTGAGAATGTTTTATGCTATGAGGCTTAACCATGTGAGGTTATCTGAATCGAGCTTTGCTTCCGTTATCAAGCTCTGTGCTAACTTTAAAGAGCTGAAGTTCACGGAGCAGCTCCATTGTAGTGTTGTCAAATATGGTTTCTTGTTTGATCAGAACATAAGGACGGCTCTAATGGTAGCTTATGGTAAGTGTTCTGCGATGCTTGATGCTCTTAGTCTGTTCAAAGAGAGTGGATTTCTAGGGAATGTTGTGTCGTGGACAGCGATGATTAGTGGTTTCTTGCAGAATGATGGGAAAGAGGAAGCGGTGGATTTGTTTCGGGAAATGAAGAGGAAAGGTGTTAGACCGAACGAGTTCACTTATTCGGTTATTCTCACAGCTCTTCCTGTAATGTCTCCATCAGAGGTCCACGCAGAGATTGTAAAGACTAACTACGAGAGATCTTCAACCGTTGGAACAGCGCTTTTAGATGCTTATGTGAAGTTAGGTGAAGTAGACGAGGCTGCAAAAGTTTTTAGCGGTATTGAAGATAAAGACATTGTGGCTTGGTCAGCGATGCTTGCAGGATATGCTCAGACCGGAGAGATTGAGGCAGCTATAAAGATGTTTAGAGAGCTCACAAAGGGAAGGATGAAACCGAACGAGTTCACACTCTCTAGCATCCTTAACGTTTGTGCAGCTACTACTGCGTCTTCAGGACAGGGGAAGCAATTCCATGGATTCGCTGTAAAATCAAGCGTTGATAGCTCTCTGTGTGTTAGCAGTGCTCTTTTAACCATGTATGCTAAGAAAGGCGATATTGAGAGCGCTGAAGAAGTCTTTAAAAGGCAGAGAGAGAGGGATTTAGTGTCGTGGAACTCGATGATCTCAGGGTATGCACAACACGGGCAAGCTATGAAGGCTCTCGATGTTTTCAAGGAGATGAAGAAGCAAAAGGTGAGAATGGATGGTGTAACGTTCATCGGAGTATTTGCTGCTTGTACACATGCGGGGTTAGTAGAAGAAGGCGAGAAGTATTTCGATATAATGGTGAGAGAAAACAAGATTACACCTACAAAGGAACATAATAGTTGTATGGTGGATCTATACAGCCGAGCCGGGCAACTTGAAAAGGCTATGAAGGTGATAGAGAACATGCCGTACCAAGCTGGTTCCACCATTTGGAGAACAGTTTTAGGTGCGTGTCGTGTGCACAAGAAGACAGAGCTTGGGAGATTAGTTGCAGAGAAGATCATTGAGATGAAACCAGAGGATTCAGCTGCATATGTGTTGTTGTCGAATATGTATGCAGAGTCAGGAGATTGGCAGGAGAGAGCCAAAGTGAGGAAGCTGATGGACGAGAGAAAGGTGAAGAAAGAAGCTGGTTATAGTTGGATTGAGGTCAAGAACAAGACTTACGCGTTCTTGGCTGGTGATCGGTCTCATCCTCTCCGAGATCAGATCTATATGAAGCTAGAGGATTTGAGTGCGCGGCTGAAGGATCTAGGGTATGAGCCGGATACAAGCTATGTGCTTCAGGACATTGATGATGAGCTTAAAGAAGCTGTTCTTGCTCAGCATAGTGAGAGACTAGCTATTGCTTTTGGGTTGATCGCTACACCAAAGGGAAGTCCTCTTTTGATCATCAAGAACCTTAGAGTTTGTGGAGATTGCCACGTAGTTATCAAACTGATTGCGAAAATTGAAGAAAGAGAGATTGTGGTTAGAGATACAAATCGGTTTCATCACTTTAGCAGTGATGGAGTTTGCTCATGTGGGGACTTTTGGTAACATAACAAAATAGATAAAAATTAAGAACATTGTCGCATTTAAAACATTTTTTACACATTTTAGAGAAATAAAGCAAATTCAATGTGTGTAGGATCAAATCAAACAAGGGTTTGAGATTTGTTTCCTTCTCAAAGTACATACATAAGAAGACAGACGAGCGACTAATGATAGTGGAGAAGTATTTGATGAAATGTCAAATCTATCAACCTTCTTCTCCAAATTCCTGTGTGAATCTCTCATGGACATCAAGGTCAGATTTGCTCACTGTTGGCCTTTGTCTTGCAAGTACCTTCTCGAAATCGTTTCTGGTGATCGGTGGTGGAATAATCTGTAAAATACACAAATCAGTCTTTAGCTTAACAGCAACCAAGTCCTAATGACTACAAATTCAAAGTTTGATTCAAACCTTTTCAGCAAGTCCTTTAGCTGCTAGATCTTGCATGGTAGTCTGGATGGCACCAGGTTGCCTAGGTCCACATGGCATCCATGTACCATCAGGTGCCTTATAAAAGTACATTGCATCTTGCGTTTTGCGAACAGGTTCGAACAAAACATCCTTTACCTGCAAGAGTAAACAAAAGGTTTTCAAGAGTCAAGACAAAGGCTTATCTATGGAAAAGGATAATTCACTAGGGCCAAGATGCTTACACAAACGGAGACATCTGAACCAGAGAATCCTTCTGTCTTGATCCCTAAATATTCAAAATCAGCTTCGGTTAAATTATGAGGCGTGTCTCCCAAATGGACCTGCATAAACACACACATATCATTAGTAAACAGATTACGTATTCTTGAATGATTTTGCTTGAGAAAGTTGAAGCAAATGAATAACTAATACTTTGAACATGTGCTGCCTAGCCTTGGCCTCTGGGAGAGGAATATAGATACGCTTATCAAAACGTCGCCTAATAGCCTGAAATCAACATGGTGTTAACAAAGCAGTGTTTTTCTAAACTTTGAAAGAAAAAAAATACAGAAGCAATCAATTATTCCGACTTTTCACCTGATCAAGAGCATAAGGCGTATTGGTTGCTGCAAGCACAAGTACTTTATCATCATTGTGTCCAACACCCTGTGAAAGAAATAGAGATAAGTAAAGAGAAGACAAGTTTCTGCTAAAATTGAATGAAAAGAGTGTCCAGTTCGGATTAGCTCTGCACCTGCATCTGCACAAGAAGCTCTGTTTTGATACGTCTTGAGGCTTCGCTCTCGTTTCCTTCTCCACGTTGACCGCACAGAGAATCGATCTCATCAACGAAGATAATCGATGGAGAACTTTCACGGGCCATCTCGAAAAGGTTTGATACTAGCTTCTCACTTTCACCCATCCACTTCGAGACCAGGTCTGATGACGACACACTGATGGTTGGGAGGTTAAAAGGAAACAACTATTCGTAAGCTATAACGAGTTTCCAAGTATAAACACTGTAAAGACAAGATTAGATATAAAAACAACAAACATAAAGCACATAGCCAGCCATAAATCAAGACCCCTCCACAAAATCAAAGAACCTAAGAAGTAACCATAGCTAGGGAGTAATTCAAGAGCAACCCCCATGCACAAACCAATCCCAAAATACCCAGATACTCCCACCTCTCTTAGCAACTATTCAAATCCATGAGTGAATGAACATTTCAAGACTACCTTGAAGAGGACTAATACAAAAAGATCTGCTCTTTATAGATATTTGATTTTATCGCAAGAAGCCAAAATGAAAGAGCTAAGACACTGCAAAATCATCCTCTTCAGAGACTTAACAAATTCACACATACGTTACCTGAAAAACGTAGAGTCTGCTTCAGTAGCAACAGCCTTGGCCAAGTACGATTTTCCTGTTCCAGGTGGCCCATACAGCAGAAAAGCTCGCCATGGCCGCCTCTTTCCTAAGAAACGAACAACCAACAACACATCAACAAAACTAGCCAAATTCATCATCTTCACCACCACAACACAGTCAAATTAGCCTCTTTACATGATTCCAATGAAGCACAATCCATTGATACACTTACCGGTGAAGAACTGTGGAAACTTGACGGGCAAAATCACAGCTTCCTGCAAAGCTTGTTTCGCACTTTCAAGCCCAGCAACATCTGTCCACTTGATATTAGGCTTCTCCCTCACAATCGCAGAGTTTAAACCAGCTCGGAGCTTCGATTGCTCCGGATCCTCTCCATCTTTTCCTTCTCCATCTTTCGCCTTGGTCTTCGGCTTAGTCGCGACCGCCGCGTCGCCGTTAGATCCCGGGCCCGATCCACCTTCATCGAGAACGGCGCGGATCTCCTCTGCACGGCGGAGATACTCAGTGAATTTCTGGGTGATTGCTTCTCTGATCTTCGGATTCTTCTCGTACTTGAGATGGGTTTTGAAGTACTCAAGCGCGTTCATATACAGAGGAAACGCCTTATTGTAATTCCCAGCATTATCCTCTTGAACCGCTTGCTTCACGTACTCGATCGCTTGTTCCTTGAAATTGCTGTACATAGCTCTAGGGTTTTTACCTCAAGTTTTTCTTCTTTCAGACTTCGAATTTGTTGTGCTGCTGCTTAATTTAAGGGAAACATAAACGAAATCGGTTTAGATCAAGGATCGAAGGAGCCTTGAAACCGTGATGAGGAATTTCGTTGATGAAATTAAGCAGAAGGAGAAAGAGGATTGGGGAAAGAGGAAGAAGGAATGAATGGAAGCGATGAAGAAAAGCACGATTTTGACGTTGAAGACGAAAAGGTCTAGAGAACAGCGGAGCGTTGATTTGTAGAATAAGGAAACGTTGAGGCGTTTTTGGAGGCTATGGAGGATTGGCTAAACGTTTTGAAGAATGACAATCAAAACACTTGCCGTTTTTATCACCTACATATTTTTTCCCAAACAGGAAAAGGAAAAATACAAAACCAGGTATCTAAATCCAACAATCCTCTTTTGTTCTTAAATAAAAATACATAAGGGGACTAAATCCAAGGCCAGTCTATGAAACTAAAACTGTGTTCTTACATTTGCGCAAAAAAAAAAAAAAACTGTGTTCTTACCAAATGTATAAAATAAAAACACAGAGTTGTTGGAAAAACATCTATGGTTTTGAGAGCTAACAATAAATTATAGATTCTTGAAAATAACACTTGATGGATGAATTCTGCAAAGTTTTTTTTTTTTTTTTTTTTTTTTTTTTTTTTTTTGGTAAAATGTTAAATTTTATACCATTTTAAGTTTGCAAAGGTATTCATCAAATGTTCATAATTAAAGTTTTAAACAATCTCTTTCAATCAATAATACGGCTAAATCGTTCAATCTTTTATGAGACATAAACTAACAAGTAAGACTGAAATCATGAAGTCTTTTAAAAAGTTTAATACTCAAGCAATCTTTTTCATATAGTTTGATAAAATATCTCTAAATACTTTTTGTTTCAAGCTTACTAACAACATTAGCACTTTTTAGTTGACTAATAATATCAACATCATATCATCTTCTAGTTGGAGTGAGATGTGCTAGCAACTGAAAACTGTGTCCAAAATTGAAGTTTTTGTATGGAAGTGATACATGGAACAGTAGCTGTAACGAATATTGATGTTGGTTTCGTGTTTTCCAGGAAGAAACAGTCAATAACTACAATGTCTATGCCCAATTTCTTGGCAAGTTAGAATACTTTTAAAGATTCTCTCACCCACTCAAAAAAATTTCGGACACATGTACATGATATAAATTATACCACTTGATTGGATCATCTTATGAAAGAATATGAACATATTACAATTTAAAGGAAACAATCACCAGGAGAATGAATCGTCACAAAGGCTTATGAAGATACAATATACTAATACTTTCTCCAATCACGAAATCAAACTACTATGGCGTACAAGTGTACAATACAACAACCATTTATATTACCATGCAATTATGCAACCTCCCACCAAATGCTCAAAACCATCTTGGTTGCTACAAAATAATCTGGAAGAAGGGATTCTCCACAGTTTAAAACCTTCTCATGTGCATTCGGAACTGCAAAATCAAAATGTTGGTCGCTAGAAATTTACATCATGAAAGCTTTGTGTTTGGTGCGCAATAAACTCACGACATTTAAATAAGATAATAACGATCAATAATCTCAAAGGCTCAAAGCTATGAATATGCGACCAAACCATCTAAACCGCTTAAATAACCGTCTAGACCGCCAAATCGAAAACACAACAGCATAGGGCCTACGTGGCAGCGTTTTAGGGCATTTTCCTGAACACCAGAAAAGAAAAAGTCAAACACAGTTGACCACTTCACAACGCTTCTCTCTTCCGCTTCGCCTTTCTCTGTATCATACAGTAAATAAATCGGACGAACGATGGGAAAACGAGAGAAAAAACCCAATCGACGTCGCCATAAAGGGGAATTCTCGAACAGTGGCGGAGAAGATTTCTTCGATCAACATCCTCCGGCTGCTGCCTCCGTCGAAGAAGAAGATGAAGAAAACTCCGAGGAGGAAGAAGAAGCAAATGAGGGAAACGACGAGCTTCAATCATCGGATTTGCCGTCTAAATTCCTCTTATACCAGCAATCGGTGCAGGTAATTGTAACTCCTCGACTCTGTGCTTTCGCCTTTTTCGCTTGTATAGTTATAGATGAGAGTGTTCTCGAGTTCGATTATTAGAAGATAACGACTTTTATCTGATTTTGAGTAAATTGATGGTTTCATGAGTTATGGAATTAAGTAAAATTTAGTGTCTTTCGTTCTCTTTAACAGCATTGTGTGTATGTGTGTTTGCTGTATAGTCACCGAAAGGAGACATAAGCTATTTGCAGAAGTTCTTTTTGATGTACGTTGGTGGAAGACAGCCTCTCCATTTCCAAGAAGATTTCTGTGGCACTGCTCTTTTAAGGTAGATATAAATACATATTTCGTTTCACTAATTTGGTACGAAAAATGTTGATCTTGAATGTTTGATCTGTTTTGAATAGTGCGGAGTGGCTGAAGAATGACACGAGGAGGACTGCAATAGGGCTAGATTTCGACCTTGAGGCACTAGAATGGTGCATGGAGAACAACATAAGCAAACTTGGCTCTGACGTGTATTCAAGAGTGTCGCTTTTACATGGGAATGTTTTGAGCCCTCTTGAGGCTAAGCAAGTGAAGTCCAAATCCCACGAGCTGATACAGAATATCAGCTTGGATGATGGTGGTGATGATAATGAAGATTCGGTTGATCCTGGAGTTGAGTCTGTGGAGAAAGATGAGCCTGTTTCGTTACCAAAGAGGGATATCGTGTGTGCTTTCAATTTTAGCTGCTGCTGTCTCCACAAGCGATCAGAGTTGGTTTCTTACTTCAAGAACGCGCGTGAGGCTTTGTCTAAGAAAGGTGGTATCTTTGTGATGGATTTGTATGGAGGTGCTTCTGCTGAGGGACAGTTGAAGCTTCAACGGAAGTTCCCAACTTTCACGGTAAAAAAAGTTAACTCTTACACTTGATTTGGTAAAAAAAAGGTGTTGACAAGCCGTACTGATGATTTGTATGTATCATTTGGCAGTATACATGGGAGCAAGCTGAGTTTGACATTGTAAGTCGCAAGACGAGGATAAGTCTGCATTATCACCTTCAGAAGCAGAACAGAAAGATCCGCAATGCTTTCTCTTATAGCTGGAGACTGTAAGTGTCCTCTAGTCTTCATACATATCAATTCTTTCTCCAAAATGGGACAGTCCATCTCACACAAGACATAAGAAAATCTTACAGTTGACGAAATATAGCATATTTATAAACTTGTTAGACAACTTGATAAGCGCTAGGATGATGTTACATTAGTCATGGGCTCTTGCATCCCCTGCCATGTAGTGTAGCCACTATAGATCAAAACTCACACATTGCTTGAAGTTGAATGTAGGTGATATCTAAGTAGCAGCGATGTTTAATGTTACATTTGGGTCATGCAGTACTCGCACATAAAGTTGCTGAGAAAGAATTGGTTTGTTTCTGTTCATGTATGTGTAGGTGGTCGTTGCCGGAGATAAAAGACTGTATGGAAGAGGCCGGGTTTAAAGCAGTCCATATTTGGCTGAGAGAAATGCCTGACGCTTCGGAAATGCGTAGAACGGATGGGTTTGGTGCGGGACGTGATATCAAGTACGAGCAAGTCAAGAGCTTTCAACAGTGTGATTCTTGGAATGCTTACATTGTTGCCGTCAGCGTCTAGTTCTTTTTGTGTACCAAACCTTAATGGTGGAATCTTTAACCAAATCCATGCCTAGAGAACTGGTTATGCTTTCTATCTTTTATTTTAAAGCTATGAAACTTGACACTATCCATTTAAATCAGATCCTCGGTTTTCTTTTTAATATATTCTTGTCACGCACTGGTTTAGGTTTATACTTTTATGCATCATTAATGAACAAATTAGTGGAAAATTCTTTGCTCCCAAGTTTGTCATTTGGTTGGTGTTAAAGCTGTTTGAATCATCATTTTTTTTTAATTTTGCGTTGACTTGTAGAGGTGTGAAACGGGCCTACATGCGCCCATCTGGCCCATCCCACAGCGGCTCTAACATCGGTTTGAGACAAAACCAACATTAGTTTTGCAAGTTTTGGATTAATCATAATACTTAAAAATTTCACAGATCCGTTTTTTCAATGAACATACCCCCCACATGGCCACATCTTAAGTTTGGACCAAGCTTTATTTCAATGTCCATTTGAGACATTCAGTTCACTTGTGTTTTGTAAAGAGGTGTCTGAATGAAATGAATCAATGATACCAGGAGCGTTGTACATAAAGGAGGATTAATGGAATATAAAAATGCAAAAACAAAGATTAAGGAAATAATCGGACCAATTAAGGACAGATATAATTTTCTGTAAATTGGCCGTACCTTTATTCATTAAAGATAAGAATAATGTGGGAGTTTCTAGAATCTTCAATGACAGCCTCGCATCATCAAAATTGTTCAAAGCACCCAAAAAAGAAGCCAATAACACAACTTTTTTTTCAAAAAAAAAAAAAAAAAAAAAAGGATAATATAATAATTTAATTTTTCTCGATTGCGTCGTCGTTAGTTTTTCCATCTCCTCATATTTTCTTCTTTCTACGACCAAAAAAAAAAATATTTTCTTCTTTCTTCGTCTTCCTTGTTTCCTTTCTCATCTCTCGATTCCTTCCTTTCGTGTCCCATTAATTTCCTCTCTCTGCATATATATACTGCACCTTCATGAATCTCATCGATTGATTGATCCTAATTTCTTCTCGTTTTTCTCACCGAATCGGATAGATCTATTAATCTTCCAGGTAAATGATTTGATTTGATTTCTCGATCTATGACTTTTTCGCTATTGATTCAATGAAATTACGTCACGGATCTGTCGATTTGTGTTTAGAATTTTTACTTTCGGATTCACCGATCGGGATTAATTTTGATTTTTCCGGTCAATTCATTTTTCTAGGAGTTTTTTCGATTATTTTCCGATCACGAAACCATGGCGGAAGAACACAGAGTCCAGGAACCAAAACTATGCGCAAACAACTGTGGATTCTTCGGAAACGCCGCTACGCAAAATCTCTGCTCCAAATGTTTTCGAGATGTCCAGCACCAACAGCAAAACTCATCCTCGGCCAAACACGCCCTTGATCAAACCTTAGCCGCCGTCACCGCCTCCGCTTCCGCCGTTTCCACCGGCGGTTCTTCGTCTCGTCCTCCGTATCACCACCGCCACCGCCGCCTCAAGCCGATCTGACTCCCGATCCGAAAGAAGTCGTTGAAACGAACCCGGAGAAAGGAGCAGCAGCAGAGGCGGCGAAGGAGGAGGAGGCGCCACCGCAAGATCCGAAGCGGTGCTTGACTTGTCGGCGGCGCGTGGGGATCACGGGGTTTAGGTGTAGGTGTGGGTTCGTCTTCTGCGGTTCTCACAGGTACGCGGAGCAGCATGAGTGCTCATTCGATTTCAAGCGGATCGGGAAAGAGAAGATCGCGAAAGCTAATCCGATCGTCAAAGCGGAGAAGCTGGAGAAGATCTGAGTTGTTGTTGTTGAGGTTTGGTTTGACTTTGAAAATGAAAGTGACATGAAGAAGGGCAAGAAGAAGAAGAAGAAGCCCTCTTGGTGTTGGTGCTTTTGTGCTTTTATGTAAATTTATCAATCAGTTTAAGCTTTAAATTTGATTTCTCTCATTTGGGTTATAATTTGATTTCCAAGTGTTTTTAGGTTTCGACAATTTTTTTTTTACATCCATTATTGTTTGTTCCGTTTTTAATGATCATCACAGAAGCTATGGTATATCAAGAAGGAGCGGTAAAACTAAAAGTTGTCTTAACAAACGTGTGTCGTAACGGTTTTGATGTTCTTACAGGTTCGGCGAGTCTTGTCTGCACAACATATGTTGACTTTTTGTGTTCTTGCTTTAGTCTGGTCTGAAATGCTATGCAACTTACGAACTAGCTACTACGGTGACAATTTATAAAGCAATCAATCGAGAAAATACAGATCCAGATGACCATTGGGCTACTTTGATAGATTAGACAGGTTCCACGCATATATATGAAAGATGAGACAAGTCTAAAAAAGCATCTTCACATTTGCACCAAAAAAAAAAAAAAAAAAAAGTCTAAAAAAGCAACCAGAAGTGTCATCTAGCAATCCCAGATGACAAAACAACTTTTTTTGTCAGAAAGACAGAAGAGCCAAGAATGTTAAAGACATGTTTGCCCATCATTTTCCATTTCCTACCGAAACTAAACAAGTTAAAGATTCGGGTATATTGCAATAGCCAATGATCACAATTAAATGGTGATAACTTGATCTTTTTGAGAACCTGAGACTGAGATAATTTCAGAGGCATATCGTCACGTGCATCCGTTTGGTGATGGCTATGCCTCCATCTCTTACGTAGGAAGGAAGATTAAGGTTAAGATTTAGAATGGGCTTACGTACAGATTTTTTATTTTTTTTCGTTAAGCCCAAATCCGGGATGCAACAATATTAATGTTCGAGGTGGTTTTTGGTACTTACCAAAACATGTGGTTGTTCCGTTTAATGATCACATAGAAGATGTGGTAACTGGTAAGGAACAATAGAAATCACATTATCTATGTAGTTGTCATAGACGTGCTAGTCACATGTTGACTCATCCCGAATTTGTGGCCAGAGAATCGTATGAGTCTTTTTCTTAATGTAAAACGTATCCTAAACAAATTCTGTTTGAGAGGTTCCATGCAAGACATTGTTGTCTTTTTAGCCACCGTTCATAACCAATCCAAAACAGCTAGCTCTCAGGTGACACTTCAATCCATTATTTTGGTTCGTACGTAGTAATACTTAGCTAATCCAGAATTTGTGGTTAATTATTCTTACAAATGTTTGCAAATAGCCGCGTCCGTTCGTCTTGGCCGTTACCTATCTACCACAAACACATACGCAATCATGAGTTCAACTAAGTCCGAGAATTTGGAACTCCTAATGAGACCAACCACCTAAAAATATCATTTGAATGAGAAATTCAATGGAAAAAACAAGGAGCGATCCATCCAATAACAGTCTCAGTTCAGCTATACGAGACCGCATCAAGGAGTTCTAACAGTTATACTAGTCAATAAAAGATTCATATAAGAAGTCATTTCTCTTTATTTTTTCTCTCCCTATAATCAAACTCGAGAACTTTGAAAAAAAAAATTCAAGAACTCTCTCCTTCATGAAAAACTTTGTGGTAAAACTAAAAGAGTTGTAAAATGAAATGCTTGGAATTGATTGTGGCTAAGTGGCATGGGTGTGATTATTAGTATTAATGTTAATACAATTATCATTTATATATACTGTTGTGTGTTGGGAACTTGGATAAATAAAATTTAATAAGCAAAGAAGATTGCTCACGGCTGTTCCTAATTACCACCCTTTCAGGTTATTGAAAGTTGGTTTTGTGATCGTTTAAGATGCAGAAGAGCCGGAACCCGAAAGTGTCAGTGATACTAAGCGAGAATCCTATGCATTTTGTATTTTTGGGTTTTTGTAACTTATTAACCTCGGTGTACTCTAATTTATTTGAAATAATGGGGGTTTAGTATATATAACATGTTTGGGTTCCAAAATGTCTTGACTAAATTATGTGCATGTGTCTATGTGGCATTGCAGGTTATTCACGTGGCTTATCAGTGGCGCGGAAGTGTTGCCAAGAATAATATATGGATGAACTTCGGTGTTACATTAACGCTCTGTTCTCTCTATAATCATGAATATATCACATGTTAACAGAATGATTTAGCATTGTTATAACCTAGCTCCACATGTTTACTACTCCGACTCATTTGCCCCAGTCACACGTATCGTTTTATTTACTTACATCGGTTAGATAAGAAAACCCCTCTTGAAACCAAATAAACTGTCCAACATAACCTAATAATAAACTAAGGATGAAATGTTACATTAGGCCCCCCTTCTCTTGCTTTCTATCTAAACCCAGATATATGCAGAATAATTTAACTAATTAACGCTCTTTTCTCTGTATAATCACATGTTTAGAGAATGATTTAGCATTGTTATTATAATCAAACATAGCTTCACATTGCACCAGTCACTTACCATTTTATTTACTTATATAATTATATCGCTCAAATTAGCAAACCGCTAAAAACAAATAAATTGTCCTTCATAACCTAATAATATTCTATGACATAGTTCATTCTTTGATTTTATGTGGATCGAACACCTCCATATTATACAAAGACATTTGTGCATTTGCGAAATAATTCATATAACTTAAAACACCTATCTGCTAGAGCCAAGATTTGTGGCCAACGAGGTAGCGCCAATGCATGGGTCTACTGCAGGTCGTAGATATTTGATCTTCACGATACAATATCTTTCGAAAGTCGAAACCAACCGTTATAATTACATTCAAAACACCAAAAACGTCCAATAATATATTTGAAATAGAGCATGAGATCATAAGCCAAGTTTATTCAAATCACAAACAGATAATAAACAATACACATGAAAAAACAATACACATATATAATAAATAGGATAGAAGAGCTGCTTCCCGTAACTAAAACAAAGAATGCATGGAACAACATATATTGTCCAGGCACGAAGAAAGTTAATTACGGCGGAGGCAGCGGCATGCGGGGGAAGTGAGTTAACGGCGTCTAGCGGCGGTCTCACGCTGGCAGTTGAAGAAAACCGCTGCGACGGGGAGGCCGAGATCGTTCTCATGTGCAAACATTCGAGTGTTGAATTGGTCTCTGTAAGAGGGCACAGAAACCACACTTCCTCTACGGTTTTGCTTGAACAGCAAATACACGAATCGGTGGATCCCTATGTTCGGCCGAGGCATCTCGTACCCTACTATTTCTTTTCCTGTTGTTTATCATTTCGTATTAAAATCAGTTGACATGAATATGAAAATACGTTTTGTTTTATCGTCTACAATTCACACATGCACAATTCTCGGAATTAAGACCGAGTTTTGCAATGACTGACACTAATCTGATCACTAGACTGATTAAATCGATTGACATGTATGAAACTGTTTTTGTCATCAACAACTCGCACACGCAAATTTTATGGGTTTAAACTTGGATTATGACACGACAATAACAGTACTAATACAAATCATTATGCTATATGAAACTAAATAAGGGTGCATTGTTATATATTGTCTTATTTATTTGATACTATATCAAAAGATCACATAGGACTTACCGAATGTTACATCGGTTGTCCCCGGGATATCAGTAACAATCCTGAAATGAAACATTGCAAAATTATTTATTTATGTATAAAATTATGTCTCTTGTTTGCCAAAGAAAAAATAAAAGATGTCTCTCTAAACCAGATTTAAAAGGTTAACCAATTTTACCAGTGCAAGTGCTCCCTCAGATAAGGATCACTTGGTCCAGGAACATCAGGATCAGTCATTACCTGTTCGAAATATTTGATACTCATGAGATAATCTACACGTGACACATCCTATATACATAATAAACACATGTATCTGCACAACCTAATACGTTCTGCAAATCTATAATTCTATAAAAAAAAAGTAGAGATTACCGAAAAATACGGCTGCATACGAAACTAATATAACTTATTAAGTCTCATATTTTTTTTATGTACGTAAATACTCAAATAAGTCTTTAACAAAAGTAAAATAAAGATTTAAATTAGTTCGTTAGGAAAGGTTTCTCTGATTAGTTATAATTCACCTTACAGTAAACTTTAATTTCAGTTATGTATACGTATAGTAAAGAGGATTTTCGATATATACAATAAAGCAAATGCGTACCAAAGTGAAGAATGATCTCAGGTCACCTCCATGGACATCAACCTTAGGTTTGTTTGTGACAGCTGAAGGAAAAAGCTCATGGCCATTGTAGACTTGCTTGTCGGAGTTATAGGTCACTGTCATTTTCACTGCCTGCAAACAATGGTCCACAACGTCTCCGATCACTCTCCCAACCATAAGAGGGTCAGACGAAATCGGGGCCATCTCGATTGCTTGGCTAAGAGTTAAGAGGAGGAAATTATAAAGAATATGTTTCAAATGGAAGCAAGAGTGTTTTGATTTAACGAATTTTGTGTGTTGGTGTGGGGAGAGACAAGCTTGGGATTGCTTTAGTTCTGCTTTGGGGGATATGTTAGTGTTGATTTGATGAAGCATAAAGTGAGAAGAACATGTATTTATAGGATTTTGGAGTAGAAGTGACTGTAATGCATTTGATTTGACGTTTAAGGCCAAGGAACATTTATTTCTTTTTTTAATCTATATATATAGATGCTTCACAAGAAAAGATAAAAAATTACCTTTCCGTAAGGAGAAGAGTATTTACATGAAAATAGATATAGCGTGATGGTAATTGGTAAGACGGTATATAAGCACTTGATGTATTATTTCTTGTAGTGTTCATGGAATTTTTTTCTGAATGAAATATACAATTTATAGTAGCCAAGTGATCCAGATTTTTTTCTGAATGAAAATAAATTTACAAAAAATATATATAGATAAAAAATCTGACAGCTTTAAATTTATATATATAGACTAAAAATATAACGTAATTTATTTTCTTTTTGATAACTAGAGGGTGATCCGGATTATTATCATTCGAATAATCTATTTTAGGATAAGTATAGCCGTCGAGTAGCCTAATCACTTTCGAATGGCTAAATAAAAATAGTTAAAATATTTTCATGTTTGAGGAGAATTAATTATTATGATTTTTTTTTGACAACAATTAATTATTATGATTAACCATGGTTGTTTTGTGGACTATTAATTCATTCACAAATGAAAACTACTAATCCACAAAACATTGGTTAATCGTAATATTTCATGAAATTATAGTTATAAATATGACATATTAGATATAGTAACACGGTATATAAGCATTTGACGTATTATTTTTTGTAGTGTTTATGGAATTCTTTTCTGAATGAAATATACAATTTAGTAGCCAAGTGATCCACATTTTTTCTGAATGAAAATAAATTTACAAAAATTCTATATAGATAAAATCTGATGGCTATAAATTTACTATAAATCTAACGTAATTTATTTTCTTTTTGATAATTAGAGGGTGATCCAGTCTATTTCAATTTTCAAGACAAGTATAGCCTAATCACTTTCGAATAGCCAAATAAAAATAAAAGTAGTTAAATATTTTCACATTTGAAGAGAATTAATTATTGGTCAACGTCAATACAACAACTCATTCTCAAATGAAAACTACTAGTACACAAAACATTGGTTAATCGTAATATTTCATTAACTTGTAGTTCTATATATGACGTATTATTTCATGATGTTATGATATATTAAATTTATTAGCCAAGTGGATAAACTAATATATATATTTGAGACTGTAATAAATTTATTTTAGAATAAGAGAGCATCTAGACCCGGAGAAAAATGTGAAACGGGCCATACGGCCATGTTCTTCTCTAGCCATTATTTAAACAGAACGAATGCATTACATATGGTGGCATCGGGAATTTATCTTTATCTTTATCTTTATCTGAATTTTTTATCTGAATTTTTAATTCTAGTATGTTAAGCAAACTGAATTTTTTGCATTTTATTAGTAATAAACATTGCCATTCGATTTCGCCGAATGGCTAGAATACATTCTCAATTTCAGAGTGAGATATGGTTCGACCTGAAAAACTATCATCTCAACAAAAGTCCAAAAAAAAAACACATAAAGAGTCCAATATCGAAAATATGATGAAACCTAGAATAAAGTTTAAAACAATAAATCAATCCACTCAATTGTGAGTTATATCACATAACATAAATTAGTTTTCAGCTTTACATAAGTCTCTTCGTCTTGAATTTGATATGAATTTTCTTTAAGTATCCTTCTTTAGCACTAAAAAGGGGGATTTGTGAGTTTAAATTGATTACCATTTTAGAACCTATGAGTGGACGAGAAGTGGCGGATTAACCAATATGGTCCTTAAAATTCCTTAATTCTTTTTTCTGGACGATGTATGTAGAACATATATACATGATTGCGATTAATTAAACATCTTACTCATCAGAGGCCTAACCAGACTGAGAAAGGCATAGGTTTTGATTCCTGGAGAGAGGGCGACAAGAACGAAAATGTTTAAAGGGAAAAAACGAGAACCTTTTTTATTCCTAGTGTCAGTGTCCACCATGAATCACAGCTTTGGCTGCTTAGTGTTTTTCTCCTTTTCTCGTCTTAATTATAATATGAAATTAAAGAAAGATATGAACTTCAAGCTGTCATTATTTTATATATAAATAAAATTCACTTTTGCAATAAGGGTAAAATGAAATTTAAATATTTCTAGAAAAGTATTAGTATTGGACTATGATGAAAAGAATTATATTCTCTGTTAGGTGTGTGGATGTATGGCAAAGAATAAATCCTAAACAGCTAATAGTATTCTTTGGACTTACCATATTTGGAAATTTTAATGTTGGCGACCCACAACCACAATGCGTTTCCCACACATACAAAGGCTGACAAATTGTGAATGGTCACTTCAACTTCCTAAAAAGATTCATTTTCTCTGTCACTCTTTTTTGTTGTCCTTTTTAGTTCTTAATTTCTTTCCTTTTCCTTAAAAAACTATAAAATAAACAAACAAGATCTGTGTTTCCTCTTATAGAAACCCTGATTCCACCTAACTGTCTACAGATTACACGTTTCAAGCGTACTTTGCATGTGGACATCTGGTCGCGATAACATTTTAAATATGAAGATATTCTTAACAAATGCACCCACAACAATCTGAGACACAACATGTCAATATGTCATACATTGTCTTATATTCGTAAGCCGTATGAGACAACTTTTTCTTCTCAGGTAGAAAACATATCCTTCATTTATTTTCCTTAAAAATTAAAAGGAATCTCAGCCAATAGAAAGCTAGTTTAGTAACACACTTACAGAGCCGTTTAACGTTTAATGGAAACTTTATACTACAAGATAGCATTTCAAGAGTACTGGTTAGAATTTTGATTATTTTGGTTTTTAGCATACTGTATAAAAGACTCAAATATTAATAGAACGTATCTACATAGAGATAAATAACGCATTTGGGCATCTGTGACACGTTTTTTGCAATTTTGTCTACAAAAGACATATATATGTACTTGCGGATATTTTTCCAACTTTTATTACTTCTATTTGTATACGATGCATATATACACTTCCATTCGACATCATGATAATTCATAATCCCCATTGACAAGTGTTTTATATATTTCTTTATATTGTCATTGAAGAGTTGTGAGTGCATGCATTCATTGTGTTCGTCTGTTCGACGACGCGCTAGTGGCCTAATGGTAGTTGTCTCTTTTTTAATACGTCCACCAAAATATTTTGATACAAACTAGTTTCAATCAAATGATAGATGCTTTCACATTTCAGTGTTGTGTATTTGTATTAATTTATTGTGGCACTTGAGAAGGAATGTTTACCCACTAACATGTATTACCAAAAGAGATTATGGTTTGAAAGTACATAAGGAAAAACAAAAGTTTAGGTTTCAGATAGTTCATCAGCTTTGGTTTTGTCTTCGGTAGTTCGGTTTAGGAATCGAGCATTGGTTGGGACTGAGATTTCATCAAAATGTTGACTTTAAGTCACTTAAGATAATTTTGAAGTACAAAGACAAAACGAGTTCAAGAGCCATTGTTGAGCTGTTTGCAAACAAACAATCCTGAAGTAACCAAACCAAGAACCGAGAAGACTCCTTGCCTCGACCGCCAAAACTCACTCCACGTCAATGGTCTTCTGACCTCAGACAAAACCTTATCGAACTGTTGGTTAAGATCGTCAAGACCGCCATTATTATCGATCACAACATCCGCTCTGCTTCTTTTCAAGTCCAAAGACATTTGAGCCATCACTCTGTTTCTTGCATCTTCCTCACTCAGCCCATCTCTCTCCATCAGTCTCTTGAGCTGTGTTTCCTCACTAACCCACACAACTACAATCGGTTTTGTCCATTTATCCATCTTCACTTCAAACAACAAAGGGATATCGACAACTATCACTTTAGCTCCTTTTGCCCATTGTTTCAAGATTTCCCAAACGATACCATTTGATATGTATGGAGCCATTAGCCTATAGAGTCAATGAAAAAAAAAAAAAAAAATCAAGATCTCATCCAATAATACCAACAATAAAAGGGGGTTCTCAATTCCGTACTTGTTCAGAAGTTGACGCTTGGATTGGTCAGAGAAAACCATCTGACCGAGTTTAGGCCGGTCTACTTCTCCACTAGGAAGCAGAATCTCCTCCCCAAAAGCTGCAACTACTCTGTTCCATCCTCCACTCCCTTTCTTCAACACATTCTGTATAGCAAAACACACACAATTAAGCACCTTCTTGTTAACTTGCTCTTCGAAATGATTGCAGCAAACGGAAAAGAAGCTTCTTTAAGCAACTTGAAACTAAACTAAACAAACATGTAGCCAGTGTACTATGATGTGCTAAAGATAAAAAAAGAGAAACGCAAAGGCAAAGAGAGATGTTACACGAGCAACGACATCAGCGTCAACGACGGGAATGCCACTAGCCTTGAAGAGGTTAGAAACTGTACTCTTCCCAGATGCTATGCCTCCCGTTAGACCCACTATTCTCATTTCTCCTTCTTCTTCTTCTCACTGTGTTTGCCTGAGAAACACCCAAGACCAAAGTTGAGATCTTTACAAAATTCAACCATTCAACAGAGTATGCTTCACACTTCAAGAATTATCAAACAATAAAAGAAAAACACTGAATTTCGAGAAAATGTCAAGAAAAATCCTAAAGGAAAAAAAAAAAAAAAAAACACAATGGCTTAATATTACCAAACAAATCAGAAATATCAAAGCTCTTAAACCTCTGATTTTTAGAGTCTCATCTTCAATTTACCAAGAAAGACACTCTGCAACTTCAATCTACAACTCATGGAGACGAGGTTTTTTTGAGTAATCATCAAATGGAAATAGGAAGCACATTTTGATAATTCGGCAAATGTGAAATACAACTGTAATTGACCTAATATAAGTTCCAATTATATCAATCTTTCTAAGACCTCACTGGATTGAGTATTTTTGCAGTCTCAAGCAGAAAAAAAAAACAAATTCAGAACCAATTCGGCTCAAATGGTTTCTTCAGCTCCGATTGTCAAGAATCGATTCTAATCGACAAACTTCTACAGAGGATCCAATTATAGAGAACCCTTAAAAAGTCCTAAAAACTTCATTCACTGAGCAATTTTCCATAGTAATTCGCTTAACTCAGAACAAACCTCAAAATTGCGAGAAGGTAACAAAGGAAAAGCAGAAAAGGCATTGAAGAGTACCTGTTTGGATGGAGCAAGCAGAGAGAAGAGAACTAACAGCGGATTTGAACTCTCAAATCCCCAAGAAATCGCCTCAGGGAAAGGAAAGGAGTCGAGAGTGAAGAGAGAAAGGAGAGACACCGCGTTCGATCGCGATTTTTGTTTTTCTTCTCAGAAAAACAGCCGGCCAATCTCCATCAGACACGTGGCACATAAAAGACGGATAACCGATTCTCTATAATAAGCCCAAGTTTGATTTAGTTTTGGGCTCTTTTCAGCTAAGAAGCCCACCTAATGGAAATCGGAAAGTCAGATGCTTCTAGCTTCACTTTAACAAGTCAATCGAACTATCAACAGAGCTAAAAAGGCAATTGAAACCACTAATTCAACATCAATACATCCAAAGCTAACATCTTTAAGCTTCTCGAAACCAGAAATGTCAAAAACGAAACCAGAGCACAAAACATTAATAAAAATCAGCCGATTCTCAAATTGTTTCACTAATCAACTACAATCAAGTTATAATAATGGAATCAACAAGTCACAAACCTAACAGAGGAGAGGAATGGACCGAGATTGTAGAAGAAGAGCACAGGAATCGATCGAGATCGGAGACACAGCACAGGAATCGATCGAGAGATCGTAGAAGAAGAGCTCTCGGCGGTGGCGAAGAAGAAGAAGAAGAGAAACGTCGTGTGAAGGAGAAAGGAGAAGGTGAAGAACAAGAACAAGACCCACCTCGAAGAAAGAAGATAAAAACAATCGGTGATCGAAGAAAGAAAAATCGAGGAGCCGCAGATCGGAGAGAAGACGGAGAGAACGAGAAATTTTCTTTTGCTTCAACGAGAACAAAAAAAAAAAAAAAACATAACGAGAAAAAAAAATAAAACCGCGGGGCTTTCTCCGGTCGACGCGTGGCAAGTAGAGACGGTTCTACAAGTCATTAGCTTTTTTGCCATGTGTGTAAATGTTTTGTTTTTTTTTCTTTATTTTTTTGTTCCAAAACCGATGAAAAAATGTGCGATGGGGGGATGCTCTAATAAGCATAAGTTTCTTAAAATTTGTAATTTATTATTCAAAAGTCAAACCACTTTGAAGAGAAATAAAACAACGTAAACGTACTTCGAGTAATTTCCAACTTGAGTTTGTAAACGCCTTGACCAAAGTAATTTCCAACTTGAGTTTGTAAAGACCAAATGAAGTTCAAACATCAAATGGGAGAAATTATTGTTTAGATTTACTTCGACAAACCTATCAAGTCTATAAATACAATCAGTAAACTGTTTCATAGCTCTCTCTCTCTCTCAAGTATAAACATAGTTATACGAAAATTCAATTCATTCAAAACAATGAAGAATCTTGTGTTTTATGTTCTTTTCCTTGTTTTTGCTCTTTGTTTTGGATCGAATGAAGCCAAGTGCCATAAAAACACTTTGGTTTTTCAAAACAACCTTTTTCAAAGCCATGCTGTTCTTAAAGTCCATTGCAAATCAAGAGACGACGATCTTGGCGATCACTTTGTAAACTTTCAGGGTCCTGGATATGATTTTAGATTTGGTGACAACATCTTTTTGACGACGAAGTGGCATTGTAGCTTAGCGAAGGGAACTAATCCGCAATATTCTAGAGAGTTTCAAGCATATGAAGGAGCTCCAATTTTTAGACGATGCAGCGCAGTATACGCTTGGGAGGCACGAGATGATGGTATCTACTTGTCCAAAAATCGTGAGCCTCTACAACTCATGTATAGTTGGGATAAAATTTAATGCCCTTTTGGTGTTAAAACTTAAAATATACACTACAAAGGATTAATAATAATAATAACATCTTGGTTTTCTTCTGATATATTTCGGTTTCTAAATCATATATGTATACATTAGCAATATTACATAGATAAATATCTCATTATTGTTCTTTTATCAACGTTGTCGTCCTAGGATCAACAGCTATTTTATACTTTTTTGCACGTCTATAGCAACCTACTTTAAAATTCACTCAGATAAATACAATACAAGTAGTAAAGTTACAATCGATCAAATCATAATAGATAAATACTAAGGATAGTTAAATTAATTTACTTTGGTGTTTCCTAAAACTATTAGGACTATGAATAGTATAAATAGATAAACAAAATATCATATTTTTTTCTAACAATCTGTCAAAGAAGAATACCTTCCTCCGCATATCATCCCCTCTCTCTCTCTTTTTCTATCATCCTTACAACTATTTCTTGATCTCAACTATAAAAAAAAAAACTCACTGCAAAATCCAAGCATTAGTTCGATACAAAGATATCAATGAATCGTCTATGTTTTATCCTTTTCGTTTTCGCGTTTAGCACTACCATGAGTAAAACAACCTTATCCTTGCCCTTCACAAGGACAATGTGGATCAGAAACCTTCTGCATAACGGAAACGATCTCATAGTCCATTGCAAAACGCCGGACGAAGATATGGGATATTAATGACATATCGTATCACATCTCCCATGATTCTAGTGACAAGATACGATATATCAATCACACTTGAATGTAAAGTGATTCTCCGTGTATTGTTTTAGGAATGTGCATATGTCCTTATCGCTATATATACTCTTGTATTGACCTTTGTGAAGATTATCAGAAAATATTTTCTCCATTGTCGATCTAAACTTTACTTTATGGTATCAGAGCACGAAAAATAAAAACCGATTGTTTTCTTTGATCTCTTCTCTTCTTCTTCGATTTCTTCTCTATTTTTCTGAAACGAATCACTTTCACGATGTCTGAAACAAACAACGGTGTTGTGAATGGTGCTACGGTGAACACGAACACGGTGGAAACAAGGCGAACGATTTCGCCGTACGACCTCACTGCCGCCGACAATCCAGGCGCTGTGATATCTCATCCCTTACTCAAGGGATCGAACTATGACGAATGGGCTTGCGGGATGAAAACAGCTCTCTGTTCTCGTAAGAAGTTTGGATTCCTCGATGGATCCATTCCTCGACCAGCCGAAGGGTCAACTGACTTGGAGGATTGGTGGACGATTCAAGCTTTGCTTGTCTCGTGGATCAAGATGACGATAGACTGTCACTTCGTTCGAACATCTCCCATAGAGATGTGGCCAAAGACTTGTGGGACAACTTGAAGAAACGCTTCTCGGTTACTAATGGTCCAAGAATTCAACAACTCAAGGCGGAGTTGGCATGTTGCAAGCAACGTGGTCTTGCCATTGAAGCATACTTTGGCAAGTTGAATCGGATTTGGGATAGCATGGCTCAATACAGACCATTACGTGTTTGTAAGTGTGGCAAATGTGAATGTGATCTTGCTACAGCTCAAGAGCAGGATCGTGAAGCTGAAAAAGTCCATGAGTTTCTCTTTGGACTAGATGATAACTATCGCACTGTGCGATCAACTCTGGTTTCTCGGACTCCTCTTCAGCCTTTGGAGGAGGTTTACAACATTGTGCGCCAGGAGGAGGATCTTAAAACCACAGTTCGCCACAGTGAAGAGATGCCAGAAGTGACGGCTCATGCAGTTCAGGCGAGACCACGCATGACTGTTGCTCGCAGTGATACTCCTGACAACTCTGTGCTTTGCAAGCATTGTCACAGATCCGGTCACTCTTCTGATTCATGTTTTGCAGTGATTGGGTATCCGGAGTGGTGGGGAGAGAGACCACGTAGCAGAATCACACAAGGACGAGGAAGAGGAGGAATTGTTGGAGCTGCACCAGTTGGACGTGGGCGTAACGTCAATTACGCTAATGCCGTCCAGGTCCCTGCTCCTCCAACTAACGAAATTGTGAATTACACAATCACAGATCGCGATCGTGATGGTGTGAGCGGACTTAATGATGCACAATGGCGTGCGTTGATGAATCTATTGAATGGTGGGGCAAACACAAGCTCAGAAAAACTCTCGGGTAAGTCCACAATCCCTTCTTGGATAATGGATACCGGAGCCTCTCACCATATCACGGGGAATTTTTCTTTGTTAACGGATGTGAGGAATATGGATCCTGTTCTAATCATATTGGCTGATGGTAGAGAAAGAATTTCAATAGTACAAGGGACGGTTCTTTTGGGTTCACATCTGATATTGAAATCGGTATTCTTTGTCGAGGGATTTCACACGGATTTGATATCTGTAGGACAGTTAATGGATGAGAATAACTGTGTTGTTCAACTCGCTGATCAATTCCTTGTCGTCCAGGACCGCATTTCGAGGATGGTGATTGGAGCGGGTAAACGGGAATCTGGAACCTTCAGCTTCCGCAGAGCAGAGTTGAGTGCTTCGGTGAGGACTTGCGATGACAAAAGCTATGAGTTGTGGCATCATAGGTTGGGTCATCCGTCTGCTCAAGTTGTTGGTTCACTTCCTCATGTTTCTGTTTCTGTTTCTGATGTTTCCAATAAGGCGTGTGATGTGTGTTTCCGTGCCAAGCAAACTCGTTCTTCTTTTCCGACTAGTATCAATAAGACTACTGAAGCTTTTCAATTGATTCATTCTGATTTGTGGGGTCCTTATCGGACAACATCAAACTGTGGAGCACGATATTTTCTTACGATCGTTGATGATTTCTCTCGCTGTGTCTGGATTTATCTCCTCTCTGACAAAACAGAGGCACCAATACAATTGAGAAATTTCTTCTCGATGGTTGAAAGACAATTCAACAGAAAAGTGCAAACTTTTCGGAGTGATAATGGGACTGAGTTCACAAGTCTCACAAATTACTTTCTCCAACATGGTATTCTCCATAAGACTTCTTGCGTGGGAACTCCACAGCAAAACGGAAGAGCAGAACGCAAGCATCGCCATATTCTCAACGTTGCCCGAGCTTTGCGTTTTCAATCAAATTTACCGATTGAATTCTGGGGAGAGTGCATTCTCACCGCAGGATACTTGATGAACAGAACACCGAGTGCAGTGCTTCAAGGGAAAACACCATTTGAGATGCTGTATCAAAAAGTTCCAGATTATACACATCTACGGGTTTTTGGGAGTTTATGTTACTCTCATAATCAAGCACACAAAGGAGATAAATTTGCCTCGAGAAGTCGCAAATGTGTGTTTATAGGCTATCCATACGGGAAAAAGGGGTGGCGTTTGTTTGATTTGGAGAAACAAGAGTTCTTTGTCTCTCGGGATGTCGTCTTCTTCGAAAATCAATTTCCCTTTTCCGATGAACCACAGAACATCACGACAACAATCAGTAATGAGGAAGGAGTTCTTTGGGCTCCAATTAGTACAGGCCCGTTTGTAGAAGAAGAAAACAGGCCCAACAACTCATTGTCTCCATTGGTCAGCCCAATAGAAACTCCAATCGAAGAAAACATTATGTCGACTCCGTCGTCTCCTTCTCCAACTCCTCTTCATGATAACTCTGCACAGTTGTCGCCTGATTCACCTCCGGCAACCGATTCCTCACCATCTCCATCTCCGACATTAACTTTGATCCGCCGTCTCCATCTCCCGTTCCTCCTCCTCCAGCGGAATTACTTGGTCGTGGACAAAGACGGAAAACTCAATCTGTCACATTGCGAAATTATGTGACTAACAATGCTCAGACCCAACTTCTCGACAAATCAGGTGCTAAAACTCTTTACCCAATCGCGAATTACGTCTCTTCTGGTAGGTTTTCGGTTTCCCATCGTGCTTACCTTGCTGCAATTGTTGAGAATGTTGAACCGAGATCTTTTAAGTTGGCTTTTTCGAATATACGATGGAGGCACGCGATGCGTGTCGAGGTAGACGCGCTGGAAGAAAACCAAACTTGGACCCTAGAGGAGTTACCACCTGGAAAACGAGCCATTGGAAGCAAATGGGTCTATAAAATCAAGTACAATTCTGATGGTACTATCAATGCTACAAAGCCCGATTAGTGGCGTTGGGTAATCGACAAATCGCAGGAGAGGATTATTGTGAAACATTTGCACCGGTTGCAAAGATGGGTACTGTGAGATTGTTTCTAAAGGTTGCGGCTGGAAACAATTGGCCAGTTTATCAGATGGATGTTCACAACGCTTTCTTGCACGGTGATCTCCAAGAGGAGGTCTACATGAAGCCACCTCCTGGTTTCTTTCCAGAGGGAGACACTAGAGTCTGTCGTCTGCGTAAATCGATATATGGGCTCAAGCAAGCTTCTAGGTGCTGGTTTGCAAAGCTCACCACTTCACTTCGAGAATACGGGTTTCAGCAAACTCATGCTGACTACTCACTGTTCACGTTTGACAGAAACGGAATCAAGATCAGAATGCTCATTTATGTTGATGACATGATTTTGACGGGAAACAATGAAAAGGCGTTGCAGGATTTTAAAACCTATCTCTCCTCTTGTTTCAAGATGAAGGATCTTGGACATTTGAAATACTTTCTGGGCATTGAGGTTGCAAGGAATACATCAGGATTCTACTTGAGCCAACGCAAATACGCTTTGGACATCATTGCTGAAACAGGGCTCCTTGCTGCCAAACCAGCGCCATTTCCATTAGAGGAGAATCACAACTTGGCTCTCTCGACTTCCCTCCTCCTTTCCGATCCAGCACCGTATCGTCGCTTAGTGGGACGTTTCATCTATTTGGCTGCTACACAACCTGACCTTGCTTTCTGTGTTCATATTTTGACACAATTTATGCAAGCGCCTCGTGAAGATCATTGGCACGCTGCATTACGCGTTGTCCGCTATATCAAAGGTACTCCTGGTCAAGGAATCTTATTGAGTGCTGACCATGATTTCCAAATCAATGGTTGGTGCGACTCTGGCTATTCAAGTTGTCCAATCACTCGTCGTTCAGTCACAGGTTATTTCGTTCAACTCGGAGAGTCTCCCATTTCATGGAAAACGAAGAAACAATCCACAGTCAGCAAATCTTCAGCGGAGGCTGAATATAGGGCCATGGCATATCTCAGAGATGAGTTACTTTGGATTAAAAACGTTCTCCAATCTCTTGGTGTCTCACATGCTCAACCCATGCGCATTCATTGTGATAGCAAGGCTGCGATTCACATAAGTTCCAACCCGGTGTTTCACGAGCGTACGAAGCACATCGAAAATGACTGTCATGCCGTTCGTGATGAGATTCAGAGTGGCAACATGTCGACTCATCATGTTCCATCTGCACATCAACTGGCGGATATCTTTACCAAACCACTTGGTCGACGTGCGTATGAGTCATTTCGGGGCAAGTTGGGCATCCTCGACCTGCATGCTCCAACTTGAGAGGGGGTAATGACATATCGTATCACATCTCCATGATTCTAGTGACAAGATACGATATATCAATCACACTTGAATGTAAAGTGATTCTCCGTGTATTGTTTTAGGAATGTGCATATGTCCTTATCGCTATATATACTCTTGTATTGACCTTTGTGAAGATTATCAGAAAATATTTTCTCCATTGTCGATCTAAAATTTACTTTAGATATCATAGGGTGCATCCCACAAGATCTTACGATTTTCATCACGAAGAATCCAATTTTTGGGACCCCGAAATATTATGGTGTCACCTATGACAAGGACCTAACTTCAAGCATCACCACCAAGTCATTGAGGTTAATTGGGATGATACTTGGGAAGTTAGAGAAGATGGAATCTACATGCCTGGTCGCTATCGGTCTGAGTTCATGTATAGTTGAGATGTTCCTTTAACTTTATCAAGAGCTTCCTTCTTAAGATCGACATGTATCATCTTTTTTGAGCTTGTTAATCTCTTCCTTGATTTTTACTTTTTAGTTTAGTATTTAGTTTTGGTTAGCAGATATCTTGGTTTTGATTTTCTTTTATGAAATTTTGATTTTTGATTTTTTAGTTTGTGTTGGAAGAGTCTATCCCTCGAAAAGAGAACATAATTATTTACACATATTTGGTCTTTATTCTATATATCAATAAACATAAAAAGGAACTTAATTAGCTCATAGATGGATTAGAAATAAGAACTCAACCTCATGAACATTATCTTTAAACCATTGTTACTTGATCTCCTCTGGCTTGTCAGATTTTTTTTTTTTTTTGGAAGTAAATTGCAGCATCTCTATCATCCCATATGCATAACTCACCACATAGAATAATAAGATCTGCTTATATGCTCGAAAGGATTGGTGATACTACACCATACTAGCCCCTTTGTACAAGTTGCACTGTTGCAGTCATAATTTGGTAAATAATAAGATGATATTATTAATTGTTTTCTAAGGAAAAAAAAAACAAAGAAGATGAAGAATACTATACGGTGTGATATTACCCGAAACTAAAATTGCATGCTGGACCTTCGAGTTTCATAAAGTGCGATGTTGTATTTGTATGTACCTTAAAAATATACACTACAAAGGATTAATAATAATATTAATATTTTTGTTTTCTTCTGATATATTTCGGTTTCTAAATCAAATATGTATACATTAGCAATATACATAGATAAAGATATCACCAATATTCTTTTATCAACTTTGTCGTCATAGGATCAACCTCTAAATCAGTTATTAGCTATTTTATACTTTTCTGCATGCACGTCTATAGCCACGTACTTTAAAATTCACTCAAATAAATAGTAAAGTTACAAGCGATCAGATCATCATTATAGATAAATACTAAGGGTAATTAAATTAATTTACTTTGATGTTTCCTAAAACTATTAGGACTATGACTAGTATAATAATTTTGTTATAAATAGATAAACGAAATATCATATTTTTGTTCTATCATTCTATCAAAGAAGAATACCTTCTTCCCAAGATCATCCACTCTCTCTCTCTCCTTCCATCATCCTTACAACTATTTATTGATCTTCATTTCAAACTATATAAAAAGCAACTCACAGCAAAATCGAAGCATTAGTTCGATACCAAGATGTTAATGAATCGTATATCTTTGATCCTTTTCGTTTTCGCGTTTAGCCTTACCATGATGAGTACAACAGCCTTTCCCTATATCTACACAAGAAGAATGTGGATCAGAAACCTTCTACATAACGGAAATGATCTCATAGTCCATTGCAAAACCGCGAAGGAAGATATGGGGTACCATAGGGTGCATCCCACAGGATCTTACGGTTTTCTTCACGAAGATTCCGAACCTTTGGACCCCGATATATTATGGTGTCATCTATGGCAAGGACCTAACTTCAAGCATCACCAAGTCTTTGACGTTTTCGATGGTACTTGGGAAGCTAGAGAAGATGGAATCTACGTGCCAGGTCGCTATCGGTCTGTGTACATATATGGTTGGGATGTTCCTATCACTAAATCAAGAGCTTCCTCGTTAAGATCAACATGTATGATGATCTCTCTGAGCTTGTTAGTCTCTTCCTTGTTTTTTGTTTTTTAGTTTAGTATTTAGCTTTGGTTAGTAGATATCTTGGTTTAGATTTTCTTTTATGAAATTTTGATTTTTGATTTTTGATTTTTTATTAGTTTGTGTTGGAAGAGTTTACCCCTCGAAAGAGAACATAATTATTTACACATTTTTGGTCTTTACTCTATATATATTTTATAAAAAAAACAACTTTAAGTCTGAAACCTATGCGAGATCGTGCATAAATTCTTTTTGAATAATGATTTATTTCTAAAATTTATTTGCAATGTATACAAATAAATATTTTATCATAATTAAAATAATTAGCAGTATAATAAAAATCGTGAATGCCTTTAAGTATTCACATATATATTTTTTTTTGAGAAATAACAACATATCTGTTTTATTTGATGTTGAATGAAAAAAACTAAGATTTTCAAAAGAAGAAGAAGCTCGTCTTAGAAAACTATCAATGATCAAGGAACATATTAAAAAAAAATTGAAGTCTGTTTACAAGTAAAGTAATAACAAAATAAGAATTATCTTGGTAATTTATTTTTCAAATTTCTGCTTCATAAACAAATGGTAAATGATAATTCAAAATAAAAATTATATAATTGGAAGTACTTGAGATAATTCCTATATTGTATATATACCAAGCAGTTCAACTATCTTACCAAAATAAACTCTCTCGCTTTTTAGAGAATTCATACACGTTGTTCAGAACATCTATCTTAAATAGAACTTAGATTACAACAAATCCACCAATTAAATTATTTTTTTTCAGTTACAAAGGCTAGGAAATAGATCCCGGGAAATTAAATGTATAGCTAACGAACCTGAGGAAAATAAATGGACTGTTGTAGAAATATTGGATTTGGGTTTGGTGCACTCTGTTTCTTCCTGCGTGGTAGATAACGTAATGTATAGTCCCGGAACGTCCAAAATGCTGTAAGGATTCTGAGGGAAAATTATGGACAGATATAAAAGATTTAGAAGAACTTCCTATGTCACTAAAACGTAGTCGTAGTCGTGTTAGGCTGATGATTATGGTGGAAATTTTGCTTTTTGTGGGAAAAGAAAGTGCCTGCTATGGGGCTTTGAAGAGAATTTTGTTTGGTGTGTTGTGATTGCGTTGAAAAGCGTAACGGACAAGACATCTACGGGAAGATTGGGAAGATTGAGTGATGTAATATTGTGTTTACAGTCTCTAAATTTTGTCGTTTATTGGAATTTATTGCTGTTACTGTTTGATGAATGAACACATTACGCCACTAATGTCGTTTCTATTTTCATTTGACGTTTTTCTATTATGTGTTGACATGTTATCTCCTTCTCTTTGTTGCTTCACTCTGTATTCTCTCCCAAACTCAGTCGTGTAACATAAAACCGTTTTGCTTTTTGTTTTCAGAAAAGCTTATTGTTTCACATGACATTACATTTGGTTACTTGAGAGGATGTAAATGTACAAACTTTGAAATCATATATTTTCCAAACTGGAATCTAATAAAGGCATGTTTCAATCACAACTGACCGAAAAACTTTGTTTTCTTTTCCTTTGGTGTAAATTCAAAATGCAAACGTAAGAACTATCTATCTTTAGATCGATCCCACTTGCTTGGACATGCATAGTAATATTATTTTTTCTTTCTTTCAATATGATGAAGTAATTTTCCAATTCTTTAAGTAGAATACATATGAAGTTTCACTGTTTAGACATGTTCTTAGTTTCAATCTGTTTCGATCCTGATGCTAAAGCAGAAATAGAGTTGAACCAGAGTAATTAATTACCATAGATGAAAAAAGATGATCACCTTTGGATGTCTAAGATCAACCGGAATAAATGTATGATCAAGATCTCCAGCCATACTTCCAAGATCTTCCTTATCTTATTAATATTGCATAACACAAATTACCCATTTCCTAAAAGCACAACAAAAACAATTACCAACAGCTTATCCCCAGTTCATGCCATTCTCAAACAACATCGTTTCGGTTACGAATCTACTAAACAATATATAATTATAATAACTTTTAATTATTATTTTCTCTTTAGTTACCGAATTTATAATCGTCACCATAATACTTCCAGAATATGTTAGAGGAAAGCACTCGTTAACGCATGCATGCTTAATCAACAGCAGTTCCAGAAGAAAAAAAAATAAAAAAATAAGCATTCGTTGCAACAACTAATTAATGTGATACCGTAAACATTGAAAACTGTAACTTACCTGATGTTTTTTCTACTAATTTACCTTTTTCTGAACAACTTGATGTATTTTTTTTTAAGGGTTACTATAATCTTTTTCTTTTGTAGTGAAAGGCTAACCGTCATGCTGCAACACCACACATATATATATATATATATATACATGCACATATTATCAAAGAGTTGTTAATTGTGATGGTTTATTATTACATAGTAACCAAAGGTTGTGATGGTTCATCACAACGATTCATTATACATATGAACTTTTTTTTTTTTGTTAAATAAACCCAACTATGTCTGGACTGGAAAACAAAAAGGATGCGATGTGGCTGCATTTCGGAAGAATTTCCTCAGGGATCATTAATATACATTTAAATTAGTTTGTTTTGATTAAGTACTTGCAAGGGTTTGGATGAAGGAATAAACGTCATGGCAAAGTCGTTCTGGGTTTAGGTTTAGAGCGTCCGTGATATTTTTCCGTGAACTTGTGGGTTTGCAGTTTGCACTTTTGATCTCAAACCATGGTTCTATTATCTCAACCACTTAATCATGTACTCTTATTCTATCAAACCCAACTTTACTCTCATAAAAAATAACAAAATATTCCTTTTCAATGATTGATATTTATCAATTCTTTGTCTAGTGCTAATATCGAAGAATATCTAACATACTCAGAATGGATCTCTTATATTCTACAACATAGTGAATTTATCAATGCGTTTCAGAAAAATCACAACAATCTATATAAAACTAAATCAACTAATGAAAACCATCACAAATTTCTTCTCTAAAATCAATTGGTCATGTTGAGGTAACATATTTAAAACATGTCTAAATGAACAAAGCCAGAAAAGAAACCAACAATCCAAATTCACTAAAATCAAATAACGTACCAGAGAAGTTACCCCATTAGTGAAGAATGGAGGCTAGGTGTTCTTTCTCTAACCAATGAAGTAAACAGGTGAATGTGGCAACAAACTACGATGTGAGTAAGAGATTATTAAAAACTACAAAATAGCGATGATAAGAAAAAAGGGATCAACAAAATCAGAATAATTTTTTTCAGAAGATTCTAAAATCAAAAACTGAAGGAGAAAAAGAGATACTCCCTCCGTTTCAAATTAGTTGTCATTTTGACAAAATGTATCTGCAATTATTTGGATGTATCTGCAATGCAAAACATGTTCAGATACATCCAAATATTTGCAGATACATTTTGCCAAAATGACAACTAATTTGAAACGGAGGGAGTATTAAACAGTATATATAGAAATAAAAAGGTATCACTAAAATGTGCAACTTTTCAACAATTTAGCAGTTATAAGTAAAAAGATGCCATTGAAAAGACACAACTCTTTATATGAGCGGTTATAGATAAAACAGTTAAAAACGAAAAGGCCCGACAACAAAAGGCATTTGTTCAGTTTGCTATTATATTTAGATATATATATATATATATATATATATATCAATAAACATAAAAAGGAAACTTAATTAGCTCAAACTGTGTTGAATTAGAAATAAGAACTCAACCTCATGAACATTATCTTTAATCCATTGATACTTGATCTCCTCTGGCTTGTCATTTTTTTTTTTTTAAGTAAATTGTATCATCTCTATCAACCCATGCATATGCATAACTCACCACATAGCTAGAATAACGATATCTGCTTATATGCTCGAAAGAATTGGTGATACTACACCATACTAGCCCCTTTTTACAAAGTTGCAGTCATAATTTTGTAAATAATAATAAGATGATGTTATTAATTCTTTTCTAAGAAAAAAAACGAAGAAGATAAAGAATACGGTGATATTATCCAAAAACTAAAATTGCATGCTGGACCTTCGAGTTTCATAAAGTGCTATGTACCTTTGAATTTAATTTTTTTTAAATAAATGTAAGTAGCAGTTGATCAATCATATTTCTAAGTGTTTTTCTTTTTTTTATAAGAATCATAATCATAATACTAGTAGTTATATATATCTATATATATATAATTTTTTTTTTTTTACTTTGGTGTTTCCTAAAACTATCAGGACTATGACTACTATAACTATTATTTTCATTATAAAGAGATAAACTACAAAACACATTCTTGAACACAATACCTTCCTCCGCAGATTTTCCTAAGCTCCTCTCTCTCTCTCTCTCTCTCTCTCTCTCTCTCTCTCTCTCTCATCCTGACTGAGATTTATTGATCTTCGTTTCAAACTGCAACATCGAAGCATATTAGTTCGATCCAAAGATGCAGATGAATCGTGTATCGTTCATCCTTTTTGTTTTCGCCATTAGTCTTACGATGATGAGTAAAACAGCCTTATCTGAAACAGTTTCTGTGTGGATCAGAAACCTTATGCATAACGGAAACGATCTCATAGTTCATTGCAAAAGCACGGAAAAAGACATGGGATACCACATGGTGCATTCTACAGGATCTTACCACGTGCTTTACAAAGATTCCGATTATTCCGTCACCCCAACATGGTGTCACCTATGGCAAGGACCTAACTTCAAGCATCACCAAGTTTTTGATATTTACGATGGCGAAGTTTGGGAAGCTAGAGAAGATGGAATCTACATGATAGATGGTCGCTCTCGTCGCTCTGGGTCTGAGTTCACGTATGGTTGGGATGTTCCTTTAACCTTATCAAAGGCTTCCTCCTTAAGATCCACATATATGATCTCTTTAAGCTTGTTAGTCTCTTCCTTGTTTTTATTTTATTTTAGTATCTAGTTTTGGTTAGTACTTAACAGATTTCTTGATTTTGTTTCCTTTGATTATGGATTTTGGAATATTGATTTTTTAGTTTGTTTTAGAAGAGTTTACCCTCGAGAGCTCCTAAGTGAACTTGGAGAATATCCCTTTATTTTATTCTAGTTGAGTTTTGATATTCAAGATCACGGTTTTGTTGGTTTCGTATTGTAGCAATGGATTAGGTCGGATTAATATAACAAAAATTTACAATAAGAGAACTTTTCAAATACCAGAGTTATCATTATCTTTTTGTTATTATATCGGAAAAATATTCGCTTATAAAATTGAACAACGTATCATATCAACATAATCATAATCAGCTTGTTCACTTTTTGCATTCAACAAACCTATGTTAATTTTGATTTTTCTCTAGATACCTTATCATTTCTAATAACTTTTATATGTCAAGCTTATACAAGACAAATAATTGTATATACACTTTTCTTGATTTTGTGTTTTTTGGGAAAATTTATATTAATTTACCCAGATTTTCTCTTTTTTTTTTTTTTCTTAAAATCTAGATTTTATATTTAAGAAATAACTACTAAAAAACAATTTCGTTGAATTGTTGGTAATAGAAAAAAACAATTTATGTATATATATATATTTCTTTTGTTTGTATAAATTAATTTTCTAATACTTTTTTTTCTTGCAAATAATGAACTATATCTAACAGGCACATACCAAAATCCAGTAAACCGTTGAACATTATAAGATCATGATGAATAAATCATGCTGAGTTATTACATCTTAAATGTCATAATCCAAAGCATGTAATTTTATTAAAGAGATCATCAATGAGGTCGTGCGAAATCAGTAACTAGATAAGTTTATCTCACTATATAAAGATGTAACGATAGAGATCGCACAATAAACCAACACAACAAATATTTTAGATTCATATACCTAACCTTACTCTAGATTATTACCGAATAATTAGATTTCTGTGGTAAAAATCTTTTAGATTCATACACATCAACACAAATTTATATTCTAAAGAACTGCAACAGTAATGGGAAACTTGTTTGGAAAATGTGGAAGTAGCGCTAGCAAACGCTCTGCACGTGACGGAAGCATGTTCCGATATGATCCTTCTAGCTATGCTCTGAATTTCGACGATGGAAGACGAGAACCTAATGTGAAAATTCCTATGGCTCATGGGTCTTCTACAAAAATTAAACCTCCTCAATCGAGAAATCTTCCAGAGAGATAACGGACGAAAGGACATTGTTTGGAAAGTTATGACTATATAATCTTTGGTACTAATGTAACATAATCAACTGTATTAAAGTCTAATTGCATTATATAATAAAGGAAATCATTGTACTTAATCAAATGACAAAGGAAATTATTGTACTTGATCAAATGACAACGGAAATTTCTTTGAAAACGACTGTGTTCGATGATAATTAATAATCAAAGTTATTTTTATTTTTTTTGTTAAAGGGTTTTCATAATAATCAAAGTTATTAACTGAACCATATCTATATTGTCTTTTTTTTTTTGAATTTTTGTTGTTGGCATATACTCTTAAGTTTGATCAATTTGTAATTTGTATATGCATGTATTTATATGTAGAGAACATGCACTGATTAAGCTTAGGTGGGTTGCGTCGTCAATTTGGAATGTAGTAAACTGAGAAAAGTGTTAATTTAGATTCGTTAAACGCATTCATTAGTAGATGCTATCACGACTGTTGAGTTTCTTGTATATATGTCTGAATCGGTCCAACTCCAACTAATTGGACGTATCGTTCAAAATAAAAGAGAACGTTAACTGGAATAACAGTTACAGAAATTTAGCAGTTCCTAATTCGAAACGTAAAGGCAATTTAAAACCTTTACGTTTCCGAAATCTCCGGGATTCGCGCGGGAATCCTAAGAAGTTTCTTATTTCCTTATATAAACCCTAAAATATTCATTCCTTGAAAATAATAATCTTCTCCTAGTCGAATTTTTACTCATAAAGTTGTCCCCTCATGTCTTCCAAAGCCAGATCTTCATCCGCCACGAACGGCGAAGATCCACCGCGGAAGAAGCCATCGCCGGCGACAAAACCTACGTCGATATCGATCTGGTCACTTCCTCACGTTTTGCTTCTAGACTGCTTAGCCCGCATCTCTAGATTGTACTATCCAACTCTCTCCCTCGTCTCCAAAAGCTTCCGATCCATCATCGCTTCACCGGAGCTTTACGAGACCCGAAAACGCCTAAACCGTACGGAGAAGTGTCTCTACATATGCATACGCTTCCCTTTTGATACCGAAACACATTGGTCCACTCTCTGCCGTCTACCAACTCGAAAAATAGCCAACGAGTCTAGTGGCTATTTCACGGAGCTAATCCCATCTCCCAAGTACTTGCGTCCTTCGCAGTCGTCCACTCTCGTAGCCGTTGGATCTGACATCTACAAAATCGGCGGCGCTGATGATTTGTATCAATGCAAAATCTGGAAGAGAAACTATTCTTCTAGTGTCTCGATCTGTCCTTGATTGTCGCACTCACACGTGGCGCCAAGCCCCATGCATGGGAATGAAGCGTAACTCCTCCTCCACAGCAACGTTTGTTGATGGGAAGATCTATGTAGCCGGAGGCTGCGATGATAAATACGTAGATTATCCAAACTGGATGGAAGTGTTTGATCTTGAGACACAAACTTGGAGCCCTGTGAAGAACCCTCGCGTTTTCTGGTTACACGAAGAGGATAGGATCAAGGGCTTTATAGCCAAGAGCGTATGGCTTGAAGGAAAACTCTACGTGTTTGGGGATGAGTCTGTGGTTTACAATCAAGAGGAAGGTCGATGGGATCCGATAGGTATGGATAATTATCGTATGGCTTGGGCAGCAAGGCATTGTCATTGCGTGATAGACGATGTTTTGTACTTTTGGGATGGGGAAAGGTTTAGATGGTGGGACTCCAAGGCAAGTTTGTGGAAGGAATTGAGTGGTATTGAAGGATTGCCTGATCTTAGCGGCGAAGTCCGTAAATACTGTAAAATGGTGGATCTTGGTGGAAAGATTGGGTTTTTGTGGTGTGAGTATTTGTATAATCAGCCCATGGAGATATGTAGGATCTGGTGTGCTGAGATTTCGCTTGAAAGGCGTAACGGAGATGAGATTTGTGGGAAGGTTGAGTGGTTTGATTATGTGCTTAGAGCCCATGGTTCTTGTTCCTCGTTCAATGTTGTTTCTGCTTCTGTTTGATTGCGTTTTTTTTGCCTTTCTCTTTTGGTTTATGACTATGATGAATGGTTGTTTCATGTTTTTAGCTCGATTAAATTGGCATTGTTTCCCTTCTAAACATTTGTTGACGATCTATCTTATTTTGACCAAATGTCCTTGAAAACACTTTTGTTTATGTTGCCAAAATTATAGGGTACGATTCTCAATTTCAGCAAATGCAATTCATATCAGTCCTAAGATACCAACCTAGTTTGCATAAACCAACGCTTAAATATTAATTAAAAAAAAAAACAGAGGTCTTACATTAAAGAAACACATTTATATATATACTAGAGTACCCGCACGTTTGTGCGGTGTGACGTTGTTGTTTTGTGTAGAAAATTTAAACCCTAAATCCGAACCCGACAAAAAACCCTAATCAAAAAATTTAAAAACCCAAACTTTTTTAATAGGTCTAAACATGAAAATCCGAAATCAAAAAAATCCCGAAAACCCTGACTGAACAAAAAAAATCTGGAAACTTTTTCACCCGGAACCCGACCCCAATACCTAATCAAAATTTTAAAATACTCAATTTTTTTAATATATCTAAACCCGAAAACCAGAAATCTAAAAAATCCGGAAAACCCTAAACTGAAAAAAAAAATTGAACCTAACCCGAACAGAAATTTTCAAAGAAACCCGAACAATTTCTATATCTCTATATATATCTCTATAAAATTATGTCTCAGATTTTCACCCAAACCCGAACTTGTCTATAAAAACCCGAAAATCCAAAAAGCATATTCTATTGATTTGGAATTATCGTTAGATTATGTTAAGTTTTTTTTTTGCAGATTTTTAAGAGATGGAAAACGGAAGTTTTCTAAACCATCGGTTTATTTTAAGTTATTATTCTTGTATCCAAACAATTTTTTCCATTTATTCTTCTATCCAAATAGATTTTTCTCTTATTCTTATATCCAAACAACTTTTGTTTCCATTTATTCTTCTATCCAAATAGATGTTTCTCTAATTCTTGTATCCAAACATTAGAATGTACTTCTCAATTAATAATATAAAGATAGTCCAAAAAAATAATTTTACATTGTTAATTTTTTGAAATTTTACAAAACAAGCGAGTTCAAAAAGAGTATTGAATTCTTCAAAAGAAATATTATTTTTATTTTAGGATTATATATTTTTGAGAAGCAAAAACATTTATATTTAAATTTAAATCCAATATTTGATATTAATTTATCATATTTTATTAATTTTTAGGTAACATGTTAGAAATCACCAACACAATGTTTGACACATTTTCAATATCCGACATTTTCTTCGAAAGTTGTGGACTAACTCTAACTCTTGGCAACTCGGATTTGCACGTATCTCCTTGTGTCATCGCAGCCGAGATATCAATGTTTAAGGTTGCAAAGTCCTTTGCTGCCAAAACTTTGAGGGCGTCATTAAAGGCGCTAATTGCGTATCCATAATTTTCTGAGCATTGAGTATAAATAATCTTAGTTCGAGGTTCTGTTGTGCTTTTTATGAGTGAGTAGAATTGCTTTTGTGCATCTAGAGCATCTTGTGATGCATGATTGATCAGAAACTTTGCGGTTCCCGGAAGATCTAGTGTCTTAATTCCAGAAGTCGACTTAAAGAAATTGAAGCAAAAAGAGGGATTCTCATTTTATGAGCAGATGGTGTTAATCTCAACGTCTGAAATTTTCACACTGAAGCTTCCATATGATGAAGTAACAAGAAGAAAAAACATTAATAAAGAAACAACCAAAAAGCTGTTTTTCACAGATACGACCATGTTTATGTCTATGTTTTATTATGAGGTTTTTGTTTTCTTGAATTGTAGTGAGATTTATGAAGACTAAATTAAACTATATATATACTTGAAACTAAATATCAACAACTATTGTCTTGGTCAAAGTATTTAATAACGTACCATAATTATATGGACTCAAATATATTAAAACTTTATCAGTTCACTTTTTCTTTGATCCAGTTGACAAATTTATCAAGATTTCCATAAGAAACGCCATCTTTTGCAACACTTTTCATCATAACCTCTTTAACCATCATAGCTCGTTTTGTATACTCTCCATCGTTTCTCATGACCTCATCGATCTTCTTCTTCACCTCTAACTTGGACACAACTCCTAGTTCATCTTGTTCAAACTCTAGTCCAATCTTCCACACGTCACAGATATATGCTTTGTTGATAAACTGGTCTGCAAAATTAGGGATGCATACAAATGGTATCCCATTTCCGGCTCCTTCCAAAGTTGAATTCCATCCACAATGGCTCACGAAACATCCAATGGCTCTATGCGAAAGGACCTCCCGTTGTGGAGCCCATCTCACCACTTTGACCAGACCCGACCCGGGTTTGATAGGTGGTTGATCACCTGAGCCAGTGACCCACAAGACCGGCCTATTGAATGAACATGTAACTTATTAGATCACACACACACACACACACAATAGTTAATAGAGTAAACCGGAACCATAAACCTGGTTATGTTTAAATCATTTTACCTCTTTGTAAGCTCTAGACCAATTGCTAACTCTTCTAATTGGACCTTGCTCATGAACCCAAAGCTCCCGAAGGCAACATATATAACCGAACCAGGAATGTGCCGGTCTAACCAATCTAGACAATCCCGGTCCTGAGGTAAAAAGCTTCCTATTGATGTAAATTTATCATCTCCTAGACTCTGAGACCAACCAATGGGACCAATTGGTAATATTTGTGGATACAGTCCAAACGCTGCCGTTTCTAGTTCATACACTGAGTTACACAACAACCAATCCGTTGACTCGATTGACTTGTTGTTTTGAAGCATAAGTTCGAATATGTTCTTTTGAGATTCTTTGTTCTTCAGACAAACCCACACAAACTTATCTGTTTCCATCTTTGGCATCCCAGGAGATAGTTGGATCGTCTTATTAACCTTCGGAGTCCCTATAAATAGAAACTATAGGTTTAAGATCAGGATAAACCAAACAAACTTAGAAACTAAGCAACTAAAACAGTAAAACCTAATCTAAACGTAAAATATATCCGGATTGAAAACGTTCTTTCTTACCATCAGATTCAATAAGACCATCATCGACTAGTTTCTGAATACTAAATCCAAGAACCATAGACGCAGCCGCGGCAGGACAAAACGCGGCGCGTCTGATCTCAAACTTAGCCGCGACTTCAATCGCCCATCCCAAGCTCTGATCCGCCACAACGCAGCTAATGATTGTACTTTCCGCGATCATCCTCTCGATCAGTTCCTCTACTTTGGTAGGCATAAAACGCAAAACCGATTCCGACAACTTCCCAGGAATGCTCCTCTCTTCTGGTGAATCTTCTAAACCGTCCGGGATCGAAACAAGGTTGATCTCATCCTCGACATAGTCATGGGATGATTCTGATAAGGAATTGATGATGCAGTTATGGTTAAACACGGTGTTTATGAATGTAATTTGGATACCTTGTTTGGCAAGGTAACGTGAGAAGCTCATTAGAGGAAGAACATGACCTTGCGCTGGGTAAGGTATGACCAAAACATGAGGTCTTGCCATTTTGTAAAATTTAGTTTATTTTTTGGACTATGCAAATAAAATTTTGATTCATTTATAAAGAAACTTGATAAGATGAAGACAGAAGAGAATATTGAGCTGAAACGACAACGTATCTTTTTGAGTTTTGTCGTTTCACTTTGGGAATCTTTTTGTAAACTAAGAAAGAATAATACGGTCAAGGAATATCCGGATATCCTTAAAGTACAAGAAACTGGGAAAAGTGAGAACGATCAAATTGGGATCAAATGAAATTGAAACTTTCACAAATTCATACACGAAATGAGACGTCTTGGATTTCACAACTTGAATCAACAAAGAACAAGGAGGATAATAACTTCTTCTTCTTCTTCTTCTCCAACACTTCTTCCTCATCTTGCATCATCATTTCAAGAAACCATTCTCTCATCCCAAAATCTAAAACCCAAAACAGATCTTCCAAGCAGCTTCATATTCCTCCGAGAATCAAACTCATCGATTTCTTGCCCGGTACGTTTCTCTGACTTCTTCAGAAAAACTTGTAAGGTCTACAAGTATACTCACAATGTACTCATGTTGTGAAAAACAGAGGAATCAGGTTTCAGATTCGGTGGACAGAATTAAGCTCCGTGATGGGAGATTCTTAGCATATAAAGAGAGAGGTGTTCCAAAGGATGAGGCCAAATACAAGATCATTCTTGTTCATGGGTTTGGAAGCTCCAAAGAAATGAACTTCTCTGCTTCAAAAGTACATTACTTATTGGTCTTATTTTTGAGTTTCTAGGTTTTGGTGAAGTTGAGTAGTTGACTATCTTATCTCACATGGACTTTTTGTCTTTTTCTTTAGGAATTGATAGAAGAGCTAGGTGTATATTTTCTGCTCTACGACCGTGCCGGCTATGGAGATTCTGATCCAAACCCGAAACGCTCGTTGGAAAGCGAAGCTCTTGACATAGAAGAACTTGCTCACACGTTGCAGATAGGACCCAAGTTTTACCTAATTGGAGTTTCCATGGGATCATATCCTACTTGGAGTTGCCTAAAACACATACCTCACAGGTACAAATTCTCTAGAAAAGAAGATGCACTTTGATTATAAGATTCATAACATAAAACTTTGATCCTTTCAAATGTTAGTTTCTGTACTTGAGTTTTATACGTGATAATGAATAAAAATGCCATAAGCAAACAAAAAATAAAATATTATGTATCTAGCTAGTTAACCCTTTGATTTTTTATTTCATAAAATACTATGGCTAAAAACTTTATTTTTACTCTAGCTAATTAACTCTTTATCAAAGATGTAAACTCAAAACAACAATCGACCTAACTAGATAATTTTTTGTAGGCTAGCCGGAGTGGCGTTTGTTGCTCCGGTAGTGAATTATGGGTGGCCGTCGCTTTCAAAGAAGCTCATAAAGAAAGATCACAGGAGAAGGCTTATAAAATGGTGTTTTAGGATATCAAAATATGCACCTGGATTGTTACATTGGTGGATCAGTCAGAAACTCTTCTCATCAACTACTTCACTTCTTGAAAGCAATCAACTCTATTTCAACAGCAACGACATTGACATACTCAAGAGAATTAAAGGCTTTCCTATGCTTACTAAGGTAGTCCATAACATAATTTCTAGTTGTATAGTCAACTTTTATGCACAATCATAATACAAAATGTTGTCTTATTTGTCTCTTTAGGATAAACTACGGGAGAGAAATGTATTTGATACTCTGAGAGATGATTTCTTGGCGGGGTTTGGACAATGGGACTTCGATCCAGCGGATGTAAGAATGAGTGGAGAGAGCTCTGTTCATATATGGCATGGAAAAGAAGACAAAGTGGTTCCGTCTCAACTTCATAGGTGCATTTTGAAGAAGTTACCTTGGATTAAATATCATGAGATACCTGAAGGTGGACATTTGATCGTACACTATGATGGTACTTGCGATGCGGTTCTAAGGGCGTTATTGCTCGGGGAAGATCAAAAGTTATATCAACCCACATATTGTTTTTAGAACTCTACTCATGCTATTCTTAACTATTAACAAACATTATTTCAAATTGGAACTATAATACAACCACAAATATGTGTGAAACTCATATCTATATGAAATGTAAGGAATGTGCATGAATTATATTGAACTCGTTTGGGTGCTTAAGATGGGCCTATTTAGTAATGATTTTATACGGGTCAAAATATATAAGCAAAGGCCCATATGATCGGATCAATCAAAACTAGGGTTTAGTCTCTTCCTTTCACATCTTCTTCGTTCCACATATAAAATCTTTTAGCCGCCTCCGTCTCAGAGAGAGTCCGCTGCTTCCAGTTCCACCTTTCAGGTTCGTTTCTCTCCGACCTCGTCGCTTCTCTCGTTTCGTCTTCTTTATTTGCTGTATAACACTCTGATTCCATGAGCTTTTATGAACGTTTTTTCGATTTCTGCTGATACTTTAAACTCATAGCTGAAAATGAAGGTTTTAGGACCAGAAATTGAGATCTAATTGTTTGCTTTCTATGGTTTCCAGGTTCTGAGATTCGCCAGCTGAGAGAAACTCAAAATGAGGTACTTCAAATCATCTTCTCCCAATTTTCATATAGATCTATAATCGCCATTGTTTTAGCTTCCGGTTTATCTGATTCACATGCGTAGATTGATGGCTTAGAGAGTAAATTGTATTTTTTGTTCAATGAATCATATAAAAGTTTTGGTTTTTCTGATGATCTAATTTTGGTGAAATGGGATTTGTGTGGTTTATATAGTAAGCTTCAGGCTGAGGCTGTTAGAGAATCCATCTCAACAATCAAGGGAAAAAGCGAGGAGAAAAAACGTAACTTTGTGGAGACTGTGGAGCTTCAGATTGGTTTGAAGAACTACGACCCACAAAAGGACAAGCGTTTCAGTGGATCCGTCAAGCTCCCACACATTCCTCGCCCCAAAATGAAGATCTGTATGCTTGGAGATGCTCAGCATGTTGAGGAGGTGATTGTTCACAATCTTCTCTTTTTGCTTTTGAAAATGTTCATTGCGTTGCTTTTGTTTGTTATTGGAGCTTGATGCGAAGTGTATTTGATGATTCTAGGCGGAGAAAATGGGACTAGACTACATGGATGTAGAGGCGTTGAAGAAGCTTAACAAGAACAAGAAGCTTGTGAAGAAGCTTGCGAAGAAGTACCATGCTTTCTTGGCTTCTGAGTCTGTTATTAAGCAGATTCCTCGTCTTCTTGGACCTGGTTTGAACAAGGCAGGCAAGTGTTTCTGTTGGTTAAACTCTAAAAGTCTGTTCCTTTGAGTTGTATACAGGTCTTGTTTGAACTTACTATCGTGTTTGGTTTGGTGTATCAGGAAAGTTCCCAACGTTGGTGAGTCACCAAGAGTCGTTGGAAGGGAAGGTAAATGAGACGAAAGCGACAGTGAAGTTTCAGTTGAAGAAAGTGTTGTGTATGGGTGTTGCTGTTGGTAACCTTTCAATGGAAGAGAAGCAGCTCTTTCAGAATGTGCAGATGAGTGTTAACTTCCTTGTCTCGCTCTTGAAGAAGAATTGGCAAAACGTAATGATTGTTTTGATTACATGTTTTATTAATCTATTTTCTTCCTTCAATCTCTCTAATCTCTTTTTTTATTTGAATGGCTTTGCAGGTGAGGTGTTTGTACTTGAAGAGCACCATGGGACCACCACAAAGGATCTTTTGAGAGCTATCTATCTCTCTGCTTGCTTCATCTCCGAATTTTCCGTTTGTGTTCTTTTTTTGTTTCAGAGATCTGTGCTTAAGATATGGTTTGGATTGATATTAGCAGAACTCAGGTGCTAGTTGTTTTTTTGTTTGACAATATATGCAATGTTTGGTTCTACAATATTTGCTCTAAATTCAGTTTATCTATTAGTTTCAAATACTGAATCAACATTCAAGCGATTGATGTCGTTGATCATTAGTTTAAGTAATGATAAGATTTTTTTTTTGTAAGAACAAAAGCATGATTAGTGATTTTTGATCAAGTAGTCTTTAGTGGTATTTCTTTCTCTTGGAGCATCGAGTGAAGAGCTAATATAGCTTTTAAGCTTGCATCTTCTCATTACGCTCCATATAGTAAAAACTTACAAATCACTTTTGCAAATTGGAAACAGGTTCTCTAGTCTCCATTAGCTACTTGTGATGCACATTTGTCACAATTGTGTTAGTTTTTGGGTCTTGTTTCTCTTTGAACAATTTGAGCAAAAGTCTTGTTTTCTCAATCACTTCGCATATTGTTTTGAATAGTATTATCTTCCCAAAATATCGTTGTTTAACTATCCTCACTTGTTAAGGCACTATAAGGTGGTTAAATTCTTTTGACTTGTACAGATTCATCGGCTAGGTAACATGCGGAATAGTTTACTGAATTTTTTTTACCTTCTACAAATGACAAATGTGGAATCGAAAACGTAGCTATGCATTTTAGATGGCCCAAACAATTCGAAAGAAAATTGTATTATTCCACCATAAACATTGTTTTGGTAGTTTAATACTATAATCATGCATTAAAAAGTTGAATGTTCATACACAGTTACATCTAATCAATTTGTGCACATGTCATTTTTACTAGTCTCTAGTCTCAACACAATAATAATTCATGATTTGATTGTCATCTCCTTTCTCATGAACCAAACAGTTTTGTTATCTTTACGTCTTGCCAACTCTATTAACTGAGATCCTCATAAAATTCCCTATCTTCGCGATAATACAGCTGTGCAGTTCTTATTTTTTACTTAATGAATGTAAAATTTATTCATCCCAATTATTTGTTTTACAGATTTTTGCTTGAAAAAGAAACTGTCACATCAGATAAAAGTACAACTACTCATCGACTTGTAGTTGTCTTAACTCTTAACTCATTGCAGATTTAACAATCGATTGTGTGGATGTTTGACTATCAGCGTTTATAGTTCAATTCTTTTTGGCCAAGAAATAGTGCAATGTTTAGGTACTAATCATTAGGAGAAGAGGGGATTTTGCAAAATAGTGCAAGGTTCGTCGGTTTGCGTCGACAAAATAATTTAAAGAGAAACCAATCAATCAATGACTATAAACTAATTAATATAGGTTACCACTTTAGGGCCTTACTGTCGCAGGACGTCCTATGGTTTGAGTCAAAGGACGGTGTCGTAAGACTGTATTGTAGTGACAACTTCCACCTTTTGTGACCTTTGGTCTCATTCATCCACCAACAAAAGGCCATTACGTAACTCAAGTATTCAATATTATAATACTCTAAACTGTTATCACAATTTTTGTAAAATACTTATATTAACATATTGTTTTATTTTCTCATGAAAACTGTAAAGGTTATAGTTTTTGATTGCCAAACAAACATTCTATCAAGAATTCAAGATCCCAACTTTTTATGGTTAGTTTAAAAAATGAAATATTTAACAAATGACAAAAAAAAAAAAAAAGTGTTACTACTTGATTCAACCAAAGATTCACTGTATTTAAAAAATAAAATAAAGAGTAATAGAATGCATAGCAAACTATTTTTTCTAGTTATGAAAAAAACATTTAATTTGAAACGAATAAGAAAAAGATTTAAAGTTTAAACCGTCGAAGATGGCAAATTGGGCCGTGACGGCCTTCCAAAAGCCACACTACTGCCCTTCCCTTTTTATATATCCTTCTTCCTCTCTCTCCTCCACCAACCCCTCTCGTAGTAGTCTCCGCCTCCTCCTCCTTCACTTTCCTCTCCTTCTCTCTCTGTAAGTTTCATGCTTTTAGCTCCTGAGATTTGTTTGATCCACGATTAGATTCGATTCGATTCTTTATGCTGAATTTTTGATCTTATAATTGATGTTTACTTGTTGGTTGTTTTTTATCGACTTCTCTGTGGGGACAAAAAATGTCTTTTCGATTTTGTTTTCGCTATTTGACAGTGATTGATATTTTTTTTTTCTCTGTCATTGAATAAAATCTCCAGATGTGAATTATTGTGATTGAGATGCTAATCCAAGTCAAATAATACGCTAATCATCTTGTTAGTTTCAATTTTTTTTTTCCTGTAAATCAAACTTTCAAGCGATTTATGAAATTTAGCTGATCTTCGTTGTTCTATAGTTTAATCATGGTTTAAGTAATGATCTTTAGCTGCTTTAGATCTTTCTTTCATTAGCAACAAAACATGTTTGAGTGATATTTTTGATAAATAGTTTTGGAGCATCGAGTGAAGAGCTTTATATAGCTTTCAAGCTTGCATCTTCTCATTACGCTCCATATAATAAAAAATTCACATCATTTTTGCAATTTGGAAACAGATTCTCTTTTTGTTCTAGCTTGCTTTAGCTTCTTGTGATGCACATTTTGTCTTAGTTTTTGGTTCTTGTTTCTCTTGGAACAATTTGATTTGTCACATTTGTTCAAAAACTAAACCTTTAAGCTTGTGGAAACGCAGGTGAAGAAGAAAAAATCAAAATGGCGACAATGAGAGTCTCTTCCACAAGCATGACCAAACCCGTTCTTAGAAGCCAGTCTACGAACAAGCTCATCACCAACAAGAGCCAACAACTCTCCATCGGATCAACCAATAAAGTCGCGAGATCATTCGGTTTGAAATGCTCAGCGAACTCTGGCGCCACGATGTCAGCTGTGTACAAGGTCAAGCTCATTGGACCCGAAGGTCAAGAAAACGAGTTCGAGGTCCAAGACGGCCAATACATATTGGACGCAGCTGAAGAAGCAGGAGTCGATGTTCCTTACTCTTGCAGAGCTGGTGCGTGTTCGACTTGCGCGGGTAAGATCGAGAAAGGCGAAGTTGACCAGAGCGACGGTTCGTTTCTCGACGATGACCAGATGGAGGCTGGCTATGTCTTGACCTGTGTGGCTTACGCGCAGGCTGACTGTGTGATTCATACCCACAAGGAAGAAGATCTCTTCTAAGGTGTCTCTCTCTTTTGGTAATGATGATGCAAGAAATTGTTATTTTGGAGGGTTATTATTATTGTTATGGGTTTCTTTGAAACGAATTTGTGTGTTTTTAAAGGTATGATGATGCTATTTGTATGAAAACGTCTCTCAGGATATGCTTTTTTTTTTTTAGTGTTCATCAAGGGTCACTTGGGTTAATAAAAAATGGTCACAAGATTCTGGTTCTTTATTGGTTTCATCATGGTTTGTGTTGCTAATCGTTTCTTGAAGTTTTGTTGTTCTCTGAATCGCACTTTGTTTCCAATTAGCCCATTATTGAACTAGTAACTGTAACAAAGAAATACAAGTCAAATTTGGACTATACGAGATTTTTGATGTTTTATTGACCCACATGTAACATTTGACTTGTTGAGAAATCGCTTTCATCTTTAGAGCCTACCACTGGCCAAGACACCACCCTCTTGAAGATTTTTCTGACAGCAAATAACTCCATAGATTAATGCATTATTGTGATTATGTGTCTAAGTCCATTTCGGGACAGAAAACTCAACATGTCTCGAATTTTGCGTCCATTTCTGTTCTCGTTCAATAAACTAGTCGACTGTTCGTCAAAGCTTAATAAGATGGGATCACGCAGAATTAATTGGGCCAGATTAATTACAATTGAGCTTAACAAGTTTTACAAGAAAGAAAGAAGGAGGGACTAGGCCAAGTATCCAAAGCCCACAAAAGGTGTGAAGGGGAGCTGTTACAAAAACACTCTCTAGATTCTCTACTACATACACAGCTTTAACAACTTCTTTACCTTCGTCTTCTTCTTGATCTTGTTGTATCTGACAGTTATTTGTTGTAGATCGCATATAAATCTGTAACAAGATACCCTCTTACATACATTACTTAGAGTGTTATATAAATGTAGTCTTGCTAGAGATCCTGGAAGCTCTTTCTCATCTTGACACATTATGACTTGTCAAATATTATATAGTTACAATTAGTGCAAAAGCTAAATAAGACGAGCACCAGCAGGTTTTGTCTGGTTTGCAAGAAGTTGTAAACTATGATGCAATTTCAAGTAGGGTTCTATGTTTATTTTGAGTGGAATGCGTGGTCGTGACTAGATGATTCCCTCTTACGCATAATAGTTCACCAGATATCCATCATTAAAGTCATAATAATTTCAAATTTATAATAATAACATTCTATACAAGCATTACTTTCTTTTTTCTTGAAATCCTGGTTTGTTATCGTCAACGCTTGTTTAACTGTAGTTTTAAATAAAGAGCGGTTAAGAATCTATGTTTTTAACTGGATTTCTCAGTATTGACATGTGTCGTGTACTCGTGTGTGCAAAATTATTTACTTTTGATTGTGAATTGCGTTACGTATCGAAATTAGAAGAGTGAGTGTAGAGCCAAAAGGCAACGGAGAGAAATGAAATTAAGTAATGGAGCGGAAGACAAGTGTTCAACTAGTCTTGTGGTCCGATTGATGATGTTTCTCGGGTGATTTCTCTTTCGATAGAAGTATACAAGGACATGAATGCATAAGAGTCGGTAAAAAAAAAGAAACACATCTTTTCACATAAAAGATGAATATATTCGACAATAGAGAAAAAACAAATAAAGGAAGCATGTGAGAGGGTCAGGCGTTGAAGGGTAGGTGACAGTAACAGAAGAAAGACGGTGACTGAGACGTGGCGGTCCCTGAGATCCACGCCTCCTTCGCCATATATGACGCCACATTATTTTTAAACTCCCCATTTCAATTACTATATTATCAATTTCCCTTTTTCTCTTTTCTGATTGTTCGAAAGATCATTATTTTTTTCTGAAATTTGTGATGGTAATTAGGAAAACTATATTGCATCTAACCACATGACAATCTCGATCGAGATCACCATTTCACTTTGTGTTTCAAAACAACAACAAAAATCCGTTAGACTGTTTAACAAATAGTAACAAAGAGACTTTCGAATTCCGGCAATTTGAATAACTAGTCGACAATACTTCCAAAAGATGGATCCAACATGCAAAACACCATACACGTAAAAAAATATCGGCCGGAGAGGGTCCACACGTTTGAGTGACGCCTCTAGCTTCAAAGAGCCGTACGTGTGCTATATACTCTTATGATTAGTAGTTTCACCAGAAATAAAGAATCCTAATAATTGTGTACATACTATACTACTTGATAAATACAAAAACAATTGTTTCTTTTCTTGTTCGTTAAAACAACTAATTGTTTACTCGTCGCTTTTTTCTTCTGTTTCCAATATAATACGCATACAAGTCGATAGAATTTATAAACTAGAAGATGATTTGTACGTGTGAATCGTGAAAGTTGCCTTTTATTCAAGCCGCCAGTGCTTTTGGAGTATTTGACTTGAATACCGGTGGAGGAGAGTTTTAAATTGACCATTCACGATCCCAAAAATACATCGTTGTTCACATTTCAAATTTTCGTCACACATGTGCCATAACCAAAATGTTAGATTAGGAAACGTAACTTTCAATGTCGGTTAAATCTCCTGATGTATTTTTTCCTTAAGAAAATATCATATGGCACGCAGGAAGTGGGATTATAAAAATATGAATATGATCCACAGGTTCACCAACTCACAAGGATATGTTAGTGACTGCAAAGACCACTATATTAATATCTACCAACCAAAAAAAATATCAATGACGAAGAGAATACAAAATATCAACTGATATAATATATCCCGTATCAGTTTTTCCAAAATAGAGGTCAAATTTTTAACGTAAATAGACCCAAGGAAAACAATCATTACAAGTGACGTTTCGTTGTACGTAATTTAATGTATGCATATAACTACTTTTAGACATTAATTAGAATATTCAAGAAATGGAAGGTATAATATACTAACAGCTTGGATTACATTATTCGTATCGATAAATCCAACCTAATTATTCTTCCTTGATATACATGCATGTAACGGATGGAAACTAGCCGAATTCCTTATAGTTTAGCTGTAAAGGCCATAAAGTTATCAAATAATACACATTTTAATTCCATTTTTAATTAAGCTGATGTTAAAAGAATAAAAGCTCATAATTTTACATGTATTGCGGTTAGAATTATACAATAGCCATTTATGGTTTATTTTCCTTTTTTCAACAGCTATTTATGTGTTTATGCTTGCCTTTTATGGGATTTTCTTTAACCATGGCTTACTTAGCATAAATATCAAAGTTGACAAAGGAAAAAAATACATTTATTTTAGTTAATGTCGTTAAAATATATTCTCTTATACGGAATATATTTCAAGAAGTAATTTTTCAAACCAAATTTCTAATCACCATCTATTTACTCAAGCTAATTACTTTGGAAATTAAATAGTTATCACCCAATTAAATAATCAATAAACACATTTGTTAGATACGTTTATAACGTAAAAAGTTTATATAGCACTGGTGTAAGAGACATCTGTTTCGAACTTTTTTGACGAACGCGGAAAGCGAGTCAGAAAAAAAAAAAAAAAATCAGTTGGCTCTTTCCCAAGAAACACCACCGTCTTATATTAATACACCAAAAAACAAACTCAAATCAAAAACCGAGGAAGAAGAAGACGACTCTTAAACGCCGTCGTAGCTGACGGAGATTCTTGCCTGGCCTCTCTGGCTGAAAGATTCATCCCTTTTACATCAGCCATGGCCAGACGCAGTCTCTTCTTCTTCACAGTCCTCATCATCTTCCTTGCTCTCTCAGGTTATTTCTTTCTTCTTTATTTTTCTTTAAAACAGAACAAAATTGGTGTTGCATGTTTTACACCAATTTTGTTCTGAGCGAAACAGAATTGGTGACAGTGAGAAGTAACGGAATTGTTTTACACCAATTTTCGCTTTGTCTGCACTTTCCTAAATTTAATTTTTTTTTTTGTGTGATCAGTGAGAAGTAACGGCCAAGGAGTAGGAATAAACTACGGCCAAATAGCTAACAACCTCCCATCTCCGGCGAGAGTGGCCACACTCCTCCGATCACTAAACATCTCCAGAGTAAAACTCTACGACGCAGATCCAAACGTTCTCTTCTCCTTCTCAAACTCACCAGTCGACTTCATGATCGGACTAGGCAACGAGTTTCTCCAAAACATGTCGACAGATCCAACAAAGGCCCAAAACTGGATCCAGCAACGGCTCCAACCACACATCGCGAAAACCCGAATCACCTCGATCGTCGTCGGAAACGAAATCTTCAAAACAAACGACCGCGTTTTGATCGAAAACCTCTTGCCAGCGATGAAAGCGGTTTACGCGGCTCTCGTCAATCTCGGATTAGAGAAACAAGTCGCCGTCACTTCAGCTCACTCGCTAGACATTCTCCAAACATCGTATCCTCCTTCTTCCGGATCATTCAAAGAGGAATTCGTTCAATTTCTCCAACCTCTTCTCGATTTCCACTCTCAGATCAAATCTCCGTTCTTAATCAACGCTTACCCTTTCTTCGCTTACAAAGACAGTCCCAGAGAGGTTCCATTGGAATACGTTTTGTTTCAGCCGAATCAAGGGATGATTGATCCCAACACGAATCTCCATTACGATAACATGTTGTTTGCTCAAGTCGACGCGCTTTACTCCGCCATTAAAACGCTGGGCCATACGGATGTGGAGGTTCGGATCTCGGAGACGGGGTGGCCTTCGAAAGGAGACGAGAATGAGATCGGAGCTTCGCCGGAGAACGCCGCGCTTTATAACGGGAATCTGCTGAGGTTGATTCAGCAGAGGAAAGGGACGCCGGCGAAGCAGTCGGTTCCGATTGATGTTTACGTTTTTGCGCTTTTTAATGAGAATCTTAAACCGGGTCCGACTTCTGAGAGGAATTACGGGTTGTTTTATCCGGATGGTAAACCGGTTTATAATGTCGGTTTACAGGGTTATCTTCCTGATATTATCTACAGTTCAAGCGCAATTACAATCAAGGTATGTCCCTTTTTTTATCTTATTTTCAAAATGTTTCTATATGTTTATGATTAAAGTTTAAGAATCAGGATATTGGTAATAATTTGGGTGTTGAATGATTTGTGCAGATTTTGAATTTGTGGAGAGCCGTGATGGGTTTGGCTGTGACCGGGTGGATACTTCTTGATATGGGCGGCAAAATATGGATGAGATAAGCTTGGCTTGTGTCTTTGTCTGTCCTTATAGTTTTTTTTTTGTTTGAGAAGAAAATTATTGTTATAGCTATAGGTGAGGTATACAATTCTTTGTCATGTATTGGATTCACAGTGGATAGAAAAATTAATTTATTCCTTAATTGGAAAAGTGTTAAAATTTTGTTGTTAATCATGCTAAAAGTCTATGTGAGTAAAATACCTTCTATTTATGTATAGTAAGAATAAAATAGTTAAATACCAAATGTATTCACTTCAGGATCCATAATTCAACTAATTAGTTGAAACGTACAAGTTTTTTTGTATCTCAACTGTTTTCCAAGAACTATTGTGTACAAAATTAGTAGGTTATAAACATGAGACATTTTTAAATGTGGGTCACACGGCACCACTTGGGTTATCTTCAACTTGCAATCATGCATGTGAATATTTTCTACTAATATAATAATCTTGTTCCGCACAACTTCAGCTATACGAAAGTCCATTGGTGCCAATGTGCCCATCAAATCATATTTTAAAGAAATTGTCAAAAAGTCGGTTTGTTCCATTCGTTTCTTTTCACTAGGCCTGGGCAAAAAATCCGTTAGATCCGATTCGATCCGATATCCGCTTTGATTCGATTCGAAAAATCCGGATATCCGTAAAGCTTCAAAGCAAAGCAAATAGCAAAATGGTATATCCGTAAAAGACAAAGCAAATCGCAAATATCATTTTAGAAAAGCCCGGATATCCGCTCCGATCCGTACTTACTAAGTGTGTATATATATATATATATATATCAAAGTATACATTTTACAAATTGCCTAAATAAAAAATATGCAGCTTAGCCAGCAAAGACCAAAGTTTAGTCACAGCCCACATAGAGCCCAACAAAATAGAAAAATTAAGAAATAAATCACAATCACTAAATAAAAATAAAAATTATGTTTTCTCTTAAAACTATAAAATAACTTAAAGATCTATTGTCGATCAACTTTACCAAAACCTTATCTTCTTCGTCAACTTTACCAATCTCGCTTTTTAGGGTTTTCACTTTTACCGTATATTTCTTCTTCATGATCCTTAATTACTGGTAAGTTTCAAAAAAGTTTCACTCTTTCTATCATGCTCCTTCTAATTTCACTGATTGTGTTTGCTTTGACCAAAATATTCCACTGATTATGTTTGCTTTTGTAATCGATGTTTTAGGATTTGTGTAATTGATGGTTTATCTTTGGAGGCAATTAGAGAATCTTAAGAACTATAGCGTTATGAGATATGTGTTTTTTTACTTTACTGTTTACTCGTCCATGGATATTTGATTTTGTTTGGAATTTTCTGCTTTTCTTATGTTACCGTTTTTTCTTTTTGTTTTGGTAGATGGCTCACAAAGAAAAATCAAGTGGTTTTAAGAAGACTACTGAGAATCCAAAACCTGCTCTACCGAAAGATACTTCTAAAGCTGCCAATCAACCAAAACCGAAGGTGCAAAAGAGGAAATCTGTGGCTTGGGTTCATTTTAGCGAGACAAACGGAAAACTCAAAGCTGAGTGTAACTATTGTTCTGCGCTGATCTCATGCCGAACCGATGCTGGTTCGACAACTAGTGCCATGCTCAATCATATGAAAAGGTGCAAGCAATACCTAAATCTTGGGCTTAATGAAGAGGATGTTGATGAAAGCCAAGGTAGACGTGTGAAACAGTCAACTTTGTTTCATCGTAGCGGGACTGGAAAAGATAAAGAGGGTGTTCCTTCGTTCCTTACATTTAACAAAGAGGATTCTCTTCGTGCTCTGTTTCGGATGATTATAAAAGATGAATTGCCTTTTCGATTTGTGGAACGAGAAGGTTTTATAGAGTTTTGTATGGTGCTGCAGCCACGTTTTCAAATGCCGTCACGTAGGACTGTGACGAGGGGTTGCTTAGCTATGTTTGAGGGAGAAAGAGAACAGCTAAGGACATGGTTTAAAAAGTTTTCTGGAAGCGTTAGTCTCACCACAGACACATGGACTTCTTGTCAAAATCTGACTTATATGTGCTTGACGGCTCATTTCATAGATTCTGAATGGAATCTACACAAGAAGATAATAAACTTTTGCCAAGTCTCAAGTCATTCAGGTGAGATGATGGGAAGAACGATGGAGAAGTGTTTGCTGTTTTGGGGAATTGACAAAGTTTTTACAATCACGGTAGACAACGCAAGTTCAAATGATTTAGGAGTGCGTTACATGCGAAAAAGTCTACAATCAAGAGGAGGCTGTATGTTAAATGGCGAGTTTCTTCATATGCGGTGTGGTGCTCATATCTTAGGTTTGATTGTTAAAGACGGCTTAAAGGATGTAGAGGCTGCGATAACTCGGATTCGTTTGGCTGTTCGTTATATAAGATCTTCTCCAAATAGGTTGGTGAAATTTAAAGAGTGTCTTGAACAATTGAAACTTCCTACGAACTGTGGTGTTTGCTTGGATGTGGAAACCAGATGGAACTCAACCTATTTAATGTTAGATTCTGCTCTTAAGGTAAGGAAAGCTTTTGATTTGCTGGAAGTAAAAGACAGAGCCTATAGAGTTGAGATGGCTGATGATTTGCCGAGTGATACTGACTGGTCTTATGCTGAAGGTCTTGTTCCATTCTTGGAGTCATTTTATGAGACAACCGTGAAGATATCTGGGTCTCTTTACATCACATCAAATGTTTATATGAAAGAGATCTTTGGCTTATCTTTACTTATAATGAAGATGGGTATGGATGAGTCTAGATCCATAAGAGAGATGTCAGTCCGGATGAGAGAAAAGTACGACAAGTATTGGGGAAATTTTGATAACATGAACATGCTTATCTTTGTTGCTACTGTACTTGATCCAAGGTACAAGATGCAGTGGGTTAAATGGTTGATTGATGAAATATACTCGGCACAAGATGCTTCTGATTTACTGTCAAAGGTTCGTGCTGCTTTAGATAAGATGTTTGACTACTACAAGACTATGGTTCCGGAAAGTACGGTGTCTTCTAGTGAAAGAAACGACAATGTTGGAGAAGATGATGTTCAAAAAATTGGAAAGATTGGTTCTTGGATGAGTTCTATGTACAAGAAACACAAGGAGAGTAAAGGATATGCACAACCTGAAACAGAGCTGGAAAGGTATTTGTTGGATGATTGTGAAAACGATGAGGATCAGAGTTTTGATATCTTGTATTGGTGGAAGACTACAGGATCAAAGTATAAGATAATCTCTCTGATGGCGAAAGATATACTTGTTGTTCCCGTATCGACAGTTGCATCGGAATCTGCTTTTAGTGCGGGAGGTCGTGTGCTTGATTCTTTCCGAAGCTCACTCACTCCAACAATGGTCGAAGCTCTCATTTGCACTCAAGATTGGATACGGCGTGACAATCAACCTCTTGTGGTAGAAGAAACAATGGCGGATATACTAGAATTCGAATCTGGTATGATTTACTTTTTGATATTTAGTTTTCAATCAGTTTTTGCAATTTTCTGTGATCTGATTCTAATATTTACTTCTAATTTTCTTTTTTTTAGAGATGGAGGCAGAAAATACTTTTGGTCCTATGGTTGTTGATGATTGATAACTTATTTAGGTTTGGTTAAAAACTTACGCTACGTTTGAAGCTTGTGCTTATGTTGACTTTTGTTTTGTTCTTGATTTGAATATGTTATGTTTGCTGCAGGTTTTTAATGCCAACGATGAGAATGTATATAGTGATTAGTGATGGCCTGATGGGAATGTATATGTGGATTTTGGTGAAACCTTTTGGGAAAACGTAGAATCTAACTTGGAAAAGTTCTACTCGGAGAAGATGTCTTTTGCTTTATGTTGTACTTAGTGGCACCCTAATCAGGTAATTTGTCTTAGGAACTTATTTTTGAAGGCATATCATGAAACCGCAACAATATTTTGGATGTATGCCTATTTACTTTTGTATTATATGCATTATTGTATGTTTTTAGTTTTTAGTATTATATATTCAACGGATCGGAGCGGATATATCAAAAAAGTTACGGATATCCGGATAAATGGATCGGAGCGGATAATCCGCGGATATTTAAAAAAGTTTTGGATATCCGGATCAACGGATATCCGAAAATTTTCGGATCGGATCGAATCGAAAAATCAAATATTTGGTCGGGGCGGAGCGGATCACGGATACCAGGTTTTTTCCGGATATCCGCTCCGTGCCCAGGGCTACTTTTCACATACTGTAATAGTACTGTATCTATTCATTTCCACGCGATAGCTCGCACTAGTCTCTTAACGTAATTATTAAGTTAATGTGTTTTATAAAATTGTTTTAATGACTGTTATTAGTCTATATAGTTCGCGGTTTTTGCGCAAATCTGTCAATTTACTCATCTTCTAAGTTCAAGTGTATGCTTTTTGTATTCTCAGTAGGATCTAAATAGACGCTTCTTCCATTTGATTTGGACACTGAAAAATGATCCCTGTTTTTATTAGAAATTTTCTGTTAGCTTCTAACACACTATTGTTATAGGTTGAAATATCAAATCTCAAGATGTTACTACCGGACACAATGTCTTGTCACTTTTGATTTTTGAGGTTACAATGTCTTGTTCTTGTTTAATCAAAACCGTCATCGGCTTTTCTTTCAATAGTTTCTTTAAGCCAACTCTAGGCCCGCTTTAAATCAGTCTCCAATCTCCATCCACTCTTTAGGCAATAATGTTCTTCTTAGACTCTTTTACAAATCAAATTTGATCTTAGTTACATTATGATCTTCTTAGCTCCTCCTGAAACCAGACATCCTTTAAAACGACTTGATTATACATGAAACGTCTAATACTCCACCTGGAACTCAAGTAACTCATAACTTCTTGTAGATTACTTGATGCATAGAATCTTTGATCAACATTAATGACCCTTTTGCTACAGATTATCGGACATGAAATTCATTCTTGAACACTATATCAAACCTTATGACCTGCCATTCGCTATATAGCTACATCAACCACTCTCTAGCAAGGCATACCAAGACACAACCATTATTAACCAGTTTAAGCTTTCAATTTAGTTCAAGCATCACTAGATTGACCTAAATTTTGCATCTGGTGTTTTAATAGCAGGTACCTCAGAATCAACAAATGTTGCAACACCACTTTCATTTACCACACTATTTAAGTCATATTTTTTTTTTTACTGCAAAAAACTTGATTGAACGGTGCAAGTAGATTGGCTTGTTCCGGTAACCAACTTGGAATTTACATGAGAAAAAGAGACCACCTGGTGCTTGTCCCCCTTTCGCAAGGCAATCCACACGGACATTACAACTACGAGGGATAAAAGAGATCGAACAAAATATAAAAGTAGAACATGTAATGTGAAGATCTTCCAATTCAGAGGCCAAAGATGGCCAATCTTCTTTGACCTAGGTGCAAACTAAAGAAACGATATACACTTTTGGAAGAAAGAAAAATAACATGAATTCATAGATTGTCTCTCTTTCACTCGGCTTAGAATTTTGTTCTATTAGGATCATACTAAGATCAGGGCCATCAGGCACATAATCATAACATGAAGACCCACACCAAAATAACATTCTACAAAGGCATAATATTCTCAACATGATCCGTGACAGCCCAGATTCTAACACAATCCCTAGGCTCTATTTCGAGTAAGGACGTTGTAATTTGGACTTTAGCTCTTCTACTACAATTCCGTATTGGATCATAATAATAAACAACTGGACCCAACTCATCATGACGATAAACCTGACTGACTAAAACCATTTCACCACCAGGATGAGTGACACCCGCACATGTGATTGCTTTTGGTAAATCTTGAAGCATGGCCACAAATGTAACCTTGGACCACTCTTGTTTCCCGGCAGTCTCCATAAGCCACATATCCACATCGTTTTCGTTGAGTTTGATGCGAGATATGCATCCTAACTTCTCGTGGTAGTTTACAAAAGTCACATATCCACGCTTAAGCCGCAGCCACAGATCTTCCGGAGCCTGAATATGATAAAAAACTTCGGACCTAACATCGAAACTCATCAAATGGTAAGTCAAACTCTTTGTACTTGCTTTGTAATAGATTGCGCCATTGATGCAAACTGCTTCTCCGACTCGGAAGTGAAACCCTAGGCTGCATTGGATATCTCTCCACTGCTTTGTGGGATCTCCCAATGTGAAAACTTGACAGGACTGCTCCTTTAGCCACACCACTTTGTATTGATTTTCGAAAGGGTCGTACCCGAATAAGTAGATGCATGTCGCGGGCAAACACGTAACGGGTAAGGTAACAAATTGCCTCGTGGTAGGGTTGTGTATTCTGAACGGACCATTATCCGAACACTGAAAACCGATCAAGCCACGTACGTATTGAAAGCTTGGATCAGAGCCATAGCCTTTGTTACTTTCGAAGATATACCCGTCATAGAGTTGTTCTTCGTTTGTGATCTGAGGATAAAGGTAACTATACGAGAAGTTGGTGAACCTAGAGGATTTGTTCTTCGTATTTAAGAGCGACCACCTATTTAAGATGAAGTGGAGATCACGCGGTGGTTTAGTCAAACACCGAGTCACGATCGAGTTTATGACTATGAATTTATTGATAATACTTTCCCACTCAGTCGAGACGCATCGGAACCTCGCCAGAGACTTCGCCGGAAGTTTCTTGAGTATCTCCACCGTTAGATCGAGTGGGATATTGATATCCCTACACCTTTTTATGTCCATGATCATGAAGTTTCAGCAACTGCGATGTAGAGGAGATTGTGAGGTTTGTGGTGGCTTCTTTTCTTTTTAAACCCTAATTAACATTTTTCTTTCTCAAGGAAGAGGAAAACTCAAGTTAACATGTACGTATAAATCAATGTTTTTAAAACCGGACCCACGACCAAACCGGAAATGTTTTTTGGAAAACTTTTTAAAATGATCAGCACATAATCATAACCATGAAGACACCCACACGACGTCACAAAAAAAATATATTAATAACATGAAGACCCACACCAAAACCTTTCTTGAAGGGATTTAAATATCTTGTGTTTCATTCATCAAAAATTAACCTCAGTAATAAAGAATCAGCATGCATATAAGTCATATTGGAAAACTCTTAACCAAATGCAACGAACTACAAACGCATAATATTCTCAACATGATCCGTGACAGCCCAGATTCTAACGTATTCCCTAGGCTTTATTGTGAATAAGGACGTTGTAGTTTGGATTTTAGCTCTTCTACGAGACTACGAATATTCCGTTTTGGATCATAATAATACAAACTGAAGCCAACCCACGATAATAAGTCTTATGGACCATAACGATTTCACCGCAAATGTGATTCCTTTTGGTAAATCTTGAAGCATGGCCACAAATGTAATCTTAGACCACTCTTGTTTCTCAGCATTCTCCATAACCCACACATCCACATCGTTTTTGTTGAGGTTCTTACAACATATGCATACTAACTTCTCTTGGTAGTTTATAAGAGTCAAATCTTCAGGGTTCAATCGGCAGATCTTGAATAAGATTAAATTTCTCGGACCTAACATTGAAACTCACCAAAACACTCACTGTCGTCTTTGCTTTGTAATAGATTGTCCCGTTGATGCAAACTGCTTCTCCGAATGGTGAATGACGTCCAATGCTGCAATGGATGTACCTCCACTGCTTTGTGGGGTCTCCCAATGTGAAAACTAGACAAGACTGCTCCGGTTGATAGAGACTTATACTCAAAGGCTAATGGCTCCATACATATCAAATGGTATCTTTTGGGAAATCTTGAAACAATGGGCAAAAGGAGCTAAAGTGATAGTTGTCGATATCCCCTTTATTGTTTGAAGCAAAAAATGGATAAATGGACGAAACCCATTGTTGTTGTGTGGGTCAGTGAAAAAACACAGCTCAAGAGACTGATGGAGAGAGATGGACTGAGTGAGGAAGATGCAAGAAACAGAGTGATGGCTCTCAAATGTCTTTGGATTTAAAAAGAATCAAAGCTGATCTTGTGATCAATAACAATGGCGGTCTCGACGACCTCAACCAACAGTTTAACAAGATCTTGTTCGAAATCAGAAAACCCTTGACATGGACCTCTCATTACAACTCTCATTAACCTTTTGTATATTTCTGCTTTTGTTTCTTATTACAACTTTCATTAACCTCTCTGCTCTCTTCCATCACCAACACTAACTTAATTTATGCACTAGTTTTGCTTTCCCACTCTCCTATTCAGTATTCAAACATCTATTATCTTATGTATATACAACTTGAAGCTGAGATAGAAAGAAACTAAAACAAAGAAGCAAATGACCATTAATCATAAGAGGCAACGAACGGAATGACCATCGACATGAAGACATCGTAAGAGAGCGTTGCGTAGCCTGTGTAACCAGGGTCCTTCTCTTTGAACTTCTCAGTCAATCCCTGACAATAACATCCGAATGACCCATGTTTTCAAATCATGGAAATGCAAATTCTTAAAAAAATTATCTCAAGGAGGTTAAATAAGATCATACCTTGACAATCATCCCACATCTGCAAATCCAGCGGAAATAAAGTTAGCACTCGAATCAAGAACCGTGGATGAAGACATTATTAGAGAAAGAAACTTTACTCGAGGAATGTATCGAAACAGAGGTCAACAGTTTTGCCAGTCCCATCATCAAAGTTTGATATGATAAGCTGAAGAACCGAGGATGGAATCATGTAACCGAGCTGATAGAAAGCGTCTCTGAGCTCTAAGGAACTCATCGTTCCGCTCTTATCTCTATCGTGCCGATCAAATTTTGCCTACAAAAACACATACAGTAGTAATACTCCATATTGAGGCATAGTAAAATACAAACAAAAGAGTCTTCTTAGACATTAGTGTTCACTTACACGCCATTGAGCAAGGCAATTCCACAACTCAACATACTCCTTAGGACCTGCAAAAGTGTAGAAACATGGCTAATTTTCAAAATCAGTAAACTTTGAATCGAAAAATGTAAACACTTTGTGCCATCAAAGCCATGTTCAAAATGAGATTCATTAGTATACTTTCAATGTCTATCTGCAATGAAATCGAGTCGAATCTTCCAACAATGTAACACTATCTACCATCAAAACTGGTTAAAGTTCACTTATTTTTGTGTAATTGAATCTTAAAAAGTAAAAAACCTCTTTGAATTTAGCTAAATTCTTGATCAAAATTCAAATTTCAAAAACTTTGATTACAAAGAAGCGAAGAGACGTATATGAGATTTTACCGAGGCGTAGCAGAGAATCTGCAGGACTCTTGTAGATGAAAACGAGAACCCTAATCGTTCTGTGACTGATTCCATCGTAACCAGAAAACGACAACGCCTGCCGGAGCTCCGACTCATCGAGAAATCCGCTCCGGTCTCTATCCGCCGACTCGAAGCTCCTCACGATATCCGGATGCGTTTCCGGCGGAAACATCCCGGAGGATCCGAATTTCTGATTTGATTGACCCGAAGCGCCATGTGGATACGCGTAACTGTATCTACCTTCCTCGTTGAGCTGGTGACCGAACGATTCCGGAAGCTCCGGTGCCGATGGAGCGTGCGCGTTTGAGTACGCCATTGATCGAGACAGTGAAAATTCTTATGAAATGGCTTAGAATTCTGGTTATTGCGCTTTCTGTTGTCTCAATTTCCAGAGGTTGAAGATGACTGATTCTGATATATACAATCTTTTTTATTCTTTTTCGCGTGTTTGATCGAATTTATTAGTACTATGATTGGACGGTGACGATTTAGTCAAATAATCCAACGGTTAAGATTGTGCCCGTGCTCATAACTTTCAAGTGCTCTATCAAAATTTCATTAGATATGTTTTCTCGCTAAGAAAGAATGTTAATTAGGGTTTTAAAAGAAAGAAGCCAACACAAGACCTCACAATACATCGAAGTTGCTGAAACTTGATGATCATGGCAAGAAAACGGTCCAGGGATATCAATATCCCACTTGATTTAACGGTGGAGATACTCAAGAAACTTCCGGCGAAGTCTCTGGCGAGGTTCCGATGCGTCTCGAATGAATGGGAAAATATGATCAATAAATTCATAGTCATTGACTCGATCGTGACTCGGTGTTTGAGTTTGACTAAACCAACGCGTGACATCCACGTCATCAGCTATAGAGGTTCGTCCACTCTCCGTTTTTCCAACTACTCGTATAGTTTCCTTTCTCCTCAGATCACAAACGAAGAACAACTCTATAACGAGTATATCTTTGAAAACAGCAAAGGCTATGACTCTTATAGAAGTTTTCAATACGTACGTGGGTTGATCGGTTTTCAGTGTTTAGATAGTGGTCTGTTCAAAATACACAACCCTACCACGAGGCAATCTGTTACCTTGCCCGTTACGTCTTTTCCTCCGAGCTGGTCCTACTTTTTCGGGTACGATCCTATCAAGAATCAATACAAAGTAGTGAGTATAAGTCGCTATCAACCGGAGCAGTCTTGTCTAGTTTTCACATTGGGAGACCCCACAAAGCAGTGGAGGGACATCCATTGCTGCATTGGACGTCACCCACCATTCGGAGAAGCAGTTTGCATCAACGGGACAATCTATTACAAAGCAAAGACGGTTTTGGCGAGTTTCAATGTTAGGTCCGAGAAATTTAATCTTATTCAAGATCTGCCGATTGACCCTGAAGATTTGACTCTTATAAACTACCAAGAGAAGTTGGGATGCATGTGTTGTAGCGACCTCAACAAAAACGATGTGGATATGTTGGTTATGGAGAATGCCGAGAAACAAGAGTGGACTAAGATTACATTTGTGGCCATGCTTCAAGATTTACCTAGTCGTGTCGATTTTGCGGGTGTCACTCATCCTGGTGGTGAAATCGTTTTAGTCCATAAGACTTATTATAGTGGGTTGGCTTCAGTTGTTTATTATTATGATCCAAAACGGAATAGTCGTAGAAGAGCTGAAATCCAAACTACAACGTCCTTATTCACAAGAAACCCTAGTGTATACGTTAGAATCAGGGCTGTCACGGATCATGTTGAGAATATTATGCGTTTGTAGTTCGATGCATTTGGTTAAGAGTTTTCCAATATGACTTACATGCATGCAGCATGCTGATTCTTTATTACTGAGGTTAATTTTTGATGAATGAAACACAAGATATTTAAATTCCTTCAAGGAAGGTTTTGGTGTGGGTCTTCATATTATTATTTTTTTTTTGTTTTTTTGATGTCGTGTGGGTGTCTTCTTCTGTTCTTCATGTTAGGATTATGTTCTGATCATGTTAAAGAGTTTTCCAAAAAACATTTCGGGTTCGATCATCCGTCCCGTTTTAAAAACATTGATTAATAGTTTAATACATACGTATATGTTAAAATTAAAAAAAAAAAAAAAACAGAGAGTACTTGCGTATATGTTGACTAGAGTTTTCCTCTTCCTTGAGAAAGAAAAATGTTAATTAGGGTTTAAAAAGAAAAGAAGCCACCACAAACCTCACAATCTCCTCTACATCGCAGTTGCTGAAACTTCATGATCATGGACAGAAAAATGTCCAGCGATATCAATATCCCACTCGATCTAACGGTGGAGATACTCAAGAAACTTCCGGCGAAGTCTCTGGCGAGGTTCCGAAGCGTCTCGACTGAGTGGGAAAGAATTATCAATAAATTCATAGTCATTAACTCGATCGTGACTCGGTGTTTGACTACACCACCGCGTGATCTCCACTTAATCTTAAATAGGCGTTCGTCCTCTGAGTTCACCAACCTCTCGTATAGTTTCCTTTATCCTCAGATCACAAACGAAGAACAACTCTATAACGAGTATATCTTTGAAAATAGCAAAGGCTATGACTTTCGGACAAGCTTTCAATACGTACGTGGCTTGATCGGTTTTCAGTGTTCGGGTAATGGTCCGTTCAGAATACACAACCCTACCACGAGGCAATTTGTTAGCTTACCCGTTACGTGTTTGCCCGCGACATGCATCTACTTATTCGGGTACGACCCTTTCGAAAATCAATACAAGGTGGTGTGGCTAAAGAAGCAGTCTTGTCAAGTTTTCACTTTGGGAGATCCCATAAAGCAGTGGAGAGATATCCAATGCAGCCTAGAGTTTCACATCCGATTCGAACAAACAGTTTGCATCAATGGCGCAATCTATTACAAACAAGGACAAAGAGTAGGAGTTACCATTTTATGAGTTTCGATGTTAGGTCCGAAGTTTTTGATCATATTCAATCTCCAGAAGATCTGCCGGTTCACCGTTTAGATTTTACTCTTGTAAACTACCAAGAGAAGTTGGGATGCATGTGTTGTAACCAACTCAACAAAAACGATGTGGATATGTGGGTTATGGAGAATGCCGAGAAACAAGAGTGGTCAAAGGTAACATTTGTGGCCATGCTTCAAGATTTACCAAAAGCAATCACATTTGCGGGTGTCACTCATCCTGGTGGTGAAATGGTTTTCGTCCCTCAGGCTTATAGCAATACCTTGGCTTCAGAAGTTTATTATTACGATCCAAAACGGAATAGTAGTAGAATAGCTAAAGTCCAAACTACAACGTCCTTACTCGAAATAGAGCCTAGGGATAATGTTAGAATCTGGGCTGTCACGGATCATGTTGAGAATATTATGCATTTGTAGTTCGATGGATTAGTTAGTTAAGAGTTTTCCAATATGACTTACATGCATGTTGATTCTTTATTACTGAGGTTAATTTTTGAGGAATGAAAACACAAGATATTTAAATCCCTTCAAGGAAGGTTTTGGTGTGGTTCTTCATGTTATGATTATGCATGTGCTGATCTTAGTCTGATTCGAATAGAACAAAAATGTAAGCCGAGTGAAAGAGACACAATTTATGAATTTACGTTTTGTGAACATCACATTTCGTACGTTTTGTTTTACCGGTTATTTTAGGTTTCTTCGTTTCTAGATTTCTCAAGATATATAGTTTCTTGACTCTATATATCCATCTGAGAATAGCCACTAATCAAATATTTTCAAGAACTCACTCCATATGCTACAACCCCAATAAATCTTGCTTGGTAAACTCCATTGAACTAAATCTCAGGGTTTCTCCTTTTGCACTCTCTTTACAAGCTTTTCTCCTTTCTTTATGCACTCTTGCTTATTGTAAAAGAGAACGTAGCTTGGTACTGTTATATATACTGATATATGTCTTGTGGTTGCTCCCGAATATCAAATCTTTGATATCAAAACAAACTATGCTTTTTTTCTACTACTTGTGGTTGTCCTTTTGTTTTGTTAGATTTTGAACCATAGTTCAACAGATACCAATCAAAGCATTTCAACTTTCAAGAACTCTCTCTCTCTCTCTCTTTATATAAACAGACAGACTTAGATTTCATGACCATCAAACTGAAGATGGGCTTTTCATAGTAATGGGCTGAACAACTTATAACAGCTGGGCCGATCTATTTCTTTTTATCAACATAAGGCGGGAAAGTGAGGAAAGAGGGAAGAGAGGAGATGGAGTCGGAGAAAGTGGTGGTGGACGAGCTGCCGCTGGCTATCGTGCGCCGGGTAGTGAAGGATAAGCTTTCGGAGTGCTCGCCGGATTATGACGTCAGTATTCACAAGGAAGCGCTTCTCGCATTCTCCGAGAGTGCTCGGATCTTCATCCACTACCTCTCCGCCACGTACGCCTAATCAAAACCCTAAATTTCCGAATTTCTTCATCACAATTAGCTAAATCTGAGTCATGATGGTTACTATATTGTGATTGAAACGATGAATTTTCCGTTTCTGATCTGAACTCAAAAGAGAAATCTTCCGAATTGACATGATAATTCTCCAATTTTTTTCTTCAAGTTGATCCAGTTTTTTCTTCAGTTCGAAAAATTAATGCTTCAATTTGTTTTGTTTGTGGTGAATGATAGCGCAAATGATATCTGCAAAGATTCAAGGAGACAAACGATGAAGGCCGATGATGTGTTGAAGGCATTAGAAGAAATGGAGTTTGCAGAATTTTTGGAGCCGCTTAAAGCTTCTCTTGAAGGTTAATTTCTCTGAAGAATATTATATTTCTCCCAAATTGTTGTTAACTGTTAGAGAACATGATTAGGTTGATTGATATATTTGTCTTTGTTGTTAATTTCTCTGAATGATTTTTGCAGAGTTTAAGAAGAAGAACGCTGGGAAGAAAGCGGCGGCTGCGGGTGGTGGAACAGCATCAAAGCCTGGTGGTGGAGCGGCTTCGAAGCCTGTAGAGACGAAGAAGAGGAAACAGGAAGGATCACCGTCTCAAATGGGTGCGAGGAAAAGCAAAAGAGATGAGGGAAATAGCAAGAACGTTCAAAATGATGAGGAGAATGAGACTGACAACACAGAAGAAGAGAATGGGAATGATGAGGAGATGGAGATTGACGATGATAATACCGAAGAGAATGGGAACGAGAATGACGATGACAATACCGAAGAGAATGGGAATGATGAGGAGATTGAGAACCAGGGACACAGCGGAGAAGAGAATGAGGACAATAGCATGGAAGAAAATGGGAGTGGAAGTGGTGAAGATAATGAGAGTGGTGAAGAGGTAGAGGAAGGTGATGAAGAAGACGAGTGAAACACTGAGGTTCTTTTCATATGTTTCTGCTAAGAGCGTTTTTTTCAATCTTTTTGTTCTCATTAGCTTGTAATGTGTGTGGGCATGATGATGAAGCATGTCATAGACTCATATAGAATTGGTTTGCTCGTTTGACTCTAGTGCTAAACAGATATATAAGTGACAGAGTTTAGATAATGAGGGTTTATACAAGATGATCACAAGCACCAAAATCTCATAACACATTAGTGAAAAAGAACAAATTCTTGCCTAATTATACACTGGATGCTTGGTCTAAGCCAATTTTGCATCTTCTACTTGTTCTTTTTCACTAGTGAAACATTCCATACAACAAAAACAGTGTTTCAAAGGTCACAAAGAACGCAATATCCAACAAAATAGGTTCATCACATTCAAGTCAGGTCTCATATGGCAGTCATTTCATCAAACGGTAACACCAAGAGCACACTCAATACTACATGACTTGTTGGGAACTGTAAACACAGTGTCAAACCACTCGACCTTCCCCCAAATCTCTTCATCGTCACGCCTTTCAAGCGCAATCACCGCACACAGAACCATCTTCTCCTTATACGCCACAACCTTCTCCCACAACACAACCATCTTCCCACCATAATCCGCCAATTTAGCAATATACCGAGGAATCTTAGGCAATCCTTTCACACCTTTCACAACCCTCCAAACTCCCGCCTTACCCTCATACCATTTGAACACTCCCTCGTTAAACATGTAGAGCACACCGCCAATCACACGATAAGAAAACCAATCCCAACCATAATCCATATCCCATCCCAACCTTTCCCATCTACCTTCACTCGGTTCGTAAGCCAAACCCTTACAGCTTCCGAAAACGTATACTTTTCCATCGGCTCCTGCGCTTTTACTTATCGCACATCCACATATCTTCGCGCCCTGGCTTGGCACAAGCTCCCAAGTTTGAGTCTTTGGATCGAAAACTTCCATCCAATCGCAAGGACGGCTGCAGTCTTGGAAGCCGTCTAAGCAGCCTCCTGTTACGTATATCTTTCCGTCAACGACATTGGCGGCAGTGCAACTCCGTTTCACCAGCATCTTTGGACCCTCGCGCCACGTGTTGGACCGGCAGTCGAGGATCGAGACGTTAGACGAGCGGTCGTCGTCGTCTATGGGTCCGCCGATGTTGTAGATATCTGAAGCAATTGTCACGAGACTCCTCGACGATTGGTGAGTTCCTGAATGCGAAGCTTGGATTTTAGCTAAAGCGTACCCAATACCGAAGATGATAATACGGAAGAGAACGGGAATGATGAGGAGGACGATGACAATACCGAAGAGAATGGTAATGATGAGGATAACGAAAGTGGTGAAGAGGGAGAGGCTGATAAAGAAGATGAGTGAAACTCGAGGTTCTTTCATATGTTTCTGCAAAGAACATTCTTTTCAAGTTTTTGTTCTCATTATCATGCTAATCGATTGAACTTATAATGTGGGCTTGGTCAGGCATGTCAAAGACTCATATGGAATTGTTTTGCTCCTTTGAAT